GCATATTGGAAGCATATGCGATCCTACAATATTCAGTGATCATTGTCGCGGTTGAAATCGAGTCTTAAGTTATGAAATTGTAAATAATAAACTCTTTATGTTGTGCAGCTCCCTCTCAAGGTCAAGATATCGATTAAGCCATCAAACAATGTTTCTTGATTAAAATTGACCAATCGGCTATTCCCGTGTTGAAATGACATATCACAACTACATATTCTGAGATTTTCATGGTCGCAGCTACCATTGTATGGTCGTGAGCGCTATTTGAAATTTATCAACATTAACCGGGAGCACCGGTAAATTTTCGAAAGTAAAAATGTTTCAGGGGCTACATTTTTGAGTGGTTATAATCACATCCACAGGGGCATCCAAATATATCAAAATTGTAAAGAATTACTATCCTGCCTATTTTCAAAATTTCCCGAAACTTTGTATTACCTGTATATAACCTGTAATGAAGGACCTGGACGTAATGTATTTAGAAAGATGTTCACCATTTTCTCTTAGGCGACAATATTTGTATAACCAGGCAGGAAGGGACTCCTGAATTAAAAGAGCAAGCGGAATATTCATTTTTGTAGCACTGATATACAGTGTATGTCTATAAATCTTAATCTTTTAAGCCAGTGACGCCCCCCCCCCCCCACCCCCTCCTGGGGAAAAAAAATGTGTACAGACACATTAATTTTACCTTTTTTTGGAGATTGGCCTCCTCCCCTGTCGCTCAAGGGGGGGGGGGGTTCAATTTTTCAACTTTCTGAGGACCCCCCAACAAAATTAATGCTCAATTACCCCCCCCCCCCCCCCCCACTGACCAACTTATCTACCACCACGATTTTCAAATTTTCTGGGGCAATAAAAAATTAGTGCTCACTAACCTCCCGCCCCCCCCCCCCCCACCCCCCACTGAGTGAAATATTGGCCGGCACGATTTTCAAATTTCAGCACACTAAAGTTCAAATTGATTTCAAATTTGGCCCCCCCCCTAAGAAATCCTGGATCTGCGCCTGTTGTAAGCATACAGTGTAAACTGTGTATACGTGATAGCTACGGAATTTACGGAATACAGATTTTCTACAATACTTAATTGTACATATTGAAGGATATTATGCGAGGGAGCGTAGCGTATGAGCAAGATAATTTGCATTTTTATTAGTCTAAACGCTGCAATTTTGGGCCCTCCAGAGCCTAAAATTGTGTTGCAGTCTTTAGTCAGTATTTGCGATGTCTGCCGAAATGTCAAAGTCTAGGACTAAATTTCTCATTCGGCTGTGTTTGTGCCATAATCTGGGGAAAAAGGGTGGAGCGTGGTAGGTTCATTCATCAATCTACAGAGGCTCCGAGATGGGGAAATTCCATAATATTTTGATACTACAGGAAGGAAGAGATTCTAAGCTTTTCAGGAAATATGTGTCATGGTTCAAACAGAAATTCTAGCAAAAATCGTGAGTTATAAAATTCAAAATGTAATGTTTTTGATTGATGTATGTGCATGGCGTGTTTTGAGTGTCTCTACTGTTCACTGAAGCGAATGAACATCCTACTTGAACTACTTGTATGATATTCTGAGCTGTACAGAAAGTTGCACAAACTGGGGGCCCGGAGGTTAACACTTTACGATGAGCGGCTCATTACCCTAGGACAGGCCTTCTCAACTGGCGGCGCTTGCGGTTAGTCGGAGTGGCGCGCGACTGTTGCAACAACAAAACAAAAAACAGAAAAAAGAGAATATAATATTTTAGAATTAAATACTCAGCTAAATCAAGAAGTTGCAGTCGAATTCGAGCCCTAAATGCCTGTTTTATTAACAAACAGGAAGAAAGGGGGAATTTAACGTTTTTTATCATTTTATACGAATCTAAAAGGTCTGAACAACAATTAGCTTACGATGAGATATTTCAACATTGCCAATATCTGGAAACCTCTCGTTTTTGTTTGTTTAATTTCACTTTATTTTGACATTTCCCGTGTTTATTGCACAAAAAAAAAGAACTACATATAAATATACCTCCATTGTAATTGTACTCAGGAATTTTACTAATTTTTTCACATCAATATGAAATTATGAGTGATTATATTGTGGAATGAAATGGTGCTAAAAATGCCCCATTTGGGCCTTTAGAAAGCCCTAAATCTACCAGCTTCAGGGGGCTCAGCCCCCTGCTACCCCTGTTAGGGCTTCGCCCCTGGACCCCACCCATTTTCGGCTCGGTCACTACGCTCCCTCGCAGCACAGTCGACCTTACAGGGTGGCACTTTAACTACAAATTCTTTTCGTTTTGGCACTTCTAATAAACTAGTTGAGAAGGCCTGCCCTAGGAGGCCCAACTGATATCGGCTGACCTCCCGCCGCCCACCACTGAGATTTTTTTTTGTACTGAGGAACCCTATTGTAAATGTGAGGTCAAGTTGAATTTCTCAATGCAATGGGAGTGATAAACTCCCTTTTGTTGACTGACCTCCCTGGAAATAGTGACTGCTTGTACTTATTTTTGAGGGAAGTTCTAAATTAGTATTATCTTTTGAATGCTGTTGAAATTCAACCTTTTCATTTTGTTTGCCTGCAAACGGGACACAGTACCTTTAAATTGAGATACAAGTGTAGAAGAAGTATACATGTAGTTTGCAGGAACATGCTTAACATGCCGGAGATGGGTTGTTTGCTGTAACATCACGGATATCTCCAATTCCGTTTAACCGCCAGTCAAAACCGGACGGTTTTCGGTTAAACGATTTAAAAAAAAAAAAAAAAAAAAAAAAAAAAAAAAAAAAAAAAAAAAAAAAAATCATTTTTTTTTTTTTTTTTTTTTTTTGCTGACTCTGTCGGCAGCAAGCCAGGTCCGTGTGAAAAAGCGGGAAGGCACCGATTTGTGCTTGCGAACTTGTCACAAATAATAGTAACAATGTCATTTTTAGAAGAATGTGTAAGATCATTAATGTAAATTAAAAACAGTAGAGGACCTAGGATAGAACCTTGTGGTACGCCTTGTGTAAAAATTGGATGAATATTATTATAAACTACATATTGAGATCTATTACAAAGATACTTTCAAACCAAGATGACAGACAAATTGGAGTGTTGTTCTAGTTTCAGAGTGGTGAGTCAACACACAGATTACTGAGCTGGGAGACATTGTCAGGCATAGTGCCAGGTGGAGGGGCATAAATCTAAACTTTAAAAAAAAAAAAAAAAAAAACGGGAAAACGAAACCGTCCAATTGAAAACGGAATCCGCCATGGGCGGTCGGATACCGGATGGTTAAACGTTTGACTACAGCACTAGTTTGACCAGCAAATTAATTGAGTAAACTGGCTAAAAATTCTTGGTGATCATATTCACTGAAAATTATAAACTCTCATTTGCACAATACAGGTTCATGCCAGGGGTCAATCAAGGATTTTCCAAAAGGGAGGGGGGGGGGGGGGTGAAATGTATGGAAATTGAGAGCGCAAAGCTTTTACCCCATGGGGTCCAGGAAAAGTTTGAAATGTAAAATGCTAAAACTGAAATTGTTTTCCTTTTTTATGGGAGGATAAGAAAAGGGGGGTGGTATGCCCCCCACACCCCCTGGATCCGCCCCTGCATGCAATTGCATGTCTGGATGACTAGACTAGCTGTATTAGGCCTTAAAGAGAAGGTTGAGTTCTGGGAAGAGGTGAAAAATAATTTGTGAGCGTTATCATTCTTATTATGCAAGCGTGGAAGAACATCAGATAAGACATGTTCCCTGAAAAGCATGGCTCTTCAAATGCCTTCATATTCTAAATATGTCATGTACATCGTAAAACTTGGGGGGGGGGGGTAGGTTTTTTTACACCACGTGTTTGTGTAGTCCCATATGCATCTTTCTGTGTACAGTGTTTGTAACTTTACCAAGACTTGGCCAATTTCTTATCATTTTGATGATTCCAGAACCTTGCAATACACACAAATTCTTTTATAAATGTAATGCTTCCTGGGAGAAATTTCAATGGTTTAAACATATTTGTGGCTTACACCCAGTAAATAAGATCGATTAATTGATCTGTAATTGAAAAACAAGTCAGAAAAAATTCTTATATGCTAGATGATCAACCTTTTCTGGTCGATTCCACACCGTTTCTTTCACAATGCAATCGCATGACCAGAACTCAACTTCATCTTTAAAGAAAAGATGTTGTATTGCTCTTTAGGTGCCAAAACATGGGTCGGTCAGTCAGAATTTTTTTTTTCCTCCCACTTTGGGCTGATATTTCTCAGTTTGAATGCTTTGAATGTATTTTTTTTTCTCTAAACGGTTACAAAAAAAACCTTTTTAAATTTCAGATTTCAAGATTTTTGGGTCGGTCGCAAAGGGCAATACAACATTTTTTTTTTAGGCCTTACTTCTCGTTATTTGCTATTGTACCTTTCCCCCCAACATCTCTGGTCAGATATACTGTAAGTTGTCAACAGTGTTCAACATTCAGTATAACATTGGTTTGACTGGGTGGAAAGATTACTATTTTAGCTTTGATTAATTGTTTTGTTATTTCCTTGCTCTATTTATGTGGCTTAATTACAATGTGTAGGTGTGTCTGACTACTTGACAAGGGTTTCATTTCTCACATCCTGGTTTTTAGAACTCAGTTAAAAAAGAGCAAACAAAAATAAAACGATAGTATCAGCATGATTTCAAAAAAACAAAGGAAATACATTGAACTGCCAGATATCAAAACATTTCAAATGATTTACAGACCATCAAAAGGAGAAATTTTGTAAATGGCAAATGAAACTGAAACTTTGTTTAACCTTAAATAGCATTTATATGCCCTTTTAATGAAGTCAATTGAAAGAATATATTGCATATCATTGTTTCTGTAGATCTTCTTACATGGTATATCCAGGCACTTGAGCAAAACTTACTAGAAGGTGAATGATTTTCATTTCTAGCAAACTTCCTTCCTTCACAGCAAGTGTAGCACAATTCTTGTAATTAAAGCAGGAAGTAAATTGACTCTTTTTCTTCATCTTCATGTAGGGTAGGAGCAATGAGAAGGAGAATACGGAGAGTACCTCGCAGCTTCCCAACACCTCACTTAATCTAACTTACTACCGGTAGGTGGGAAAGAGAGAGAGAGAGAGAGACCAAGATGGAGGAAGATACCCCCCTCATCACTACCGTGGTTACCCCCAAGAGGCTCCCGTTCTCCCAGCGTCTTTCCTACGGTGTCGGCCATGTACTGAACGACCTCTGTGCTTCAATGTGGTTCAGCTACTTGCTTGTCTACTTTCACAAAGTTCTTGGCTTTTCGTGAGTGACCATTGATTCAAATCATTATTTTTTCTAATTTTCTTTGATAAATATATTTCATGCTACCATTTATAACCAAAGTTGCGGAAAACATATATTTAAAATGTCATAGGACAACTCTTATGTAAGCGGTTAATTAAAATGATGCTAGAAGGGGGTGGTGGTCCTGCTAAGTGTAGATGGATCCTAAAATGTTCAAATACTTTTAGGGTCTTGATTATTTTAAAGGAGCTAAACAAAGAAAAATTCACTACAACTGATAATTAGAACAAATTACATATGGATGGAAAGATTTTCTCTTGAAAAACACAAATAATTTGCTGAGAAATCATATAGATATCATGGAAAGGCCTAAAATGCAATTTTTCAAGACCCTTCTTAGACCCCCGAACACCTCTGAACGTAAGCCAAACACACGAGCGTAGCGAGCTCTTAATAGTGACGTCACACACTGGACAAGCAGCTCAATACCGGCCGCCTACCGGAGTCGCGCGTGTATTAGTCTGCAGCTAGCCAGCCGTGTCCCGTGTGTGACGTCACAAATATTGACGCTCTACAAAGGACCGCTGAAGGCAGAAAATCTGGATCTCGAAACTAATAATTTTGAGAGTTGATTACTGCGTGCCCCAAACAAATTCTGAAGAGGAGAGTTGTTGTATTTGATCAGTAAGGCTTCCCCTTAGCAATGATATGGGTTTTGCATCAATTCAAAACACTTTTGATTCTTTATGTGTCTACTTTAAGGGTAGTTTTACTACCATTTGAGGGACTCCTTGTAGCGTCTAAACTCAAGATGATTATTCATATTTTTATCACAGTTTTTGCCTATATGTTCTTACCTTGAAGAGAGTGGTACTGCTTCATGTAGTTTCCTATCGTTGAGAGGGTGAATCACACATTACTGATAGCAGTGTAGTGCAAACATATAGTGCACAAAAAAAAATCTAATCTAATTTTGCTCAATGCACTAGTACATCTAGTTGAGTAAAGTAATGAGAACGATATAATGTAAATGATCACATACTTACCGGTATTGGAAAGTATGTACGTACATGTATAGACTTTTTAAAAATTTCTATTAGGCAATTAACATAAGTAGAATTACAATATATAAGAAACCATGATACATTGATTTGTTTCTTTTCTTCTATGACATCAGGAATTCAATGGCTGGTGCTCTTCTGTTGCTAGGTCAGATAAGTGATGGTTTATGCACCCCTCTGATTGGCTACGAGTCTGATCATACAAAGACTGGAATCTGTAACTATGGACGTAGGAAGTCTTGGCATTTGATTGGTGAGTTCTAGGGATTATGTCTCATTGTGAGACATAGGGGAGAAAGGGAACAACATGTATTACATGCAAATACCATTCACTGCTGTGCATTCAGAATCAAGACCGAACCATATTTAAATAATGTTTTTTTATCAAAGGAGGTGGAGGAGGAGGTGGAGGTGGTGGTGGAGGTGGAGGTGGAGGTGGAAGTGGAGGAGGAGGAGGAGGAGGAGGGAGCAAACAGAGAAGGAAGGAGAGAGAAGAAGGAGAAGGAAGAAAGAAGTAGGAGAAGGAAGAAGGAGGGGGAGATGATGATGATTAGTAGTACTAAGGCTACGATAAAAAGAAGTTGCTCAATTGGTCATAATAAATCAAACTTGCAACCAGTAATTGGAATAATTTAAAGAATTTAATGTTTTCAAAATGAGAATAAATATAACACCTGATAGCAAACATACCTCTGTTCTGAAATTTACGATATCAATTATATTATTATTAATTAATTCTCCATACACGATTATCTGGTTTGTGCTTTGACATACATGCACATGATGCGTGAAGAATCAATTCTTCCTCAAGATTTCTTCTTTAGTCTTACTATTGTTTCTTATTATCTTAAAAGTCATATGCAAAAGTTAGTGGCAAGGTTTAGCTGTATGATAGCTGCCATCGGGATTATCTCTACAAGTAACAAGTATTATCATTAATATCATTATTTCTACCTCAGGTACCCTGAGTGTGATATGTAGCTTTACCTTTATCTACCAGCCTGTATTCGGTGGAGAGCATGCAGAAGACTGGGCAAGATTCATCTACTATGCCCCCTTTGTCGTGATCTTCCAGTTCGGCTGGGCCGCCACCCAGATCTCTCACCTCTCTCTCATACCAGAGATCACCTCAGAGGATGGGGAGAGGGTGGAGCTTAATGCTATTCGGTAAGACACATCAGAGGATGGGGAGAGGGTGGAGCTTAATGCTATTCGGTAAGACACATCAGAGGATGGGGAGAGGGTGGAGCTTAATGCTATTCGGTAAGACACATCAGAGGATGGGGAGAGGGTGGAGCTTAATGCTATTCGGTAAGACACATGAGAGGATGGGGAAAGGGTGGAGCTTAATGCTATTCGGTAAGACACATTAGAGGATGGGGAGAGGGTGGAGCTTAATGCTATTCGGCAAGACACATGACAGGATGGGGAAAGAATGGAGCTTAATGCTATTCGGTAAGACACATCAGAGGATGGGGAGATGGTGGAGCTTAATGCTATTCGGTAAGACACATCAGAGGATGGGGAGAGGGTGGAGCTTAATGCTATTCGGTAAGACACATCAGAGGATGGGGAGAGGGTGGAGCTTAATGCTATTCGGTAAGACACATGAGGCTGTTTTAAACAGGATGAATAATGTTGTTTAATTATATTTAATTATGTTAACTTTTTCATTTCATTTCGTTTCATTTCTTTATTGTGTCCATATAGGATAATTGTTTATATGCACATGAACAATCTTGCTTCGACATATGAACATAGGAACAACATATAATTGACATTCATAGGGCCCTGTTTTAGTATACATTTGATATAATATACGTGGTCATGATGAATATACAAACATATACATTTAAATACTCTTTCTTCTTCTTTTTCTTCTTCTTCTTCTTTTTCTTCTTCTTCTTCTTCTTCTTCTTCTTCTTCTTCTTCTTCTTCTTCTTCTTCTTCTTCTTCTTCTTCTTCTTCTTCTTCTTCTTCTTCTTCTTCTTCTTCTTCTTCTTCTTCTTCTTCTTCTTCTTCTTCTTCTTCTTCTTCTTCTTCTTCTTCTTCTTCTTCTTCTTCTTCTTCTTCTTCTTCTTCTTCTTCTTCTTCTTCTTCTTCTTCTTCTTCTTCTTCTTCTTCTTCTTCTTCTTCTTCTTCTTCTTCTTCTTCTTCTTCTTCTTCTTCTTCTTCTTCTTCTTCTTCTTCTTCTTCTTCTTCTTCTTCTTCTTCTTCTTCTTCTTCTTCTTCTTATGTATTTACCTTGTTAGGCGCCTTGAGCATCTCTTGGGGTGGATATGTGCGCATTATAAATATTGTTATTATTATTATAATTACGACGATCATCAAAGATATTGGTAATGAGGCACATGTGATTCATTTATTGAGACTGTCACATGTGTTATCATTAAAAAGCATTCGGTAGGTTCTAGTTTCCTGTCCCTCAATTTCTAAGTACACACTGCACAGTAGTGCAATGTGCGTCAGCAGCATTTTTTCTTCAATATTAAAAAAAAAATTAACTCCACCACCTTTTCCCCAGTTACTCATTTCTTTCCTCAAGTTTGTTTAGATTGCATATGTTTATAGTTTATCATTTGATTTAAGTTTCTCGTCACTGCTACCGTATGTAACAGTTTTTCCTTTGCAGCAAATGTAAATAAAGGAAAATAGTATCCCAAATGGGAGACAGTCTCCTAAATAGGTTACTAAAATCTTGATAAAAACATTAGAAGCAATCTCCCAAATGCCTGCTGCTTGCCTCTACTGAACATATGGGACAGACAAATTACCAAACACATGTTCCTTTGACTTGCCTCTGTGCTTTGCTCATCAGATATGCTTTCACAGTGATGTCCAGTATTCTAGTTTACCTGGTCACCTACCTCCTTCTTCAGTTAGATGACCAAGATGATATGAGTGCCCCTACATCTACCCTAGATCCAGATGATATTCCGAAGTTTAGAGTAAGTTATTTGCTGATGTTTAACACGATTAATCAATATATTTGTGCACGTTACACAATATGTGCTTTGAAAGCCATTATGTGATATAAAGTATGTGTATATTTATTGCTTGTGAAATAGTTTCTCAAGATTCTTGACTACATTTTTTAGGCCCTTTTCAGAAAGTCTAGTTTGCAACTGAAATGGACCAGAGCTATAAAGTCATCAATCAGTTATCTACACCTAAATGGCTTAATGGCGTTTATTACACCTTATCATGGTTCAGTTTAGTCTTTAACAAATTGATTCAATGTTCTGTAAATGGGGATTTATCAAACTTAACACGATTTGATGTATCACCTGCTACTCCTCTTTCTTGTTTTGTGTGGCATCAAAACTTAATTCAAAATCATTTTGAATTTTTTCATATTTTCTGCTAAAACACAAATTAATACTCATGTCCAGGTCGGTTTACCTTTCATGACTATTAGAATCATTTACATGAAGGAATGTTTAATGAATTGCTGTTTAGACATGGACTTTGCTGTTGCTGTCCTTGTCAGAGCAACCAGAAAGATTCATTATGTGTGTTCAGTATGCCTTCTCCACTGAAGCTAGTAACTTATTATCAAGCTTTGATGTGTCTTTTTCCCCCATTTGATTCATACAGTGTAGGTAATAGAAATTGGCAAATGATAAATACGTTCACTCAACTGATTAATTCATGTTACTGGGCATATGCAAGTAGCGTTCAACGTACATACATGTATATGCCTTTCACAGTACCTGTATTACAATCCCCATTTTTCTTGATTTCAGTGGCTGTTAGCAGATCACATACATGTGATTAATATGTCATTACAGGCCAAAAGAGGACCCCCCCCCCCCCACATATGTACAGAGTTCAATTTGTCTGTTTCATTTGCAAATAGTGATTCACTATGGAACATGGCAAAAGGAAGATAATATTGACATAAGCTTTTATGAATCATGTGAAAGAAATGGTGCTCACGAGGTCCCGTTATCTTAAGCAGGAGGTGTGTCTAATACAAATAGAACTATATTTAATCAGGAAAATGGTATACGTGTTTTATGATTTGAACTATGGAATCATTCATTTTTTCATTTACTGTATTTTCTTTGGTTAACATGTGGGTCGTTGTCCTTTGCTTATTATGTGTTTGCCTATTATGAATAAAATACCTAATAAAGCTGGCTACAACCCATATTATCACATGGTATATGCATGATTAAGCCTAATTAATGTACATCATTATCATTTCTAGCCTGAAAGACATGGTGCGGTAGACCGCAGCAGAACAGCAGGCGTGTTTTTTCAAAATGTGTAAATATTAACCCTTAGTGCATACAACAAAGGACTTGTGTGTAATCACTGAGCTCTGTGTTAGAAGATACAGAAATGTGAAATTACACAGAAATTACACTGTACATCATCATAAAAAATGCAGCGGTTTTGCAGTGTCATAACTGAATGAGCTTTGCATGCATTTTTATTTGTCAGTCACATTTTTCAAAAGAGCATTAAGAGACAAAAAAGTATAATAATGTACAATGTATGTTGTGTTTTTGTTTATGAAAGATCATTCAGTGTAAAAGATAGGTTTTCACAAAAGTATACAGTGTATAACACACACACTCAAGAAAGAAAGATTACCAACAGTCCTTTTCAGGACTCCCCAATCCTCCCCTCTCTCACATGGTGTAACAGTAAGCCTACTGTATACAAGTTCAAGTTCAAGTTCACTTTATTCAATACTTTCATTAAAAATATACAAGGAAAACAAACATATAAAAGTTAGAATATAATACATGTATCAATATATAACGTGAGGCAGTGGCGTACCTATGGGGGGGGCAGGGGGGGCAGAGTGCCCCCCTGACGGGCTCCAGGGGAAAAAAAGAAAAAGGGGAAAGAAAAGAAAAGAAAGGGAAAGGAGAGAAAAAGAAAAAAGGAAAAGGAAAGAAAAAAGGAAAGAAAGAGAAAAAAGGAAAAAAAGGAAAGAAAAAAGGAAGAAGAAGAGAAAAGGAAGAAAAAGGGAAAAGAAAAGGAAAGGAATAAAAATGGGGAAAAAAAATAAAGAACATGGCCGTAAGCACCAGGGGGGGGGGGCAGTTGACCCCAGATATTTTGAAATCGTACATTTTTTTTCCTGAAAATGTAGTGTAGGCCTATACCAAATCCTTCAATTCTACTTTTGAAAATGCAAAAGTACCCTCATGACCAGTTCGGTCGCTCGAACTCCCTTCACTCCTTTTGCTTTTGAGATTCTTCGAAAACTTTTAACGCATCTTTCCCCCTTCCCCCATCAGAAAAATATTTAGCATACGGCCCTGAAAAATTAAAACAAATGAAAATAGGAAAATATAAGTGATATAACAAATTTGAAACTCTTCGCTGGCGCGAACTGCTTGCTAGCCTATTTTGTATTAAATGTTTTCACTTCCTCGTCCCCCTGAAAAGAGAAAAGGATTAGTATTGCCTAGAATACAATTGTGCCTGCCCCGACGGGCCCCGACCTGCAACCATGGCAACAATAACACACAATATATGTACCAAATGTTACTAAAAGAGACTAATTCATTTTTCTCGCTCGCTACACTCGCTCGCGAATAAAATGAATAGACATTGCTTTGGAAACAATTGTGCCCACCCTTGACCTGCAACAATATCATTAAAAATGGAAGAGTTTTTTCGCCCTCTCGCCAAAAAGGAATTGAATCGCGTTAAACGCGATTGCGTCCATCCTGACCTGCACCAATAAAAACAAGTTTATTTATTAATTTCTATTAAAAGAGAATTTATTTTTTTTGCTTGCTCGCTATGCTCGCTTGCCAAAATGGAATTGACACCGCTAACGTGCCCGCCCCAACCTGCAAAAACCAGTTAATAATTATGTACGAAACGTTATTCAAAGAAGTTTTGGTGTGCTCGTGCTCGCCAAAAGGGAATTAACATCACCTTAGACATGATTGTGTAAGCCCTGCCCTGCAATAAAAAAATCTGAAATTTATGAACCAATTATCATTACAAAAATTTTGCTCGCTCGCTACGCTCGCTCGCCAAAATAGAAATAACACCGCTTTTAATAATCACGTCCCTGACATGGAACAATTAAACCAAGTTTAATATACCATATTTTCCCTATAAAGAGAAGTGATTTTTTTTTTTGCTCGCTCGCTACGCTCGCTCGCCAAAATAGAATTAACACCGCTTTTAATAATCACGTCCCTGACATGGAACAATGAACCCAAATTTTATGTACCATATTTTCCCTATAAAAGAAAAGTGATTTTTTTTTTCGCTCGCTACGCTCGCTAGCTCGTGGAATTATGTGCCCACCACTAACCTGCTACAATATCATTAAAAAGAGAAATGTAGGGGGTTGCCTGCCCGCCAAAATGGGATTGACATTGCCTTTAAACACGAGTGTGCCCGCCCCCTACCTGCAACAATCACCCTAAACACAATATTGTTCCCGCGCCCTGCATGGGACAATTGAACCAAGTTTAAGTGGCAATTATTAAAAAAGAAGTGATTTTTTTCTTGCTCGCTACACTAGTTTGCAAAAAAATGAAATTAACGTTGCTAACAAGTGAATGTTCCCACCCCAACTTGCAACAATACCAGTTTATATACCAAACGTTACTTAAAGATTTTTTTTGCTCGCTCGCTCGCTCGCCAGAAGTGAAAATTAGCATCGCCTTTTTTGTTTGTTTCGGTCGCTTGCCCCCCCTGACGGAGTACCCCAGGTACGCCACTGACGTGAGGATAACACAAGTGGAGAAGACATGATGGACAAGGGAAAAACATTTTAAACATGTACATTAATGAAAGTATTTGGAGACTAGACAGGAAGGCTGGGCCTTATATAAAAGTCTGTCTCCAGTAATTGTATAAAAAACTAAGTACATTATTTAAATTTTGTATTTGTTATAAAAAGTAAGTAAAAAAAGGGGAAATAAAAAATTGCATTCACACATACACTCTCTCCCAAACACACAAACACACACTTTTCTGTCTGATGAACATTAAGAATATAGGTTATTGCATTATTGAGTATTGTCTTAACAAGTACAGTTTAAATTTTCTTTTAAAACTATTTAGTGATGGACTCAGTCGAATATCTATGGGTATGTCATTCCAAATTTTTGGACCCCTGAAAAAAATTGTATTTTGGGAAACTAGTGTCCTTACTCCTGGAATATGAAAATTATTTAAAGTCCTGGTCTGGTGGCCATGAATATTCTTATTAAGTTGAAAATATTGTAAAATAGTATTTGGTAAAAGTTTTTTAAAGCATAGATACATAAAAATTGCACATTGATAAACATAAATATTGTTTACTTTTAAAAACTTTAGGTTGTAAAAAAGAGGTAAAGTATGAGCAAGGTATTGGCTGTGCGATATAATTCTTATAATTTTCTTTTGTAAAACTAAAAGCCTATTTGTATTTTGCATACTAGAGCATGCCCATACAAGAATACAATGATTTAAGTGGGGTAATATTAATGTATTATACAAAATTATCAATATTTCTTTAGGTAAAAATTTCAATTTATAAAATATACCAACATGTTTAGCCAATCTATTGCAGACGACACCAGTGTGTTCCTTCCAATTTAATTTATCGTCTATTGTGACCCCTAAAAAAGTTAAATGCGTAACGTGTTCAATAACTGATTCCTTAACTTTAACCTTTATTTGGGTAACATCAATGTGTTTTTTGGTAAAAATCATGAAGTGTGTTTTTTTAATATTGATTACAAGTTTATTTATATATAACCAATCAACCAGTTTAGCAAATTCTGTATTAAAAATATTTTGAAGAGATACAATATCTTGATGGGACATAAACACACTAGTGTCATCTGCAAATAATATCAGTTCTAGCACTTTTGAAACATTGCAAATATCATTTACATATAAAAGAAATAATAATGGCCCAAGAATTGAGCCCTGGGGCACTCCACATCTTATCGCCATTGTCTTTGATTCACATTTTTCTAGAACAACATATTGTTTGCGATTACTTAAATAACTTTTGAACCATTCCAGTACAATACCTCTAAAACCATAACATTCCAATTTTTTTAATAATATTGAGTGATCAAGAGAATCAAAAGCCTTGCTAAGATCTAAAAACAGGCCAATCATTATTTCTTTATTATCAAAGGCATTTGTAACTTTATGAATAAAATCAGTGATGGCAGAAGAAGTAGAGTGTCCCGCTCGAAAACCAAATTGTTTGGGAGTAATAATATCGCCCTTTTCCAAGAATTTATATACACGACTATATACACATTTCTCTAAAATCTTTGAAAAAATAGGAAGAATAGATATGGGCCTATAATTTGATAAATTATCATTTGATCCATTTTTATAAATAGGAATAACCTTTGCAATTTTAAGTTTGTCTGGGACAACACCAGTATTTAAAGATAAATTGATAATATCACATAAAGGGTAACATAAAATATGAATAACATTTTTAACCAATGTGATATCCACTCCATCAAAACCAGGACTCTTGCCATTTTTAAGTTTAGAAACAATATTAATAACTTCTTTTGGTGTACACGGAGTAAAAAATGCAGATGAATTATTTTTTATTACATGTTGCATACAGTCCCCAGAATTTACAAAAGAAGAAGACAGTGTATGGCCTATATTTACAAAGTATTTGTTAAAAGCATTACACATTGCTGCTGTCTCATTTATCATTGCATCATTACACTGAATTGAACTTGGTAGCACCTTCTTCTTTACACCCCTACCCAGTACTCCATTGATTATTTTCCATGTGTTTTTCATATCACCTGCAGCATTTTGAAATTTACCTTTAAAATATGCTCTCTTTGTTTCTTTAATTTCTTCAGTTATCTTATTTCTGAAATTCTTGTATTTTTCATGTCTTTCTGGAGTTGGTTTTTTAACATATCGTCTGTATAAGTAACATTTTTTATTACAGAGCTTACGTAGTGGTTTATTAAACCATGATTTATTTTTGAATTTCTTTTTAACTTCTTTTAGCTTCTCTCCCATTACCTAAAAATGAATAATGATCAATGTTATAAAAACAATCACTCTCTTTCAGCCACGTTTCTGTTATACCTAAAAGCGAAAATTGCACTTCCAAAGTATTAAGAAATATAGTTAAATTTTCAAAATTCTTATTCATACTCCTGCAATTACAATGCAAGCTAGAAAAGACACGTGAATAGTTCTTTAATTTTGTTTTACTGTAATCATTAAATTCATCTGGGGTATAAAAAGATTGGGAAGGCCCGTAATTGTATCCATTTTCATTATTCTCAGGAGACAGATATTCATGAATAGTTTGTAAATCAATAGATTGTAAAGATTGCACATAACTTTGTTTCTCAGACATGCTCACTACACACATACACAGACACACCTACAAATATAAACAGAAAAAAAAAAGGGAAAAAGGGAAGAAAAAAAGAAAAAAAAAAGAAGAAAGTTCAATGGAGATAAACGGCAAAAAACAAAACAAAAACAACGGCAAATGTTCGATGTATTGTAAGAAGAAAAGCCACTAGGAGCCTATATAAAATTCATCAAGAACAGAAGATCATTAAAATAGAAATAAAAAATTACAGCTTCTGTAAGTCCTCTTTGCGTGTGATGAGATGCTTCATTGTCCCATTTGTAGTTGCAGCACTTACATAAATACGTCCACCTAATGACCATGCTGCTAGAACCTTAGGGCAGGCCTGGGCATCACTCAACAGTTTGAAGTTAGACGCTGTCAGGTCTTCAAACACAGATATGTGAGATCCTTTCAGTTTCCTTCTATTTGCGATTAGCTGTTGACAGCATTTGTAGGAGCGAAACTTTACGATGATACCCCTGCTCCTAGCCTTGTCAGCTGGAACTTTTCCTACACGGTGACTGCGATCGATGTCACTCGGGTCGAAGGTGATTCCCATTTGCCGTGCGACATCATAAACGATTTCATCTGTATTTTCTTGCGGTTTTTCCTTGACTCCAAAAATGCGTACACAGTTTCGACGCGAGTACTGCTCCAATGAATTGATGTTTCGTTTAAGGCTATGCGCTTCTTCATTACGGCTGTTAAGCTCCTTCTGAAGCGATTTGAACTGTTGATCCTGTTGATTCTTCCCATTCTGAACACCCATGAGGTCACTCTCCAGCTTGTCACATCTGGTCTCCATAGAACTCAACTTTGTCTCAAGGTCACGTATTTGTATACATACAAGTTAGTAATTACTTAGGGAAATCCTAATCCTAAACCTAACTCAATGGCATCCCTGAACTACATCGTTGTTGAATGAAACCCTGAAGCAATTGTCGCCTGAAAAAATATCTAATCACTGTGTAACTTTGTCATATGATAATGGAAATTCATGAATATTAAAGGGTGCTTTCATGCTACAGAATTATTAATACATTCCCAACTTCTCTTTAATAATGAACAGTACCTGGTCATCATCGTTGTTTCCGTGGGGACCATCTTCTCCATCATCTTCCATCTTGGAACCAAAGAACCCAAGGGCGGGAGGAGGTATTCTCAGGAGGAGGATGAGGGGGGTCATTACGGGAGCACCCAGGCGACAAACCAACCACAAGTCATGATGAAATGGAGTGACTGGCTTAAAGAATCTCAGTTTTATCAGGTTAGTAGTGGAACTGGGAAGGGGGAGGGGGAGAGAGAGAGAGAGAGAGAGAGAGACCGAGAGAGAGAGAGAGAAAGAGAGAGAGAGAGAGAGAGAGAGAGAGTGAGTGAGCGAGTGAGTGAGCGAGTGTGTGAGGGGGAGAGAGAGAGAGAGAGAGAGAGAGAGAGAAGGGAAAACATCACAAGGATGAGGGGGTCATTCTTACGAGCACCCAGGCTATAAACCAACCACAAGTCATGATGAAATGGAGTGACTGGCTTAAAGAATCTCAGTTTAATCAGGTTAGTGGTGGAACTGGGAAGGGGGGGGGGGGGGGGGGGGGGAGAGAGAGAGAGAAAGAGAGAGAAGGGAAAACATCACAAGGATGAGAGGGTCGTTCTTACGGGAGCACACAGGCTATAGACGGACCTCAACTCAAGATGAAATGGAGTGAATGGCTTAAAAGAATCTCAGTTTTATCAGGTTAGTAGTGAAAGAGAGACAGAGAGAGAAAGAGAGAGAGAGAGAGAGAAAGAGAGAGTGGGAGGGGGGGTGGAGAAAAAAGTGTGAGTCCCTGGAAAATGACAATAGAAAGAGAAAGCAAGATATAAATAGAAGGAGGAAGGAGACAGAGAGAGTGAGAGTAAAAGAGAGAGAGGATGCATGAGTCTGATTGACAAACAGACAAGATGACTAGAGAGATATATACGGTATACATGTAAATAGTTGTGAAGGGTATAAATATAGAGTTAGAGAGAGAGAGTAGAATAGTAGACACTCAGTTAGTCAGTAAAACTCAGTTAAGATATTGAAATATCCCAACTTATTCTTAAAGGGAAAGTCCACCCCAAAAATAAGTTTGTTTCGATAGAGGCAGAATAATAAGAAAATCAGGTCAGTGAAAGTCTGAGCAAATTCCGATTAAAAATAAGGAAGTTAGGATTTTTTAAGTTGTGATCAATCAAACACAAATTGGCAACTCTATGACGTATCATGCGAGCTCAACTTCCATTTGCTCAGTACTAAAAAAATCTAAAATTTTCATTTTCCCTCAAGAAAAAATTTCAACCATACATGCACCCTAAATATAATAATTGCAAATATGTTTCTATACTCCCCCTGCACGGAACAAATATATATTCCGTCATCAATAACGAAGAAAACATGATTTTATGGAATATTATGCACAAAGCAAATGAAGGAGAGCTCGTATAATAAGTCACAGAGTTGCCAATTTGTATTTGATTGATCACAACTTCAATAATTCATAACTTTCTTATTTTCATTCAGAATTTGCTCAAACTTTCACTCACCTGATTTTCTTATTATTCTGCCTCTATCGAAATGAACTTATTTTTGGGGTGGACTTTCCCTTTAAGAATAAAGTTCAGTCATTTTTTTTGTACAATTCAGGCAACTCCTTTTTTAATTCAATTCTCAGTTTTGTTCAGGCAATATTTTTATGCCTCCGCCACCGAAGGTGGTGCCGGAGGCATCATGTTTTCGGGTTGTCCGTCCGTACGTCCGTCCGTCCGTCCCGTTTGACCGTTATCACAATATCTCAAGAACCATTTAAGATTTAAACTTAAGACTCGGGAATAGTATTTATCACCATAGGAAGACGATCTGATTAGATTTTGGAGTACGTAGGTCAAAGGTCACAGGTCACAGAGGTCAACTTATGAAATTCCTTGTATTGAGTTTGTTAGCGCGATATCTCAAGAACCATTTGAGATTTAAACTTCAAACTTAAGGATAGTATGTATCACCATAGGAAGACGATCTGATTAGATTTTGGAGCACGTATGTCAAAGGTCAAGGGTCACAGAGGTCAACTTATGAAATTCCATACATTGAGATTGTTATCATGATATCTCAAGAACCACTGGAGATTTAAACTTCAAACTTAGTGATAGTGTGTATCACTATAGGAAAACAATCTGATTACATTTTGGAGCACGTAGGTCAAAGGTCAAGGGTCATAGAGGTCAACTTATGAAATTCCATACATTGAGATTGTTATCATGATATCTCAAGAACCACTGGAGATGTAAAAACTTCAAACTTAAGGATAGTATGTATCACCATAGGAAGACGATCTGATTAGATTTTGGAGCACGTAGGTCAAAGGTCAAGGGTCACAGAGGTCAACTTATGAAATTCCATACATTGAGATTGTTATCATAATATCTCAAGAACCACTGGAGATTTAAACTTCAAACTTAATGATAGTGTGTATCACCATAGGAAGACAATCTGATTAGATTTTGGAGCACGTAGGTCAAAGGTCAAAGGCCACATCGCACATTATGAATGCAAAAACAGCTTGTGATCGCGTTATCTCAAGAACCGATTGATGGATTCATGCCAAAATTAGGTCATGTTTGTTACTTGCAGAGCCAATGAACTGAGTAGATTCTTGGTTCATAAGGTCAAAGGTCAAAGGTCATGGGACCATTATGTATGCAAAAATAGCTTGTGAACGCATTCTCATTAGAACTGACAGATGGATTACTATTTAACTCAGAACATCTTGCAGAGCCAATGAACTGAGTAGATTTTATGGTCATGAGGTCAAAGATCAAAGGGTCATATATGTATATGAGAAATTGCTTGTAATCACAATATTCTGAGAACCTGTCAATGGATTACCATTGAACGTGAATTCAATTTTTTTTTTCTGTTTTGGTTTGTAAAATTGCTCTATAACGGAGGCATCATTTTCGACTGCACGCAGTCGAATTCCATCTAGTTCTTTCTTTTGCACATTTGTGTGTGTTTATCTCTCTGTCTTGTACTTATCAGGCCTTCATCTTGTTCTTCATTCTGTTTTCATTTATTTGTTTCATCTTACCTCTCAGGTGACGGCTCTGTATATGTTTACTAGGTTGATGGTTAATATAGCTCAGATATACATACCTATGTATGTCACAGACACACTCAACTTAAATAAGGTAAATCTTTCATGCTTTCTACATTTTTCACACATCTTGTGCTCTTTTAGGGTACTGTTGTAAACAAAATATCAGAAGGTGATGGGTAGCAGGATTCGACTCAAACCTGCTTTAAAGGGATCCAGTAATTTTGCTTCAGATTCTGAAACAAAATCCTGGATTTAGCTCATGCTGCAATGGTAGTTATAAACCTTTAGGTCAGTCAGGAACCCCATGAATTTTACAAGCCGATCGCCTGTCTAATTATCAAGATATTTATGATTGGAAAATCAAAACCAAATTTTGTGTTTTCTTAACGGTTTTCATAACACTATATACTATTGGTTTACTATAACACTACTGTCTATTGGGGAAAATGAGTATGGTAAAACCTGTCACTCAAAGATTTTCACTTTTTTGAGACACTTCTTGATCATTTTGAAGTGCTTTTTTTTTGTAGGGCTTCAATATTACACCATATCACAGATGCTGATAACACGTAGGGCCGTGCATCTCAGATTTAAAATTGTTAAATGATCATGAAGTGCCTCAAAAAAGTAAAAATCTTTGAGTGACCGGTTTTACCATACCAGTTTTTCCTGATAGACTAGTGTTATGAGAACCGTTTCGCAAAATTTGTAATTCCAATCATCAATATCTTGATAATCAGACAGGCGATCGGCTTGTAAAAGTCATGGGGTTCCTGACTGACCTAAATGTTTATAATTATCATTGCAGCATGTGCTTAAATCCAGAATTTTGTTTCAGAATCTGAGACAAAGTTACCAGATCCCTTTAAAGGCATCGTTTAACCATGTTAAATCTGAGTGTCTGTGATATGGTGTAATATTGAAGCACTAACAAATCATGAAGTGCCTCAAAAAAGTAAAAATCTTTGAGTATCCAGTTTTACCATACTCATTTTCCCCAATAGACTGTAGTGTTATAAAAACCGTTAGAAAAACGAAAAACAAATTTCGATTTCCAATCATAAATTTCTTGATAATCAGACAGGCGATCAGCTTGTAAAAGTCATGGGATTCCTGACTGACCTAAAGATTTATAATTACAATTACAGCATGAGCTAAATCGAGGATTGCTACTGAGTTACTTTAAAGGCTGTCTATAATGACCACTCTTGTGTCTCTCTTGAGTGTTTATCTGAAATATTTATAACAAGTCTACATTCAAAATCAAGGAATTGAATTGAACTTTATTTTCTCCTTGATATCCACAGAACAGTGTAGCATTAGTCCCACTAGTGGTCTATATAAGTGGGTTCTTATCAACTCTGGTAGCCAAGCCAATCAACAAGAAAGCTGGAAGAAAGGTAAGTGTTCAATCATTAAAGGGGGTGTAGCACGACGAGACTACATGTCTTTCCTGTGGCCTAACTCTGGGAAAAATCGGGTATAATACGGACGGCGTGACCGCAGTATTCACGTGCCTGCAACATACGCAAAACTGAAGCGTAAGGAGAACTTTGGTCTGTTTCGCGAACGCTAGCGCACGCTGACCGTTTATCAAGTCCACTCATTTACGTGCAGTTGTCCAAAAAAAGTTGTAAATGGCGTTAACCAATATTCGCCATGCTGCACCCCCTTTAAGTGGAAAAGTGTAATTATTGGCTAAACAACCATTTAGACAATTAAATATTGAATTTGATAGGGATCACACAAATAACATTGAACAAAGCTCTGAACAAATTACTGGTTTCGTTATTGGAGCAACTTAAGTATCACCTATCACCATCAGTCCATCAGCATGATCATCAATGTATACTGCATTATCAATTTGTCCTGTATATAAATTATATGATTCTACTCTCCTTGAAAGATATTTATAGTCTTCCAGTTATTGATTAAATGAAAGACCACCTAATTCGTTTCAATGACAAATTAAATATCTCATTCTTTTTTTCTTCTCCATAGATGACGTATTTGATAGGAGCAGTGGTTTACATCGGTAGCTGTGTTTGGATGGCTATACCCAACATCGGTCTTCAGGTGTACGGGGCAGCCATCTTGCTGGGGGCTGGTGGGTCCACAGTATTAGTAACGTCTCTCGCTTTCACTGCTGATCTGATTGGTCGAAACACAGTAAGATCTTGTATTCTTTTCGAAATATTGTGGCAACTTATTCACCCAAGAATGTAAATATTTAATGCATGTTTGGTATTTTTTCTTCTTTTTGAAACAAAACTGTTGAAAATGTGAAGTCTGTGTAAATGATGTGGATTGGTAGTAGTTATTTCCTGCCCAATGAAGCAAATAATTTGACAACTTATTGAAACTTATTCTTCAAGGAATGGTGACAGTTTGTGGCATTGATGGGATACAAAAATGGAACAGAATGCCCAAAAATATTTTAAAAGCTTTTTAGATCTTATTTCATGTCCACATACACTGTAATGTTAGGATTTCCTAAGTCCTTCAGATTGGACTTTCTTCCCTAAAAGTCCTGCTGGCTTACCAACAACTTGACATATGAACTTGCTCTCTTAGTATCTCATATGATAAAGAACAAGATCTGTACTCTTTTTGCTACTTTGGCTATAGAAAGGAACATCTAGTGTTTTAATGCTGGAAAAGCTGTATTGATTTTAAAAAGAGAAGTTGTTTCATTGATATGTGGAGGTCATCATAGTTCCTCATTTTAAATGGCAACCAGTCTAGAATCATACTGTCTCAAAATCTAGTAGTGCACTTCTGAAACCTAATGTTTTATTCAGTCATTGATTTTGTAATAATACATGTATAATGCAATCTTTGGTTGAGTCTGAAAGTTTGTAGCGCCTCCTTGTGTTGATATGCTTAAAGTGTATTATTATTCATTACACATTATGTAAGGATACTTCAGACAGACTCATGTACCAATAACTATGTCTGTGGAATAATTGACACTAATCAGCGTCACAGCAACATGGGTGTTGGAATTCTAGTTCTAATCAGACCCGAAATATTTTGAATATTTTACTTGGGGCTCATGCATGTAGAGTTTATAGACTCTAGAATTCTGATGCGCCCAGCGCCTAAACAATTTAGTTTGGAGCCCTGGCCCATGCCTTGAGTTGATTATTAATGTTTCTATAAACTTTACAACGCAATGTCAAGCTTATTATAACTTTGTGAGGGAATTGCTTGCTTTGTAACACAGATTTAAAAAGCTTGTTGACTTATTGACTTTTGAAAGTTTAGAGCTTAAGCCTCATATTCAAATCACTGATGCTTTTTTTAACCAATAGTCCGCAAAACTCATTCTGAATTTTCAAGACATCTCCTTTTTTTATGCATTACTTTCATTGTATCCCCCGGCAGTATGCCGGTGGGGTACTTTGGATTCAGCAGCGTTACGCCGCTGCCGCCGCTGCGTCATATTCTTGTGTGCACTCTAAGTGCTACATTTCTTGTTTTTTCCTCCTTTTAAAAGGAAAGTGGAGCCTTTGTGTATGGCGCAATGAGCTTCACAGACAAGATATCCAATGGGATTGCTGTTGAAGTCATACAACTCATGCAGCCGTGTGTGTAAGTATAGCTTCCAATATTACATCCAATATTACTCTTTTCACCATGCTTTTATTGTTTACAATCATAAATTGTTCATAATGCAGCTCAAATTGGCAAAATCATGATGTGAACCTGCTGTGGATACTACTATTGCATTCATGTCTTTAAAAATATACTAGCTTTCACCCTTTCAGCTTTAAATTCTATTGGGTTGTATACTTGTATTGTATACTGTGCACTTGGTTGAGTTTTTCATTCATTCTGATGAGCTAAAATTTGTGAAGCAAGAGGAATTCAACTAAATTTTGTTTTAAAAATGGAAACATGTATTTTTTTTAGATTATCATAGCCCAGGGTTATTAACTGTTACTTGCATTGTTTCTTACATGTTCTACCACTGTCAGCTTTCATTTATTATCTATGTTCATGTATACACACTGCAGCAAAATTTATATTTATGATTTATACAGACATGTACAAGCACATGTCATCTTAAGATAAAGAAAAAAAGATGGATTTGATTTTTGGTGGGTGAATTCTTCAATCTTCTGATTTTTTAAAAAATAAGTAAACTAATTGCCTTTAAACTTTAAGATGAAAAAAAGATTTTGTGTGTCATGTGTGAGGTATAGCTTGTCAGAATGTAGAATTTGTATGACCTATTTTAAATGGCGGATATAAGACACGGCATAGTCAGTACCATCCTTGTCATTCTTTCTGGCTAATTGTACTCGACCCATTCACTTTGTATATGCATGAAGACACATTGCATGTACATTCTGACATATACATACACATATACTACTCTGTTCTTCACACAAATTAAGCAAATGACATTGTTTAATATGTATCATCACCCAAAAGAAATTGTACTGCAGATCTTTCATTTTGTCGTTCCTCTTTTCTTCATCTTCACACGATTAACATTTTATTTAATTTATTTTGTCCCCTTTCCCCTCCCATTCCTTGTCTTTAAAAAACAAATGGTAATCCTAGGTCTACTGTCTATCCAGTCGAGAGGTAAATTGAAGGCATGAAATGTATATCAATTACAAATTTATACTCTTTTGGTAGAGGTATAAACAACAGTATCTATTTGCAAAAATGAATTGTCAACTTCATTTATTCTGGAAACAGCATATGAGAGTTTAATCAGTGTTTTTATTATTATTATTATTATTAGTAGTAGTAGTAGTAGTAGACGTAGTAGTAGTAGTAGTGGAGGTGGTGGTGGTGGTGGTGGTAGTAATATTATTTTTGCTCGCATGAATCGCTATCTGAATTTTTTTTTAAAGGGCTTTAAAGAGAAGGTTGAGTTCTGGGAAGAGGTTAAAAATAATTGTGAGCATTATCATTGTATTATGCAAGTGTGGAAGAACATCGGATAAAAAACGTTCCCTAAAAAGCATGGCTCCTCAAATTCCTTAATAAATTAAATATGGCATGTAACAGCATACAAAATCGGGACAGATTTTTGTGCCACATGTTCGTGTGATCCCATATTCATCTTTTTGTGTACAGTGCTTGTAACTTTACCAAGACTGGGCCAAATTCCTTATCATTTTGATGACTCCAGAACCTTGCAGTACACACCAATACTTATATGCTAGATGAAAAACCTTTTCTGATTGAGGCCACAACGTTTCTTTCACCATGCAATCGCATGACCAGAACTCAACTTTAGAAGTAATGTTGCTCTGTTGGAATGTAGCAGAAATCTGAGTTTTTATATGCATACTGTAGTCAGTCAATGTTTAAAATACCATTTACTATTTTGAAGAGATGTACATATACATATTTGAATTGAATTGTTACATGTATTTGCATGATACCAATACGTATTGGGTCTTGTGGGAGAGAAACCCATAAAGCATGTATCCAGCAGGAAGTAAAATTTGAAATTCTGGTTTGCAAATGCCATTGTTCACACACTGGAAAAACCCCATGTTATAGCATATTGATAACTTGAGACTACTTGATATAGTAAGTTCTTTACCCCCAACACCCCCCCCCTCCTCCCCCATACACATTAACAGTTGAGGAGTCAGCAGTATGCACTGGTATCGGGACTAACATGTATATGGCATAAGTAACATAACCTTATACTTTAAACTTTCATTTGAGGAGTCAAGCTCGTTCATTGAGATAATGGGAGATGCTGTAGTCATATCCTGTTAATTCATATACTATTAATTCATATACTATATGCTAAATATACATGTATTAACTGACTAGTGTTTATGTAAACATCTAAGAGCAATCCTGATTGCCCAGGCAACATGCATTTTACACTCCTGAACTACCATCTTGGAGAATGAAAGCCTTCACCATCAAAGGGCAACTCAAGAAGAGCTATTAAAGCATTATGATCAACATTTTTTGGTGCAATTGGTTTAAAAATTATGTCAAATAAATTAGATATAATCACATTTATTAAGATGTTCGTGGATCAAATTTTTGGGGGTGTTATTTGTTTGTTGAACCTTGTAACCTTTTCTTTTCTTTAAATCTAGATTAAAATCAATCTATTCTATAAATGTCTATAATTCTTTTACTTCTCCAGACACTGCTGCCCAGGCTGTAAGGCTTACTACAAAGAGGTCATGACCTATGTGACCGGGGGGTCAGCCATATGCGCCATTATTGTTCTTGCCACTCTCATCCCTGTCACGATAGGAAAGAGAAGAAAAAGTAAGTCAGATGCTCTGTTATCCTATATTTTTAGTGATTACGCCAATTAAATTAATACAGGAACTATTAGTGAGACTCGTGAGATCTTCTGTTATCAAGAAACATTATGAAATATATGATTTCAAAAGGAGAGAACTGTTGTTTATGACATTCTTTGTAGATTATATTCTAAATTATGATTTATGTCAAAGATAACCTTATTCGGGAGGGTTAGGGTTCTTGAACTACACAGATAAGAATATACTGTATATATTCTTGACTGCTGGAAGGGCATTTAAGGTAAAGATCAGTTTTGGAAACTCTCAAAAACTGAAATGGAAGCTCTTATTACCAATCATGTGAAAGAATATGTTTTTACTAATACGTGGTGATACAGATTTTGCCGGGAAACTGCCTACTAATTGATATATTTGGTAAATTATCATACCTATCAGGCCTGGATAGATATCGCGTAGTCCAATATACATCTTTCTGTGAACACTGCTTGCAACTTTTCCAAGACTGGGTCAAATTTCTTATCATTTTGATGATTCCAGAACCTTGTAGTACACACCAATACTTATATGCTAGGTGATCAACCTTTTCTGATCGATTCCACAACGTTTCTTTCACAATGCAATCGCATGACCAGAACTGGTCTATACCTTTAACTCTGTGTTAAAGTATATGAGATAACTCCTAGCTCTCAGCAGACAATATATATATATATATACAGCTGAAATTGGTTAAATAAACTAGTAAGTATGGATTTGTAATATTCTATTTCCTTTTTACTTGCATGCTTCTTTGTACGCTGAAGAAGTTGCAAACTCCTGTAAAACTGATGACCGACCGAGCTTGAAGCCTGAACCATCAAGGCCTGTCTCCTCTGATTTCTTCTCTGACTCTGCAAGAAGTCACGACGAGGACCCAGCTGGGGATAATGGCTACTTGCCTCAATCAGACTGTGGGGATGTACATGCTGGCTTGGACAGACAAGCCGCCAGAATCTGTGGAAAACAAGTGGACCAAGAAGACAGCCTTGAGGAACACCATTGGAGACCTAAAGTGGAATTGAACAATTGCGCTAAAGCACAATCTCAGGAAGATTTAAATCAAGGACACGGAGTAGAGAATAACGCTGATCCTGTCTTGAGTGAGGGAGAAAATTATAGTCAACATGAAATCAGAACTTGAAATAAAATGCAATGGATTTCAATCTTTTCAAATTAAAACGAGAAACATTATATATTTGTATTAAGTAGAGAATATGTATATCTAAGACTTTATTCAGAAAGTGTGGAAGTATTTAAGAAAATTGTTGCATATATTTGTGTACTAATGCTCAAGTCTTCCTTCTAATCTGATACAGAATACTTGCCTCTATTTAAGGTCTGCTAGCACCTACATGGATTTGATGGTACTAACATGACCAGCGTAGTACTTTTAGAATAAATAAATGTATTATGGATTATTAAATATCAGAGTATCAAAGATCTGTGAAGACTCATTCACATATGATGTGGTAAACTACTTATTTTTGTACTTTAAATCATTGTATGAATTTTATTTTACATGTAAATGAATATCATAAGTAAGTATAAGTAATTAGATAACTTATTGTCCAAACATGTATCTGGAAATTCGAATTCCATAGGTTGGTATAAGTAATACAATATGAATATACATATAATGAGACAAAATACATATATAACATAAAACAAAATTGAGTTATTTTCATCATTCTTATAATCAATTCTATCAGAAAGGTTATGAACAATATGACTTTTATTGTTTTTATTATTATTATCATCATTATTATAATAATTTATATTGTTTATGTTGGTTGCAACATTTGACATGCAGTGCCATTTATATAGCTACATCATCAATCAAGTACATTTTGGCTTAGTTGATAATTTAGATACAAGTCATATTCAATTTTCTTTGTTCTTTGTTGTAGAGCAACTCATGGATATGTATTCAGAGATTTTATTTATGCAAAAGGATCTTTTCACAAATATGATGTTGAATTCATTTACATTCCATGTTAGGATCATGAAAGAAAACGGCCTTAAGAATATATCAATTCATATTCATTCCTTTGAAATATTTTGTATGTAAGTACAAAGTCATCAAGTCTGCAATGCTACTTAGCAAATGTTATATGACGAGATCTACTTTTTATACAATGTGAGTTTCGATTCAATATGCACAAACTTGCTTCTTTCCAAGAATGGAATAAATGTCTCCATTCTCCAGAGATTTTATGCCAGTCAGTTTAACCCAATTATTACCAGATTTGGTGACAACTTTGTTGCATTTTTCTCTTTTAGCTGCTTCATACCTCGGTCACATCTTAATGTGATACACTTATGATGAGAAACCTTGTCTTAATGAATGGATATAGTGTAAGAAAGTGTTTTTGTTTGATTGTCAATAACTTGTGCCATATTTTAACTGTATAGGCCTTTAAGAGAAGGTTGAGTTCTGGGAAGAGGTGAATAATTATTTGTAAGCGTTATCATTGTATCATGCAAGTGTGAAAGAACATCAGATAAAAAAATGTTCCCTGAACAGCATGGCATTCCAAATGCCTTAATATTCTAAATATGGCATGTAACATCATAAAAATCGGACAGATTTTTATGCCACATGTTCTTCTAGTCCCATATAATAATATTAATAATAACTATTTCTTATATGGCGCTTTTTTTTGAGGAGGGCCCTATCAAAGCGCCTTACAGATATACATATATACTATTACCCCGGTCATCGGATTCAAGGCTTACCCGCACACAAAGTATGCACATTCTCCACTCCCTGGGGAGCATTCCAGCCAGGCGTCATTTTTACGAGAGCACACTTGCTAATCTAAGCACATTAGCTTTCGCATCCTACCGGGTACCCATTTAACACCTGGGTGGAGAGTGGCAAATGTAGATCAATGTCTTGCCAAAGGACATTAGTGCCGCGGTGGGACTTGAACTGCGCACCTTGTGATCCACCGTCCGGTGACATATCCACTCGTCCACGACACCTCTACATCTACATCTACATACATACATGCCAACTGTTCAGATTAAAGAGGAAAATTCCTCTTTTTGGGAGAAGATAATTATCATTTTAATGCAGGTGTTCCTCTTCCTGTACAAATTTGTCTGTAGTATTGAATAGGAGAGTTAGGATTGTTCCTCTTTTTTTTGAAAATAGCATAATTTGTACAGATTTCTGATTTTCAAATGTTGGCATGTATGTACATATACATCTTTCTGTGTACAGTGCTTGTAACTGTACCAAGACTGGACCAAATTTCTTATCATTTTGATGATTCCAGAACCTGGCAGTACACACCAATACATATATGCTAGATGATCAACCTTTTCTGATCAATTCCACAACATTTCTTTAACGATGCAATCTCATGACCAGAATTTTATCTTTAAGCCTCGTTCAGATATGAGGCGGTTAACCACCATGGTTTGTTTGTAATGATGAGGTTAGTTTAATAGCCTTCATATGTCTGGATCTCATAACAGAGAGCTCAGGGAATACATGTAGGACCTTAACCGATGCCCGTTACTGCTCCATATCTGAATAAGCCTTTAATTGTTCAATAATTTCATTTATAAAGTGGACATTATTGTATGCTGACTACCTAGTGAATTCTTTATGTATGTTGTTATGTAGGTTGATATATAATATCTTTTCATTATCAGTATCCATAGTAAGATGAATTATTTACATGTAATTTGTAATTCTTTATTGTAATCCTTAATGTAGAGGTCTTGTTGTCTAGCGTTTAAGTCTCCAGACTGTGAACCATAAGGTACAGGACTCAAATTTTACTGTTGCAGCAATAACGTCCTTTGGCAAAAAATTAATCTACATTTACCACACTCTTTTGAGGTGTAGTAAGTAGGTACCTGGTGGAATTTTTATTCCTTGAATGCGCCACTACGATTGCCAGAGATAATGCCAAAATAATAATATCCAGATTCTTTTAGAAGCGCATAGAGACATAATCATCATATGATATGCACTGAACAAGAACAGCGTATAACTATTAGGTATCTTAGCGAAATGTGGCTCCTAAAGATGCCCACTGAACGCAAAACACGAACCAGATCAAAGAACTAACAGATACAAAATCTTTAAAACGTGAGAAATTAATTTCATTCATCAGATCATGCAAAGAGATATCTGGTATGGTTTAATAATATCCATGTGTAGTGACCTAAACTTGGAAGTATGAAATATTATTAATGCTGCCCTCTTGTGTCTCTGTATGGAAAGTATTCTGAATGTCATCATCATTATGCCATTGAATTTTAGGACATGCTTTTTAAAGAAAAGTGTGGATGATTGGAAAACAAATGAGTTTTCTTCAAGCCTGAGTAGTCTTTCTGTCTCAAATGAGAGTAAAGATATTTAAAAGAGGCATGTTAAAAAAACTGAAATATGTGGAAAGCAATTAAGATAATGAAACAGTTTAGTTTAATACTTTTTGAAGCCAAAATCTTCTGCTGGAGAGGACATCTGTAGTGACAGGTCTACATGGTAGATAATTAGGGGGAACTTCAGAGTTTCTCTAGATGAAAAATATGCTAAAATAATGTTTTTTCAATACTGAAATGCTTTGATTCAAAGTCAAGGATGGGATTTTAGTCTTTCTTATTTGTGGAATAGTCTTGATTTTATTCTCAATGGGGACTTTGCTGCTTGTTTGCCTTGAATGTACACTGTACTAAAGTACACGCACAAAGTTGAGTTTAACGTTCCCATTGATACACAAACAATTGGCACTGGTCTGAAATCATAAACTAAATTTCAACTAATAATGATCCATGAAATGAACATAATTTGATCCAAATGGATGTAAATGATGATATCACTGATATGTGCAATTTAGAATACTCACAACAGTGATTTCTCTATGTAGTGATAACTAATTATAGATAATTGAGATGTTCTATTGGTAAACTATTTGTATTTGTATATAACTTGTAGTGTATCTGTACACAACTTCTAGCCAATATTATATAAGGCCAGATTTAAAATGTTTTCTATTTTCCATCCTTTTGATAGAATTCAATTTTTTTTACTGTATGACCTTTTTTGGAAATAAAAATTATATATTAGACATATTGATTGCCTACAGTACTTTGATATCATATTATATGTAGAGTGTAATAAAATGGTGATCCTTTTGTCTTTTTTTCATTTCAATTCAATAAAGGTATTTTTGAACATGTTTTGCAGTACAAAGACTGAATGGTTTCACAAAAATCAAAATACATTATAAATACAAATTGCAATTGTGAATAAAACATTATATTAAAAACCACATAACATAAAATACTTTACATTTGTAAAATATTTATTATAGGTATTGAATGTCATATAACATGTTAATAGATGCCGTAAAAGTATTATTAATGCATATACAATTAAAAATATTGAAGATAACAAAGTAAGAGGTCAAGGAAAAAGAAGAAAGAGTGAGAGAGAGAGAGAGAGAGAGAGAGGGAGAGAAAGAAATAAGGATGGAGAAAGAGTATATTATGGTAAACGTTTACACATGAAAAAAAAGCAGTGACTAGATATTAACAACATAAATATTGGGAACGGGTCAGATTATCACAAAAATTGATATAGATGATTATTACAAGCTTTGCTTCGCATGATAACTATCGAGTATATTTGTGAAATTAGGAAAGGGCACTTTTTTTAATCTCTTGCTAGTCTTAGTTCTGCTAGTACATTCTTGATATTTTTCGACATTTTGTAAATACAATTTGTTAGTTTTCTTTGGAGGTAACCACGATTGACACATTTTGTTTCAAATGAATCAGCAAAATCTTTAGTCACCTTTTCTCTACGAGTCAAAAGAGATTGCAATTCTAGTCTTGCTAATTCATTGTCATATGAACTATAGTTTTATCCAAGAATTATTTTACATACTCTTTTATGTGGTTTAACAGTCAGTGATGTATTTTTTGGAGAGAAACGGTCTTTTTATGCTCCTCCCTCTTCTTCTGTTCTTCTTCGTTTCATGCTCCTCCTTCTCCTTCTTCCTCTTCTTTTTTTTTTCCTTTCTTCTTTTCTCCTTGTAAACGTAAAATATCTTTCCTTTCTGCCTCGGAAACCCCTTTTTTATGTTAAAAGCTAATCGATTTTAAACTTGTGAATTTGGGGAAGTGTGCTGTTTTAGAGCGCCTTTTACGGTATTAATAAGAGTAGAAATTATATTTGGCAGATTTATTGAATTTTAACTCATGTGAGATACTATTCCAGGCGGCTACTTTAAACATTTCTTGATACGAAATATATGAGGTGACATATTCTTTCGAAATGTCTGGCTGAAAGCATTTTTTGTCAGTTTTACTCTTGTCAATTCTTTAGAAAATCAATTTGATTAAGAGCAATACAATTTTCTATTACTAAAAGATGAAGGGAGTATTGTATATATTTTTTTTCTCTGGATGATTGCCAAATTTTAAATCGATAGAGGATTGAGTTTAATTTGAAAAGAGATTTCTTAATTTTTTTACTCTTTGTATGTTTCTTTGGAAGAATATACGAAATGTCCCTGAAAAGGATCGCTCTTTAAATACCCTCATATTCAAGTTGGGATCAAGCTTACAACATTAATGTATCCTCTGACATCTTTATGTAGTCCCATAAACCCATTTGTATGTGAAATGCCTGTGATCTTCAGCAGGAGTGGGTCAACGTCTTATCATTTAATTGATTCCAAAATCTCAAATACATCGATTCTCATTTTCTACTCATACATTTTTTAATCGCTTCTCGAAAGCTTCTTTCAAAGTGTAAACCTAATCGTAATTATCAGATCGTCACTTTATGTGTAGTATGTTATTGATTTATCACAAAGTTCTATAAGCTTAATGGCCTGTGTAATGGCGTCTCCAGACTTTGGCCTCAGGAGGGTCAAATCATTTCAACTAACTTTTTTCTATACAATTTTGCGTTATATGAGCGTGGGCATCGCTTAGAAAAGAAGAAGTATTTGAGGAGGGGGGGGGGGGAGACTTTTGGGAAGAATTGTGCGTTTCTTGTCTCGCAATGATTCCTAACCTGCTCACTTCTAATGAGGCTGCATTTCTTTATTGCGGGCTGAAATTCTATCAGGAGAGAAACTTGTCCCCTTGCCCCCTCCCCCCTCCACCTCCTTGACAAGATATTCATCTATCCTTGCCACTCTTCACCCATGTGATGTAAATGGATACCCGGTATGAAGAATTCCTTGAATGCTATATATAATTATATCATGGCTGCTCAGCTATAGCCGGTGTAATAAATGTGATACATGTACTTTGTATTAGGCGTACTATACAGTACAGTTGCGTTCTATATTATCATAACATGTTTAACTTGATCCATAACGCATGATTCAAGGAACATTAGATTTTTCGGTTCCCACCAATGGCATTTCAAAAACTATTGTCGTGAGTATTGACTTAACTGTGAACCTTGTTGAAATAGATTGATGATTTCAAAGGGCCCAACTCACCGTGCATGAACTTCCTGGAGTCCTTTCAATTTTGGGGAGCGCTCTTTTGTATTTCGTTATATGCAAACATCATGAAAATCTGATAATATAATATTTGTATGTCTGGGGGTGTATGTGTGTCTGAATTTCACTGAGCGAGAAATGGATTGATATCAAGTGTGCTATTATATTCCGCAATTCTGAACACGGGAACATTGTGAATGTCTTGCCCGAAAACATGTGGTTATACTAGCCAGTATCGGAAATTGAAATCACAGGTAGAGGACTTCTCTGCCAACTGACTTTGCTGGTAAGTGAAAGATATTACTTATGATATTTTTTCAAAGTTGTATGAACTATGCATTATAAAGTACACGCACACTGATTTTTGTATTAACGTGTACATGCAACTTTTCAATGATTTACATCCGCTAGTACTACTGTTGGGCTTAATCGACAGGGCTGGTTACCACGCAATCATGTGAATTTATGGTTGGTTTTCAGGATTTGATCCGCTTAAGAGATTTTAGTAAGACATTAAAAGTCTAAAAGTATTTTGGAAATTATGCTTTGCTGTTAATGAAAGTCGAGGTTTATATCAAAGAAAATGTCTGTATCATGTTGTTTTGACTATGACAAATCGATGCCCCAACATTAACGATGTAATTGGATATATTAATATTATTATTAGAAGTAGTAGTATTACTAGTTGCTTTAGTAGTAGTAGAAGTAGTATTAGTATTAGTAGTAGTAGTAGAAATAGAAATACTACTGTAGTATTAGTAGTAGTAGCAGCAGCAGTATTATTATTGCTATTCTGTGTTGTTATTTATCCAATCACCAATCATAATGTGTTTCACAATTTTCTCTGGCTTTGACCAACATCGACAAATAAACGTGCAAAAGTCAAGAAATAAAAAAGTGTTTAGTAGATATAACATAATACAAATTTGTGTTTTGTTTCGTTCAACTTTTTTTCGCTTAGATATTTCAACCATGGTTGGATACCATCAGAGCCTCAAATATGGATAAACGGATTTTTAAAACATTTCTTCTCTTCATCTTACTGGATTTGCTTCCCAATGTAATTAGCGGAGGTTGGGTAAGTCAATTATGCGGTCATTCAAGAAAGATTATTCGTTGCATAACGTGTTTGGATGAAATCTGGTTATACAAAAAAAAGGCCCCTAAGAAAAAACGGGAAAAATACAGTGTTAAATTGAACGTTGTTGTATCAGGGTTTTAAAAAAAAGCAATAAAATAAAATAAGATTAAGTGATACTGGTGAAATGACTTATACGTGTTCCTTATTGAGAACTGGTCTGTGGTCCTTGTAACGAGGACCACTGAAACATTGTTTGCATGTGGTCTTAACAAATCGCTTGTAGAATTCTTTTCACCCAAAAGTGAACGATTACATTTTGAACACCTACATTTTACTAGTCTATATCATGTGAAGATGGCTTTCGTATTTTGATTAAAGAAAGACCTCGCATAAATCAAATAAAAGACATGAGAGAGATCTGATAATTCCACGTAAACCTTGTTGGGCCTTAAGTTATCTTTAACTTAATAAGTTAACTTTAATGTGTTTTGCGTTACATGGTATAGGTACAAAGTTTAATAAGCGTGTGTCATGTTGTGTTGAGATTTGTTGATTATTGATATAAATTATCTGTATAGGCAGCATTTACCCAGTAATAGATTTCGAAGCGATATGAGTTCTATTGATCATACTTATTGAAAGAAAAACGAGTCGGGAGAAAAACAACTAGGCTTGCTTCAATACATGATAGACATAGACATGTTTTAATAAATCCAGTGACAGATTCGATAGCAGGGGGGCGTTTCACAAAACTTGTCATCATATAAGCTACTGGAATCCTTGCTTCTGATTGGTTATCAGCAGGCACGTAGCCACGGGAGGGGGGGGGGGGGGCACGTGCCCCCAATTTTTTTTCCAAGATCGGTTGAACTTTTTTAGACCCCTTTTTTTTTAACCTCGATCGATTACATGTATGTGCCCTCCCCCCCCCCCCCAACCTCAAACTCTGGCTACGTGCCTGGTTATCAGTAGATTTTTCACTGAGTTTTGTCATTTTTTATTGAAAAATAGCTTTGAGAAACGGTTCCCAGATCATTAATTATACGTGTCGTTGAACCGTTTTTTTTTTTTTTTTTTTTTTTTGGGGGGGGGGGGGGGGGATGCTGCCATTTGAAAATTGTAATTGAGAATTTTGCCCGAAAACTTGCTTATACCCAAGTTAGACCAACGAGACCGACACCAAACCGACACCAGACCGACACCAGGCCGAGCTAGACACTCCAATACCTAGAATAGTCTATATACCACACGTAGGTTTGGATTCAGTGTGGAGTCGGTTTGGTGGTGCGACTTGGTATTGACAGTTCTTGTAAAACTTCCGCCTTGTATACTGAATGCAATTCGTCTGCCTAGTTAAAAGGATATGTTACAGTGATTGATTATGTATGGAAATTGAGCACTAACGGTTGAATTTGTTCACAAAAGGGGAAGGGGGGAGGGGCGCGTCTACTCACATGATTGTAGATCAGATCCCTTTTGTGCGTGATCTTTGATCAATTGCATTTGCAAAAGCGTTGTGGAATGAATCAAAATAAAATAGAGGCAGAGGGAGCGGGAGAGGGAGTGGGAGGGGAAGTGAGCGAGGGAGAGGGAGAGAGAGAGAGAGAGAGAGAGAGATAAAGAGAGAGAGAGTCGGTGAAATAGAAATAGAGTGAGATTGAGAGAGAAAGGGAGAGAGAGAAAGAGTGAGACACTGACAGACAGAGAGAAAGTTGTGTGTGTTTGAGTGTGTGTGTGTGTGGGTGTGTGGGTGGGCGTGCGTTTGCGCGCGCGTGTGTGTGAGATAGAGAGTGAGGGAAAGAGGGAAGGAAAAAAAGGAGAGAATGAGTGAGAGAGAGAGAGGAAGAGGATGTGTGTGCGTGTGTGTACGTGTGTACGTGTGTGTGTGTGTGTGGGTGCATGTATGGTATAGAGAGAGAGATAGAGAGAGTCGGTGAAATAGAAATAGAGTGAGATTGAGAGAGAAAGAGCTTTGTCATCATATTCCAACCATTCCAACTTCACTTACTGTTTTGGTGCATGACTGTGCATTGGCGATGACTTTTCATTATTGTATTCCTTATTCTCTTTCATTAAAATGAAAAATGCACTTGAATCCTATGATTTCAGTATCAAAGTAAACAATAACCTCAGTTCGCAGCAAACTTCGTGTGTGGGGGATATGGATTGCAGGATGTTTGCGTGGCGGGTGAGTGTGTGTTTATGTGTGTGAGCGCGTGTGTATGTTATATGAACGTGACTTGTATGCGTGTAGGTAAAACATATGTAAAGTACCATTTGCTTCGTAAAGCAGCATTTATATTTGTTTAATTTGTAGAAGAAAAAAATGTTTTCGAATCACTGTCGCGTGGTGAAACATGGGAGCGAGTAAAGTAAAGTGCTAACGTCATAACGGCTTTTCGTCAAGGTTACTGCTTATAATCAATAGAGCCTGTGCATGAGGTTCACCGCGACAACAGTCATTCAAGCATAGGGCTGGAGCAGGGCCAAGACAGTCGTTGGGGCCGTTGTGATTATCACGCCATTATTTAGCACAAAATTGTTTGTTACCAGCATCCTCGAAAAATTGGTCAGTATATGACGTAAACTCAAAATGCTCTGTTCTCATACCTCCCCCCCCCCCCGTCTGCAAACATAATTTGCAAAACATTTATGAATTCAAGGAAAATTCTGAGGGAAAATGAAGAGAACTACAGTTGATAAAAATCCTTCAAACAAAAACAAAATACACATATATATGTTAATATTTGTTACTCTTTCAGACAAAATTAAGATTATTTTCACCATGCAGTATATTGAGAAAGAGATACCTTATCACTCCTTTGTATAATTTCTTGTAATTTTTTTTCCAATCCTCCGTTTTTCGTCTATTATGAAACCATAGTTAGGCCTACATTTTTTTTTCTTTTCTAGAAATCTTTCAACCCCATGCTTAATAAAGCCACATGCATAAACGTGACGGTAGGCGTCCTAGAAAGAGATGCGTTTCGTAGCCTTTTCAGTACACTCAGAATGTCTTCTTTTGCGTAATTATTCATACACCCGGTAAACTATTTTTCTTCATTTGGTATAGTTCTGCAACAACCCCTCACCACCGGTTTGCGCCGATGACTGCGATGGGAATGGATACTATGTCAGTCCAGATGGAACTGCGTGCATTCCATGTCCACAATGTTCAGCTGGACAGGAACTTAACAAGGTACGTATCTTTATAAAACCTCAACATAACACAGTTCATTTAATCATTTACCTGTTTCTCAATCCATTTTTGAGTTTTTTAGGGTCGACTCCTAGCTTGGATTTAACGTTCTTAAAGGTAAAGACCAGTATTGGTAACGCCCCAATTTCAAAAAATGAAATGGAAGCTCTCATTACCAATCATGTGAAAGAATATGTTTTGACTAATACATGATGATAACAAATTTGCCGGGAAACCGCCTACTAATTCATATATTTGGTAAATTTGTTTCTCTCATGGTCCTGTGAGAGATATAGGGTAGTCCCATATACACCTTTCTGTGTATAGTGCTTGTAACTTTACGAAGAATGGGCCAAATTTCTTATCATTTTGATGATTCCAGAACCTTGCAGATGCTAGATGCTAGATGATCAACCTTTTCTGATCGATTCCACAACGTTTCTTTCACAATTCAATTGCATGACCATAACTGGTCTTTACCTTTAAAAAAGTCATTAATCAACATTTTACACTCTCCACCGAAGTGTAAAATTGAGTGTCTGAAAAATATTGGGGGAAACAATGATTAAGGAGCCTAGCTCAGGGAGAAAAGCATTGATGCTGACAAGGCTTCATGAGATTTTAGGGTTCGAATCCTAGCTCGGATCTAACTCGGTTTGACCTCTTGTACACATGCACACCCTATTGTATTCAATTGGAAGCTGCTGAATAGGTATCATGACGGACAATGCCATATCAGGTACGATTATTTGAATGAAGGTTTGCTGAATAATGCATCCTTTTGATGAGCAATATTACACCATTGTCGATTGCGCGCGCAATTAATGTGGAGAGTAATGAGCCATTAAATAGAATGTGTACATTAATCCATTTTTGTTATGTTTCTAGACTGTGTTCATATATCCATGATTTCCGTCTTGAAAGTAGTAAAATGTCTTAATGTTTCGTTTCTCGTTTGATTTATATGATCTTTTAACCAGGATTGTGGAAATGGTTTGAACGGAGATGCAGTATGCATACCTTGTCTAGAAGGATTCTTTTCATTGTCCACGTCACAACGTTGCACCCAATGCACCACCTGCACCAATACCGTTGAGCAGGAAACATGTCAACTCACACAAAACAGAGTGTGTGGGGATTGCTTGCCAGGGTAAGTATTTCGTTCTATTTTGTGAAGTTCCGAAATAACATTAAAAGAAAAAAAATTACAACAATCAGGTCCTATTAATCGCTATGTGGAATTGTACAAAATGTGGGAACAGTGCACTATAATTCTGACAAATTTATAAATGAACAGCAAGGCCGCAATAACCGAAAATTGTAGATAAATATTGACAAAAAGGGAATACGGAGAGCCCCCCCCCCCCCCAAGAGGAAAAACCACAAGAGACAAAATCCGATGATATATGATTTCTAATACATCCATTTTTCACTAAAATACGTTCCATTCTAAATTGGTTATGAGCCTCATTTTAAACAAAAAAAATAATGCGAGTGTGTATGCACGGCAGAAGGTTTCAAAGATGTTTCAGAATTCTTCTGCGGATACAGCAAACATTATTTCATGCTTTGTGTTCTTGATTTCTCTGCAGCTTTTTCCGAGGGTCTGACCGATTCTCGACCGACTTTAACGCCTGTCCAAACAGATGTTCAGACCTTCCCCGTGATACGCCACAGTGCGGGGATTGGTGGAGTACTCAAGATAGAGAATCGATAGAGGTAGAGCAACCCACGGAGATTGCAGATGTAAGAAGGCTCCCTGAAGAGGTGTCTCTGGATGATATTGATGTAAGTGATGTAAATACTGAACATCATGGTTGCTGAGGGGAAATCCCATGAGACCGACAGCTATGAGACCGACAGCCCATGAGACCGACAGCTCATGAGACCGACAGCCCATGAGACCAACAAGTCCATGGAACCAACATCCCATGAGACCGAAAGCACACAAATCCAACAAAACAAAGAAACCCACAAGGGAAGATAGAAAACTATCTGTGTCTGATGTCGGTCTCATCGGCCATCGTTCTATAAACAAAATTGTTAGAAGACCCACAATACCGTTACTGTCGGTATAGTTGGTTGTATCTGGTGAACCTTTAAAAATGATTTCAGAAGACCGGCAGCCCAAGAGAACGTCAGACCAAGAGATCGACAATATTGGTTTCATGGGCTGTCGCTCTGCGGGCTATAGCCGATTGATTAGATGATGGTGATGATGAATATGGTTACGACATCTACTGCACCAGTGCAGTAGAGCAAAAGAATGTACGATGACTAGCAATGGGAATGTGATAATATCCGTCCTAAATTTTGGTCGCATTCGTAATTTTTGTTCATAGTTGGGTTAGATTTAGGTAAAATGGGATGTTTGTGATTGTATTCTGTTCAAAAGATGGGGTTAATGGGAGCAACAAGCAAGGAATTTAAGATCAAGCGGACAAAGGAGCAATGCAGGACAAAATATGCGGGATACACAGGAAACAGACAGTATGACCGATATGACGTAGAACAATAGAATATGAAACCTTCAATGTCCGACTTTGACATTCATGGTAGACTCAAGTAGATGTTGAAAATGTGTGGGCATTCTGAGAATTTTTTCTGAGAACCTAAACTACTTTTGTCATCCAAGAATTATCATATCCTTTCTTTTTAAAGCCATGTGAACCCAAAACCCCTCTATGCATTGACCCCTGTCACGATGGAAACTTCTTCTTGGACTATGATGGACTTTGCAAGGCGTGTCTGTCATGCCAGCCTGGAGAAGAACTCAATAAGGTATTCTTATTTCCTCCCACTTTAATAGTGCAGATTGGTACTGACCACTCTGTGTAAGAGTAGATATTTTGAAATGCCCCAAATGGGCACTTTAGAAATGTTATTCAATTTGGATGATCAGTACTTGAACAAACGTTAGGAAGTTGGACGTGAGCTGTAGAAATTTTGATCGCAAACATAAGAGACCTTTCCTTTGGTGAAAACTTCTTACCAAGTATTTCTAAGAGTATGTCGGCAAGATATTAAATAAGGCCTACTTTCACCACAAACAAAACATACTAGTGCTTTGAAATAATATGTCTTTAAAAAGCTAGTTCACATCTTTAAAAAAAGCATTCGTCTGAATAATTAGTTATTTTTTCGTTAATGTTCAGGTTTGCGGTCGAGGGAAAAATGGTGATGCTTATTGTCGACGGTGTCCCGAAGGAACTTTCTCAGAGGACGGACTACAGAGATGCTCCCCTTGTCGTATCTGCGTCAACACTTTGGCGACCGAGTGCACTGCTTCAAGAAACACAGCGTGTGGAGAGTGCCTTCCAGGGTATGATGCCGGTGGTGCCGAAAATGACCACCTATTTTGCATATTTTCAAGAGCATTTTTAACAAAATGAACCCTTTTTGCATAACACAGATGGGCCCTGTTTATAAATTGACTTTAATTTTGTGTCCTTATGTACACACACCACGTGCCCTATTTTAGGATATGTTGACATTTACACCCACATTCTCATGATGGTGAAAATATGACGTTTTTTCATGAATTTTGTTTCCCCCTTCAAGTCTGAGAACATTTTCAATGCTAGCGAACATACCCGAAAATGTCCTCCTTTTTACGCAAAATTTGAAACTATCATGCGAACATGAATTGAAATGATAACAGGGGGGGGGGGGGGGTATGATTTTGATTTCGAGTGAAAGCTGGTGTTAATCAAAAGAAATAAGAATCTATGTGAGGTTCTGGAATGATCAAAACGACAACAAAATTATCTATGTGGCATATCGAATTTGAAATTGATATACATGTATGGAAATATGCGAATGTGAAAGTTTGGTCCAAACTTCTTCCGCTATTTCTGGTAAATTTTCGAATATTAAGGCCTTTAGAGAGCAATCCTTTCCAGTAGCCGAGTAGCCGAGTAGCCGAGAAGCCTGTTTCAAATCGAGCAAAGCTAGTTTTCCATGCAATCGAAACCGGGCTGACCAGATTAAACTTAAAATAAGCAGAAACGCGAAGTTGCAAACCATCCAGAGACTCCTAATAAATTACGTTACTGACTAATTAATTATGTAATTACGCATCTTTATTCTCAGTTTTCTTATGTTTAACTGATTCTCTTATAAAACTGAAGATATGGCGTATATATTCAATACTGAATGAACGCCACTAAACTATTACCAACAACAACAACAACAACAATCCTTTCCAGGTAACAATTCTACTATGATATGCTTCTAAATTAATCTTCAAAGAATTATACCAGAACTCAATTTTCTTGTTAATGTTTAGATATTACCAAGACGCAGATGGGTACTTCCCGGACCAGGGAGCCTGCCCGAACAAGTGCCCCGAGTGTCCGAACACCGTTCCACAGTGCCAAGAGTGGTGCGAATCAAGGACAAACCCGGACAAGGTTACCGTAGACCCTGCAGAGTCCGTCGGGCAAGATGATGTCACCCTAGCGGATGTGGCTGTGGACATTCCCCAGTCTGGTGCTGACGATGGAAGTAAGCTTGCTTGAAACAATGAATGACCTGTTCGTTTGTTTAAAAGCCAAAATCCTAATCCTAATGACTTTAGGGAATTCCCCCAAAATATCAAACCTTAACTGAAGGATACTGATGTCTTCTCGCCCAACAATACAGCAAAATAACATGACTTTGCAGCTTTACATTTGAAGAAAAAAAAATTGTATTTTTTCATAGAATCTCTAAACATTCGACTTCAAGGAGTGCAACTATCAGTGCCATCTGCCGGACACCTAAACTAAAATTGTTTACTCTTGTCTGACCTAAGATTCATATCGGTCGACACCATTTTTAGATTCCTCGGTAGATTTGGAACCCTTGGTAGAACAGTTGTAACAGAAGGAAGTACCTAGTCCCTATCTGTTCCCTACAAAACTGCGATACGGTCGCAACGAGGATAACGCCAACGAAGAGAATTGTGGAAAATCAACTTAATTGACCGCACTGACTTAAAACACTCCATTTTGTGAGACATTTTCGGGTGGTTAGCCACAGAGGCTTATACAAGACGTCATCGGCATCAGCATCATCATCATCATCTACAATTATTGTCAAGCTTAGCAGGGCTATCCAGCTCTATTATCTTTTAGTTTTGTCATCCACGTTATTGGTTTCAATAAAATTAATTAAAAATAAAATTTAAACTAACACAACAAAATGCCTGGTGTCGAAAGATCAATATTTTTTCGATATCCTTTCTGTTTCTACAGTCAATGATGAGGCTAATCCTCCTCCAGCTAGCCATGGATCCTACATGCTCATCTTCACAGTTCTCGCTTCCCTTCTGGCTGTCGTCATAATCGTCCTCATTACCGTCCTCTTCGTGTTCCGTTGCCTGTGGAAAAGGTCCAATGCGCCGACGCCATCGCTCCTACCGAGTTCGAGTGCGACAAGTTCACCCACTAGTTCACCCTCCAGAACTCCACCAAGTAAGGCGTATATTTTTAATCGGATTAAAGAAGAAAAGTGTCTAGATCCCTGGTTTCTCTTAGCATAGCGACCCGCCAAAAAATTGAAGTAAACGAACAGAACAAAACAAACGTGTGATGAGCATCTTTTTCATGCTCCGAATGTATGGATACATAATACACTAATATTAATACGCATTCAAGTCTTAACATATTTATTCGCTTGCATCCATAGCAAATCAGGAATCATAATGATGCCTGAATATACGCCACCAAGCATGGTATAAACATTTGAATATTTGATTAATTACTAACTTGATTAAACAAGGAATCTAATAGGATAAACAAGTAAATAAGAAATATTTATGCTATTGTATTATGCTCGAACGGAGAGGTATATATTTCAGATACAGTTGACCCTATTTGGGCTATTTGTACGTACTTGTCGAGAGGTCCGCAAAGTACATGTAATTCCTGAAATATTGTTGTGTTTTTTGGCTGTTTTATACGCTCAAGGGAAATTTTCCTCCGCTGCTATCACCCCGAGGCACGCCTGGGTGGGTGGTGCGCCGTGGGGGTGATAGCAACGGAGGCAAATTTCCCGAGAGCCAGTATAGAAACAGCCAGTCCTCGAGTATTAAAGCAGTCGATATCCCTTTTATATGCCGAATTCAAGATTTTATTATTTTCCCGGTAACTGGAATTTTGCCGGGATTTTTACTCTTGGACTATTAAATGGTTTTGGCATTTTTCGTTTCTTTACAAGAATGGCTAAAATCATGACTGCAATTTCGACCAATCAGATGGCTGGATTTCTTAAGTGAGTTATATTAATAAATATATGATAGTAATATAGAATAATGATTTGTATAAATGAAAAAGTGAAAACGAAGAGCTTATGTGAAGATGATTTCATTTGTATTATCGATTTCTACAAACAATATTTTGTTCTCCCTCTGTTCATTTCAAGCTGTTTACGAGCCTACAACCTTTCAGTATTCGCCGGAAGGAGACGGCAGGGAACTCTGGAATTTTATGAGGTAAGAGATAGTCTGTCCCATGCACTGTTATAGAAATCGTTTCAAAGGTAATTTCAATACCCTATTGTTTTGCTTATAGAAATCACCAATGGATTACTCAACATGTTACTGTCATGTTCGCAGATTGCAATATATAGGTAACGCATAAGGTAATTGAAATCACCTTAGATTGACTTCTTAAAAGTCTTTGCATTTGTGTAATACGACACTTTAAACTTACTTTGGTCTGTGAATGAATGTTAATTGATATGCGATCAAGGGGGATATGCTAAGAGACGAATATCCTCAAAGAAAAAAAGGAGGTCGAAGCTGAATCTTCGACAGTTGACTGGCAGTTGAATATGGATCATCAGTCTCAAAATACCTTACCGACAAAAGAAAACGAGAGATGGAGTATGGGAGGGATTAAAAACAAATATACCTTACAGTTCTTTGCAAGCATGATACATTTGCAGAAATGACACATTATGGCATTTATCAAACGATATATTGATCAACCGTTGTCTTTCTCAGTCTATAGGTTTAGGTCATGATTGCTCAGGCTCCATAAATATTGGTGATAATTCCGATTTTGTATCCAGAATCAGATGTTAAGAGTGTTTTCCCTTATCCCGGCTATTACCCCCACCTATATCTCCGGCAGCCGTAGCACACAGTGTACTCAAGATAGTAATTCCTTCCAGGTAACCACTTATACACCTAGGCCGAGTGTTGTATATATAGATTAATGGCCACCTAAAAGACCTAGTGCCGTGGCAAGGAATCTAATCCCATACCTTGTGATTTATATTCTGATGATTTATCCACTAGACCACAGCACCTCTAATGCATTATGTTTTCAATCCATTCAGTACGACCTTTAAGAATCTAACCGGTTCAAGACCCGTTAGTGGAGGTTCAACTGATGCAGAGAATGAGTCATCTGCGGTTTCTACACCAACAATGAACCTAGGCAGACGGCTGGCCGAAAGAGACCTGCTGAGACATATGGTGAGACAAGTTGGTGTTGATCATGATGATTCCCCTCGATTAACCACACCGAAACCACCTAAACACCATGATACCGTTACAGAAGAGCGAATGGTCAATTCAGCTGGTAGTATGAACCAATCTGTGGCTGCAAGACAGTATGATCGAGACATTGAAGATAGTTCCAGGCCTCGTGCACCATCATCGGGCAAGGTCGTCACCGAGAGAGCGTCCGGAACTGTCCACCCACATGTAGATGATACGGATGAGGCTCCTCGAACGAGGGTCCGCCGTCGCTCTATCATCAGTAACAACAGCCAGGATGAACAGTTCTTGCCACTTCTCAACAATAACAGGAGGAGCAGTCTTTCAGATCTGTTCCTAGTAACAGGCAACAATCGGCAGAAGTTATGGAATGGACGAAATGGCAACACTGCACCAGTCAAGGAGGCTGAAGCTGCATTGCGTCCTACGGATTCTTCAAGTGACAACGCACCAACTGCCGATGATCCAGTGGATACCAACAACACTAAGTCTGCAAACCCGAAGCAGCCAAGTCAATCTCTGGAACCAAACGCTTCTTCACACAAAACCCCAACTGCTGCAGCTGCGACCGTTTTACCAAAGGAAATCCCTGTCGAGAACTCCACTCACAAGAATCCCGCCGCAATTCCGGATGACCAGGGAAGCATTGGCAATAAGTCACCCCGTGACACAAATTTCACTATCAACATCACCATGAACACAAAAGAAGTTGAGACTGTTCATATTGGTGATGTACACAATAAACGCAACTTCCGTGACGGTCCTTACCAGGGCATCAAGGCATCGGAACCAAACAACATCGACGACAACGGTGAAGCTCAAAAATTGCTTAACGTAAACATGTCCGCTTCCGAAACTGACACCCTTCACGTTGACAGCAGTGACCATGATGACGACGATAATGCTGAAAGAGACAAATTACTCGACCCCAAATCATCATAGGTATTCGAAACCTAGAATATTTCAAATTCGGTATATAATGATAAATTGTATTCCCAACTTTTAAAACCACTGTTAACCTAAATTACGGACTATTTTTTTAAGGTAACAAATACAAATTGAACAGAAGAACATATCTAACTCATCAAAATCTTCAAATCTGTGACAATATCTTAATGATTGCATTTTAAAGGATTAGATTGAAGCACATTTTCTTGTAATCATAATGATAAAATGAAGAAAAAAAATTAAGCTGCACACTGTTGTGCAAGTTAAACTTTCTCTGATAATAACTTAATCTACATTCACCAGTACGTTCGCGATGCCTTGTTCAATGGTGCTGGTAAGGGAAAAGACATATCGTTCAAAGAAATTACATTTACATAACTTTTAGATGATATATTTTGTATGATATATTTTGTACAAAACACTGTCATGTACATAATTGTATCAATCATCATATAAGTGTAACTTGTGGACACTCCTATATATAAATTCATCTTACTTACTACTTTTGATTACAGTCTTACAAACAAATGTTAGAATCACTTACTTGAGTTTGTGTCTTTGCGAAAGTAACTTGTTTATGTTTCCTTCACATTTAAAGGTTGTCAACTATTTTGTTTCTGTGGATTCTTTCACGTTTCACTGGACTCAAATGGTTATATAAAACGGTATTACACGGTTATCAAACAATTACTTTTGAGTTATTTTCATAAACCGATTGCAAAAGCTAAATAGATGCTGCTTGTATATATTTTGATTTTTCGGAGTATATTTTGTAATGGTTTCAGTTAGAAGTACATTCCTGCTTACTATTTGTTTTCTTAATTTATAAATATTTTCTTTAAAAGTTATGCTATTATCAACATCTTTTGAAATGCAGAACTCTGACGTAGTTATAAGTTGGATGTGACAAGGAATTCTTCTTATTTTTTTTTATATGAATGACATTCTAACATGACCATCACACAGTAAATTTGATAATGTTTGTGAGAGCAAAAATCGATTAAAATAAAAATTTCCCGACATGTCATTACAACGTGTGGAGAATTCAGTTAGAATCTGATTTTTATGAGACGGCTTCATCCTAAGAGAACGATAATCCCCGAGACCGAACTTGTCAGTCCATGGGCCTTTTAGCCACTCTTCGGATGGTTCGATCGACCGACGGCCCACGAGACCGGCATTCATTTCTATCTTACCCTATGTCTTTCGTCGTTTTGTCGGTCTTGTAGACCGTTGGAAACTTCCTACCTTTTTAAATGTCATTATGTATTTGTCGGTCTGTCAGCCTCGTTGGTTGTCAGACTACTGGGATGACGTCTTTTTTAAATTCCGACGAAAGTATAGATTATCATGGGTGTACAGCATTTGATTTCAAATGAAAAAGTTACTCAGAAAAAACAAATTTCTTTTTTTGTTTTGATAGTATAGAGGTGAAGGTGTTCACGTCAATTTCATCATTTTATACAGCAAGTACTAAAATAAATTAAAAAAAAAAATATTTAAAAAGATTAGCTCATTAGTCAATTATTTGCTTTAAGTACATGTTGATATGTTTATTGGTTTTTAGAACCTTACTTCTGTGTTAAAAACAACGCGTCCTTATCATTTTATGATAAATGGACAAAGAAAACATTCTTTTCCTGTAAAACAGAGTTGTTTTATTAATTTTATTTTAAAAATAAATTCAATGTTGTTTTCATTTCATTAAAAAATGTCTATGCATCGTCTTTTGTGGAAGGGGGGGGGGGGTGGTAGGGGCTATATTTATTTTCACATTTATTCATGTATATTCCAATATATATACTGCAAAGGTATTAGCATGGAGAAATATTTTGTTACTATCCTAAACAGAATATGTGGATGTATCACCTTCCAAAATGTTCTGTTTTCGGTAGGAAATACTGAAGAGAATAACGAATAGCCTTCACTATAATATAAAAACAAAAGAAAACCCAACCTGACACAGCAAAACACAACAAAACATACCAAACCTACTTACTGTATGCTACCCGTTAGTGATAACTCCTAACATATGTGAGTGAGGAAGCTAAAGTTTTAAGAATTGTGAGGTCGCAGTGCAAAAATGACATCTTATAGAGAGGAAAAACTATAATCCTGGTGGGGTTTTAAGCACAATCTAATCATGAAAGAACGAAAAGACCTTTTATAAGAAACACAATTATGTCAACTTTAATGCGAGCCAGCGTAGCGAGCGAGCTTTGGGTACAATTAAAGAAAAGATTGCTCTTAGTCGCTTCAAATTTGGAGTACATTTTTATGGTGAAAGGAAAAGGGGGCTTTTATCCAAAGGGAAAATGACACTTATTAGAATAGAAAAGGCGCAGGTTTCAAAACAAAAAGGGGAATTATCTGATATAAAAATGGGGCACTTCGTGCACATGATAAGAAGCACTCACCAGAGATGAAAAAGGGAAATAAAGGGGCACTTATTACAAAGTATAAGGGGCAATCATCAGAAGGAAAATAGCACTTATGAGAAAGCACAAGGGGGCAGTTATGATTATAAAAAGGGGCTCTTATTTCAAAGTTAAAGAGGGTACCTCTCAAATTTAAATAAGGGCACTAACTGGAGATGAAAAGGGGCACTAATACAAATGAAAAGAGGCATACAGAGTAAAAGAGGCACTTGTCAAAATATCAGGGGGCACCTCTCAGATTTGAACAGAGGCAATTATAAGAAGGGGCATTTATCAGAGGAACTTGTGAGAACGGAAATGGGCTTTATCTATCTTGTTGTAGTATTTGATTGATTTATCACAAAGTTCTATTAGCTTAATGGCCTGTAGAATGGCGTATCCAGATCTTGGTCTCGGGAGGGTCAAATCATTTTAACTTACTTTAATCTATAAAAGTTTAGTAAGGATATCGCTTAAATGAAAAGAAGACTTATTTGAGGGGGGGGGGAGGGGGAGGGGTAAGACTTTCAAGGAAATGCCTACAATTCGTGCATTTCTTGACTCACAGTGATTCCTTACCTGCTTACTACTAATGAGGCCGCGTTTCCTTTCTTTGTAGGTCGGAATTCGATCAAGAGGGTAACTTATTCCTCATCCAGCCCCATCCTAAACAAGATATAGCGCTTAGGGACTTCGGTGGTAAGCCCTTATAAGCACCGTTTTCATTATTATTATTATTAAGATTTTCATCTATCTTTGGCACTCTACACCCAGGTGAGGTAAATGGATACCCGGTATGAAGAAATTCCTTGAATGCTGTATATATATCATGGCTGCTTAGCTATAGCCGGTGTAATAAATGTGATTTATGTACTTTGTATTAGGCGCACTACATTATATTCATACAGTATAGTTCCGTTCTATAAATGAACATATCATAATATGTTTAACTTGATCCAAAACGCATGATTCAATGAACATTACATGTGTTGGTTCCCACCAATGGCATTTCAAAAACTATTGGCGTGAGTATCGACTTAACTGTGAACCGTGTTGAAATAGTACTAAATTGATGGTTCTCAAAGGGCCCAACTCACCGTGCATGCACTTCCTGGAGTCCTTTCAATTTTGGGGAGCGCTCTTTTGTATTTCGTTATATGCAAACATCATGAAAATCTGATAATATAATATTTGTATGTCTGGGGGTGTATGTGTGTCTGAATTTCACTGAGCGAGAAATGGATTGATATCAAGTGTGCTATTATATTCCGCAATTCTGAACACGGGAACATTGTGAATGTCTTGCCCGAAAACATGTGGTTATACTAGCCAGTATCGGAAATTGAAATCACAGGTAGAGGACTTCTCTGCCAACTGACTTTGCTGGTAAGTGAAAGATATTACTTATGATATTTTTTCAAAGTTGTATGAACTATGCGTTATAAAGTACACGCACACTGATTTTTGTATTAACGTGTACATGCAACTTTTCAATGATTTACATCCGCTAGTACTACTGTTGGGCTTAATCGACAGGGCTGGTTACCACGCAATCATGTGAATTTATGGTTGGTTTTCAGGATTTGATCCGCTTAAGAGATTTTAGTAAGACATTAAAAGTCGAAAAGTATTTTGGAAATTATGCTTTGCTGTCAATGAAAGTCGAGGTTTATATCAAAGAAAATGTCTGTATCATGTTGTTTTGACTATGACAAATCGATGCCCCAACATTAACGATGTAATTGGATATATTAATATTATTATTAGAAGTAGTAGTATTACTAGTTGCTTTAGTAGTAGTAGAAGTAGTATTAGTATTAGTATTAGTAGTAGTAGTAGAAATAGAAATACTACTGTAGTATTAGTAGTAGTAGCAGCAGCAGTATTATTATTGCTATTCTGTGTTGTTATTTATCCAATCACCAATCATAATGTGTTTCACAATTTTCTCTGGCTTTGACCAACATCGACAAATAAACGTGCAAAAGTCAAGAAATAAAAAAGTTTTTAGTAGATATAACATAATACAAATTTGTGTTTTGTTTCGTTCAACTTTTTTTCGCTTAGATATTTCAACCATGGTTGGATACCATCAGAGCCTCAAATATGGATAAAAGGATTTTGAAAACATTTCTTCTCTTCATCTTACTGGATTTGCTTCCCAATGTAATTAGCGGAGGTTGGGTAAGTCAATTATGCGGTCATTCAAGAAAGATTATTCGTTGCATAACGTGTTTGGATGAAATCTGGTTATACAAAAAAAAGGCCCCTAAGAAAAAACGGGAAAAATACAGTGTTAAATTGAACGTTGTTGTATCAGGGTTTTAAAAAAAAGCAATAAAATAAAATAAAATTAAGTGATACTGGTGAAATGACTTATACGTGTTCCTTATTGAGAACTGGTCTGTGGTCCTTGTAACGAGGACCACTGAAACATTGTTTGCATGTGGTCTTAACAAATCGCTTGTAGAATTCTTTTCACCCAAAAGTGAACGATTACATTTTGAACACCTACATTTTACTAGTCTATATCATGTGAAGACGGCTTTCGTATTTTGATTAAAGAAAGACCTCGCATAAATCAAATAAAAGACATGAGAGAGATCTGATAATTCCACGTAAACCTTGTTGGGCCTTAAGTTATCTTTAACTTAATAAGTTAACTTTAATGTGTTTTGCGTTACATGGTATAGGTACAAAGTTTAATAAGCGTGTGTAATGTTGTGTTGAGATTTGTTGATTATTGATATAAATTATCTGTATAGGCAGCATTTACCCAGTAATAGATTTCGAAGCGATATGAGTTCTATTGATCATACTTATTGAAAGAAAAACGAGTCGGGAGAAAAACAACTAGGCTTGCTTCAATACATGATAGACATAGACATGTTTTAATAAATCCAGTGACAGATTCGATAGCAGGGGGGCATTTCACAAAACTTGTCATCATTATAAGCTACTGGAATCCTTGCTTCTGATTGGTTATCAGCAGGCTCGTAGCCACGGGAGGGGGGGGGGGGGCACGTGCCCCCAATTTTTTTTCCAAGATCGGTTGAACTTTTTTAGACCCCTTTTTTTTTAACCTCGATCGATTACATGTATGTGCCCTCCCCCCCCCCCCCCCAACCTCAAACTCTGGCTACGTGCCTGGGTATCAGTAGATTTTTCACTGAGTTTTGTCATTTTTTATTGAAAAATAGCTTTGAGAAACGGTTCCCAGATCATTAATTATACGTGTCGTTGAACCGTTTTTTTTTGTTTGTTTTTGTTTTTGTTTTTTTTTTTTGGGGGGGGGGATGCTGCCATTTGAAAATTGTAATTGAGAATTTTGCCCGAAAACTTGCTTATACCCAAGTTAGACCAACGAGACCGACACCAAACCGACACCAGACCGACACCAGGCCGAGCTAGACACTCCAATACCTAGAATAGTCTATATACCACACGTATGTTTGGATTCAGTGTGGAGTCGGTTTGGTGGTGCACTTGAATCCTATGATTTCAGTATCAAAGTAAACAATAACCTCAGTTCGCAGCAAACTTCGTGTGTGGGGGATATGGATTGCAGGATGTTTGCGTGCGGGTGAGTGTGTGTTTATGTGTGTGAGCGCGTGTGTATGTTATATGAACGTGACTTGTATGCGTGTAGGTAAAACATATGTAAAGTACCATTTGCTTCGTAAAGCAGCATTTATATTTGTTTAATTTGTAGAAGAAAAAAATGTTTTCGAATCACTGTCGCGTGGTGAAACATGGGAGCGAGTAAAGTAAAGTGCTAACGTCATAACGGCTTTTCGTCAAGGTTACTGCTTATAATCAATAGAGCCTGTGCATGAGGTTCACCACGACAACAGTCATTCAAGCATAGGGCTGGAGCAGGGCAAAGTCAGTCGTTGGGGCCGTTGTGATTATCACGCCATTATTTAGCACAAAATTGTTTGTTACCAGCATCCTCGAAAAATTGGTCAGTATATGACGTAAACTCAAAATGCTCTGTTCTCATACCTCCCCCCCCCCCCCCGTCTGCAAACATAATTTGCAAAACATTTATGAATTCAAGGAAAGTTCTGAGGAAAAATGAAGAGAACTACAGTTGATAAAAATCCTTCAAACAAAAACAAAATACATATATATATGTTAATATTTGTTACTCTTTCAGACAAAATTAAGATTATTTTCACCATGCAGTATATTGAGAAAGAGATACCTTATCACTCCTTTGTATAATTTCTTGTAATTTTTTTTCCAATCCTCCGTTTTTCGTCTATTATGAAACCATAGTTAGGCCTACATTTTTTTTTCTTTTCTAGAAATCTTTCAACCCCATGCTTAATAAAGCCACATGCATAAACGTGACGGTAGGCGTCCTAGAAAGAGATGCGTTTCGTAGCCTTTTCAGTACACTCAGAATGTCTTCTTTTGCGTAATTATTCATACACCCGGTAAACTATTTTTCTTCATTTGGTATAGTTCTGCAACAACCCGTCACCACCGGTTTGCGCCGATGACTGCGATGGGAATGGATACTATGTCAGTCCAGATGGAACTGCGTGCATTCCATGTCCACAATGTTCAGCTGGACAGGAACTTAACAAGGTACGTATCTTTATAAAACCTCAACATAACACAGTTCATTTAATCATTTACCTGTTTCTCAATCCATTTTTGAGTTTTTTAGGGTCGACTCCTAGCTTGGATTTAACGTTCTTAAAGGTAAAGACCAGTATTGGTAACGCCCCAATTTCAAAAAATGAAATGGAAGCTCTCATTACCAATCATGTGAAAGAATATGTTTTGACTAATACATGATGATAACAAATTTGCCGGGAAACCGCCTACTAATTCATATATTTGGTAAATTTGTTTCTCTCATGGTCCTGTGAGAGATATAGGGTAGTCCCATATACACCTTTCTGTGTATAGTGCTTGTAACTTTACGAAGAATGGGCCAAATTTCTTATCATTTTGATGATTCCAGAACCTTGCAGATGCTAGATGCTAGATGATCAACCTTTTCTGATCGATTCCACAACGTTTCTTTCACAATTCAATTGCATGACCATAACTGGTCTTTACCTTTAAAAAAGTCATTAATCAACATTTTACACTCTCCACCGAAGTGTAAAATTGAGTGTCTGAAAAATATTGGGGGAAACAATGATTAAGGAGCCTAGCTCAGGGAGAAAAGCATTGATGCTGACAAGGCTTCATGAGATTTTAGGGTTCATCCTAGCTCGGATCTAGCTCGGTTTGACCTCTTGTACACATGCACACCCTATTGTATTCAATTGGAAGCTGCTGAATAGGTATCATGACGGACAATGCCATATCAGGTACGATTATTTGAATGAAGGTTTGCTGAATAATGCATCCTTTTGATGAGCAATATTACACCATTGTCGATTGCGCGTGCAATTAATGTGGAGAGTAATGAGCCATTAAATAGAATGTGTACATTAATCCATTTTTGTTATGTTTCTAGACTGTGTTCATATATCCATGATTTCCGTCTTGAAAGTAGTAAAATGTCTTAATGTTTCGTTTCTCGTTTGATTTATATGATCTTTTAACCAGGATTGTGGAAATGGTTTGAACGGAGATGCAGTATGCATACCTTGTCTAGAAGGATTCTTTTCATTGTCCACGTCACAACGTTGCACCCAATGCACCACCTGCACCAATACCGTTGAGCAGGAAACATGTCAACTCACACAAAACAGAGTGTGTGGGGATTGCTTGCCAGGGTAAGTATTTCGTTCCATTTTGTGAAGTTCCGAAATAACATTAAAAGAAAAAAAATTACAACAATCATGGCCTATTAATCGCTATGTGGAATTGTACAAAATGTGGGAACAGTGCACCATAATTCTGACAAATTTATAAATGAACAGCAAGGCCGCAATAACCGAAAATTGTAGATAAATATTGACAAAAAGGGAATACGGAGAGCCCCCCCCCCCCCAAGAGGAAAAACCACAAGAGACAAAATCAGATGATATATGATTTCTAATACATCCATTTTCCACTAAAATACGTTCCATTCTAAATTGGTTATGAGCCTCATTTTAAACAAAAAAAATAATGCGAGTGTGTATGCACGGCAGAAGGTTTCAAAGATGTTTCAGACTTCTTCTGCGGATACAGCAAACATTATTTCATGCTTTGTGTTCTTGATTTCTCTGCAGCTTTTTCCGAGGGTCTGACCGATTCTCGACCGACTTTAACGCCTGTCCAAACAGATGTTCAGACCTTCCCCGTGATACGCCACAGTGCGGGGATTGGTGGAGTACTCAAGATAGAGAATCGATAGAGGTAGAGCAACCCACGGAGATTGCAGATGTAAGAAGGCTCCCTGAAGAGGTGTCTCTGGATGGTATTGATGTAAGTGATGTAAATACTGAACATCATGGTTGCTGAGGGGAAATCCCATGAGACCGACAGCTATGAGACCGACAGCCCATGAGACCGACAGCTCATGAGACCGACAGCCCATGAGACCAACAAGTCCATGGAACCAACATCCCATGAGACCGAAAGCACACAAATCCAACAAAACAAAGAAACCCACAAGGGAAGATAGAAAACTATCTGTGTCTGATGTCGGTCTCATCGGCCATCGTTCTATAAACAAAATTGTTAGAAGACCCACACTACCGTTACTGTCGGTATAGTTGGTTGTATCTGGTGAACCTTTAAAAATGATTTCAGAAGACCGGCAGCCCAAGAGAACGTCAGACCAAGAGATCGACAATATTGGTTTCATGGGCTGTCGCTCTGCGGGCTATAGCCGATTGATTAGATGATGGTGATGATGAATATGGTTACGACATCTACTGCACCAGTGCAGTAGAGCAAAAGAATGTACGATGACTAGCAATGGGAATGTGATAATATCCGTCCTAAATTTTGGTCCCATTCGTCATTTTTGTTCATATTTGGGTTAGAGTTAGGTAAAATGGGATGTTTGTGATTGTATTCTGTTAAAAAGATGGGGTTAATGGGGGCAACAAGCAAGGAATTTAAGATCAAGCGGACAAAGGAGCAATGCAGGACAAAATATGCGGGATACACAGGAAACAGACAGTATGACCGATATGACGTAGAACAATAGAATATGAAACCTTCAATGTCCGACTTTGACATTCATGGTAGACTCAAGTAGATGTTGAAAATGTGTGGGCATTCTGAGAATTTTTTCTGAGAACCTAAGCTACTTTTGTCATCCAAGAATTATCATATCCTTTCTTTTTAAAGCCATGTGAACCCAAAACCCCTTTATGCATTGACCCCTGTCACGATGGAAACTTCTTCTTGGACTATGATGGACTTTGCAAGGCGTGTCTGTCATGCCAGCCTGGAGAAGAACTCAATAAGGTATTCTTATTTCCTCCCACTTTAATAGTGCAGATTGGTACTGACCACTCTGCGTAAGAGTAGATATTTTGAAATGCCCCAAATGGGCACTTTAGAAATGTTATTCAATTTGGATGATCAGTACTTGAACAAACGTTAGGAAGTTGGACGTGAGCTGTAGAAATTTTGATCGCAAACATAAGAGACCTTTCCTTTGGTGAAAACTTCTTACCAAGTATTTCTAAGAGTATGTCGGCAAGATATTAAATAAGGCCTACTTTCACCACAAAAAAAACATACTAGTGCTTTGAAATAATATGTTTTTAAAAAGCTAGTTCACATCTTTAAAAAAAGCATTCGTCTGAATAATTAGTTATTTTTTCGTTAATGTTCAGGTTTGCGGTCGAGGGAAAAATGGTGATGCTTATTGTCGACGGTGTCCCGAAGGAACTTTCTCAGAGGACGGACTACAGAGATGCTCCCCTTGTCGTATCTGCGTCAACACTTTGGCGACCGAGTGCACTGCTTCAAGAAACACAGCGTGTGGAGAGTGCCTTCCAGGGTATGATGCCGGTGGTGCCGCAAATGACCACCTATTTTGCATATTTTTGAGAATATTTACCCAAAATGACCCCTTTTTGCATAACACAGATGGGCCCTGTTTATAAATTGAATTTAATTTTGTCTCCTTATGTACACACACCACGTGCCCTATTTTAGGATATGTTGACATTTACACCCACATTCTCATGATGGTGAAAATATGACGTTTTTTCATGAATTTTGTTTCCCCCTTCAAGTCTGAGAACATTTTCAATGCTAGCGAACATACCCGAAAATGTCCTCCTTTTTACGCAAAATTTGAAACTATCATGCGAACATGAATTGAAATGATAACAGGGGGGGGGGGGGTATGATTTTGATTTCGAGTGAAAGCTGGTGTTAATCAAAAGAAATAAGAATCTATGTGAGGTTCTGGAATGATCAAAACGACAACAAAATTATCTATGTGGCATATCGAATTTGAAATTGATATACATGTATGGAAATATGCGAATGTGAAAGTTTGGTCCAAACTTCTTCCGCTATTTCTGGTAAATTTTCGAATATTAAGGCCTTTAGAGAGCAATCCTTTCCAGTAGCCGAGTAGCCGAGTAGCCGAGTAGCCGAGAAGCCTGTTTCAAATCGAGCAAAGCTAGTTTTCCATGCAATCGAAACCGGGCTGACCAGATTAAACTTAAAAAAAGCAGAAACGCGAAGTTGCAAACCATCCAGAGACTCCTAATAAATTACGTTACTGACTAATTAATTATGTAATTACACATCTTTATTCTCAGTTTTCTTATGTTTAACTGATTCTCTTATAAAACTGAAGATATGGCGTATATATTCAATACTGAATGAACGCCACTAAACTATTACCAACAACAACAACAACAATCCTTTCCAGGTAACAATTCTACTATGATATGCTTCTAAATTAATCTTCAAAGAATTATACCAGAACTCAATTTTCTTGTTAATGTTTAGATATTACCAAGACGCAGATGGGTACTTCCCGGACCAGGGAGCCTGCCCGAACAAGTGCCCCGAGTGTCCGAACACCGTTCCACAGTGCCAAGAGTGGTGCGAATCAAGGACAAACCCGGACAAGGTTACCGTCGGACAAGATGACGTCACCCTAGCGGATGTGGCTGTGGATATTCACCAGTCTGGTGCTGACGATGGAAGTAAGCTTGCTTGAAACAATGAATGACATGTTCGTTTGTTTAAAAGCCAAAATCATAATCTTAATGACTTGGGGATTTCCCCAAAATATCAATCCCTTAACTGAAGGATACTGATGTCTTCTCGCCAAACAATACAGCAAAACAACATGACTTTGCAGCTTTACATTTGAAGTAAAAAAAAAAAAAAAAGGTCTTTCAACAAAATTGCGTTTTTTCATAGAATCTCTATAACATTCGACTTCGAGGAGTGCAACTATCAGTGCCCTCTGCCGGAAACCTAGACTAAAATTGTTGACTCGTGTCTGATTCATATCGGTCAACACTATTTTTAGACCCCTCGGTAGATTTGGAACCCTTGGTAGAACAGTTGTAACAGCAGGAAGTACCTAGTCCCGATCTGTTACCTACGAAATTGCGATACGGTCACAATGAGGATAACGCCAACGAAGAGAATTGTGGAAAGTCAACTTTTTAATTGACCGCAATGACTAAAACACTCCATCTTGGGTCAGTTAAGTGCAGAGGCTGATTCAAGAAGTTATCAGCATCATCACCATCACCATCATCATCACCATCATCATCATAATCATCATCATCATCAACAACCTCAGCTATGATTGTAAGGCTCAGCAGGGCAATCCAGCTCTATTATTCTTTGTCCTTTGATTTTTGTCATCCATGAATACAATTGATTAAAAAATAAAAATCTAAACTAAAACAACAAAATTCCTAGTGTCGATAGATCAATATTTTCTCGATATTCTTTCTGTTTCTACAGTCAATGATGAAGCTAAACTTCCTCCAGCTAGCCATGGATCCTACATGCTCATCTTCACAGTTCTCGCATCCCTTTTGGCCGTCGTCATCATCGTCCTCTTTACCGTCCTCTTCGTGTTCCGTTACATGTGGAATAGGTCTAATGGGTCGAATGCGTCGACGACACCGATCCTACCGAGTCCGAGACCTTCACCCTCTAGTTCACCTCCCAGAACTCCACCAAGTAAGGCGTATGTTTTGTTTTAATCGAATAAAGAAAAAGAAAAAGAGAATTGTCTAGATCCCCAGTTTCTCATAACATAGCGACCAGCCCAAAATATGAAGTAAATGAACCCAAAAAAAACACGTGCGATGAGCTTCTGTTTCATGTATGGATACATAACACACTAATATTAATATGCATAAAAGTCTCAGCATTTTTGCTCGCTTGCTTTGATATCCAATCAGGCATCATTATTATGCCTCAATATACGCCACCAAGCATGGTATAAACTTTTGAACATTTGATTAATTACTAATTAGATTAAACAAGGAATCCATTAGGATAAAAAAGTAAATAAGACATGTTTATGCTATTGTTTTATGCTCGAACAGAGAGGTATATATTTCAGATATAGTTGACTCTATTTGGGCTATTTGTACATGTCGTACTCAGAGGCCCGCAACAAACATGTCAATCCTAAAATATGTTTGTACCGCCTGGCGGATTAATTTAGAACCACTGGCATAGAACCACGAGTTGTTACTTGTGTATTTAGATCTCGGCTTTTTAAAAATTCATTTGGAGATAGTATCGGAGGCCTTTTGCTTTGTTGGTTTAAGCTATGATGAACTGATCACCACCACAAAAATATTGGCTGGGCAAATATTTATTTATAAATTCTTGTATTCTGACCCTTTTGGGCTGAGCTAGTAGCCAGTCCTTACGAACCAGTGAATAAACAAATATTATGATAGTAATACAGAATAATGATTGAAAAATTGAAAACAAAGAGCTGATGTGAAGATGATTTTCTTTTGTATTATCAATTTCTACAAACAATATTTTGTTCTCCCTCTGTTCATTTTAAGCTGTTTACGGGCCTACAACCTTTCAGTATTCCCCGGAAGGATACGGCAGGGAATTCTGGAATTTTATTAGGTAAGAGATAGCCTGTCCCTTGCAATGTTAAACGCAATTGCAAAGTCTTAAGAGAAATCGTTTCAAAAGTAATTTCAATACCCTATTGTTTTGCTTATAGAAATCATCAATGGATTACTCAACATGTTACTGTCGTGTTCGCAGATTTCAATAGGTGGCGCATAAGGTTATTGACATCACCTTAGATTGACTTTTTGAAAGTCTTTGCATTTCTGTAATACAACAAACTTACTTTGGTCTGTAAATGAATATGAATGATATGCGACCAAGGGGGATATGGTAAGAAATGAATATCCTCAAAGAAAAAAAGGGGGTCGAAGCTGAATCTTCGACAGTTCACGGGCAGTTGAATAGGGATCATCAGTCTTAAAAGACCTTACCGACAAAAGAAAAAGATAGATTGAGTCTGGGAGGGATTAAAAAAGGGATACCAGGTAGTTCTTTAGACGCATGATACATTTGCAGAAATGACACAGTATGGTATTTGTCGAACAATATATATGATCAACCGTTGTCTTCTTCAGTATGTAGGCTAAGATAATGATTGCCTCATGCATAAATATTGATGATAATACACCAGTCTTCGGTTATGGGCGCCAGAGGCAGATATAAAGTTTCTATTCGCTTTCAAAAGATTCTGGACTTCTGGTTTATAACTCCGGCTTTACCTCCTTTAGCAGTAGCGCTCAGTGTACTGAAGGAATAATTCCTACCAAGTAACCACTTACTTCACCTGGGTTAAGTTTTGCAAAATATAAATTAATGGTTACCCAAAGGACAAAGTGCCGTGGCAAGGAATCTAACCACATACCTTGTGATTTAGCTTCCGATGACTTATCCACTAGACCACAGCACCTCTAATGCATTATGTTTTTAATCTATTCAGAACGGCCTCTCCGCGTCTAACCAGTTCAAGACCCGTTAGTGGAGGTTCAACTGATGTTGAGAATGAGTCATCTGCGGTTTCTACACCAACAATGAACCTAAACAGACGGATGGTCGAAAGAGACCTGCTGAGACATACGCTGGAGAGACAAGTTGTTGTTGATCATGATGGTTCCCCTCGATTAATTCCGCCGTATCCACTTAAACATCCTGAAAGCGTTAAAGGAGAGCGAATGGTCAATTCAGCTGGTAGTATGAACCCTGCTGGACCATTTCATGGGAAAGAGACATTTCCTACACAATCAGTTGCCGCAAAAGAATCTGATCGAAACCCGGTACCAATTGAAAGGTTGGGTTGCTCGGAAGAAAGTTCCTGGTCTCGTTCGACACCATCGGGAAAAGTCGTCACTGAGAGAGCGTCTGGAACTGTCCACCCACATGTAGATGATACGGATGAGGCTCCTAGAACAAGGGTCCGCCGTCGATCTATCATCAGTAACAACAGCCTGGATGAACAGCTCTTGCCACTTCTCAACAATAACAGGAGGAGCAGTCTTTCAGATCTAGTATTAGGCAACAATCGGCAGAAGTCACGGAATGGACGCAATGGCAACACTGCACCAGTACACGAGGCTGTAGCTGCATTGTTTCCTACCGATTCTTCAAGTGACAACGGACCAACTGCCGATAATCCAGTGGATACCAACAACACTAAGTCTGCAAACCCGAATCAGCCAAGTCAATCTCCAGAACCAAACGCTTCTTCACACAAAACCCCAACTGCTGCAGCTGGGAACAAACCAAACGGCTGCAAATGTACCCTGGCCGTTTCACCAAAGGAAATCCCTGTCGAGAACTCCACTCACGAGAAGCCCGCCGCAATTCCGGATGACCAGGGAAGCATTGGCAATAAGTCACCCGGTGACACAAATGTCACTATCAACATCACCATGACCACAAAAGACGTTGAGACTGTTCATATTGGTGATGTACACGATAAACGCAACCTCCATGACGGTGCTCACCAGGGAATCAAGGCATCGGAACCAAACAACAACAACGACGACAACAACGGTGAAGCTCAAAAGTTACTTAACGTAAACATGTCCGCTTGTGAAACTGACACCCTTCACCTTGACAGCAGCGACCATGATGACGACGATAATGCTGAAAGAGACAAATTACTCGACCCCAAATCATCATAGGTATTCGAAACCTAGAATATTTCAAATTATGTATATAATGGTAAATTGTATTCCCAACTTTTAAAACCACTGTTAACCCAAAATACGGACTATTTTTTTAAGGGTAACAAATACAAATTGAACGATGCATTCGTACGAATCTCCCTGTTTTTCCATGGTCTTCCCGAATTTCCATGGTCTGAAAACCGTTCGTACGGCGTTCGTAATGACATTTGTGACCGAGGCTTAACTCATCAAAATCTTCAAATCTGTGACAATAATCTAATGATTGCATCTTAAAGGATTAGATTGAAGCACATTTTCTTGTAATCATAATGAAAAAATGAAGAAAAAAAAGCTGCACACTATTGTGCAAGTTAAACTTTCTCCGAAAAAATAATTCACCAGTACGTTCGCGATGCCTTATTCAATGGTGCTGGTAAGGGAAAAGACATATCGTTCAAAGAAATTACATTTACATAACGTTTAGATAATATATTTTGTATTTTGTATGATATATTTTGTATAAAACACTGTCATGTACGTAATTGTATCAATCATCATTTAAGTGTAACTTGTGGACACTCCTATATTTTAATTTCATCTTACTTCTTTTGATTACAGTCTTACAAACAAATGTTAGAATCACTTACTGGAGTTTGTGTGTTTGCGAAAGTAACTTGTTTAAGTTTCCGTGACATTTAAAGGTTATCGACTATCTTGTTTTTTGTGGATTCTTTTACGTTTCACTGGACTCAAACGGTTATATAAAACGGTATTGAACGGTTATCAAACGATTATTACTTATGATTTACTTTCATAAACATTGTAAATGCTAAATAGATGCTGCTTGTATAAATTTTGGTTTTTCGGAGTATATTTTGTAATGGTTTCAGTTAGAAGTACATTCCTGCGTACTATTTGTTTCTTAATTTATAAATATTTTCTTTAAAAGTTATGCTATTATCAACAACTATTGAAATGCAGAACTCTGACGTGGTTGTAAGGTGAATGTGACAAGGAATTCTTACCGTTTCAATATGAATGACATTATAACAAGACCATCAAACAGTAAAATTGATAATGTTCGTAACACTATCGAATCATTATTGAATTCAAGAAGTTCATATCAGGGGCTGCGGAAACGTGTGGAGAATTCATTTATAATCTGAAGTTTATGAGACGGCTTCAGCCTAAGAGACCAAAAATCCCCGAGACCGAGCTTGTCAGTCCATAGGCCCTTTAGCCACTCTTCACAGGGTTTGATCATGGACCTACTACTGGTTCGATCGACCGAAGCCCCACAAGACCGACATTTGTTTCTCTCTTACCTTATGTCTTTCATCGTTTTTTCGGTCTCGTGGACCGTTGGAAACTCTCTACTTTTCGAAATGTCATTATGTATTTGTCGGTTTGTCGGCCTCGTAGGCTGTCAGACTACTGGGATGACGACGTTTTTAAATTCCGACGAAAGTATCGATTATCATGGGTGTACAGCATTTGATTTTAAAAGAAAAAAGTTACTCAGAAATTTTTGTTTTGATGGTATAGAGGTGAAGGTGTTTACGACAATATTACCAGTCTATACGACAAGTAGTAGCATAAATCAAATACACCAAATATTTAAAAAAATTAGCTCATTAATTAATTATTTGTTTTAAGTACATGGTTGATATGTTTATTGTTTTTTTAGAACGTTAATTCTGTGTTAAAAACAACGCGTTCTTATAATTTTATGATAAATGGACAAAGAAAACATTCTTTTCCTGTAAAAACAAAGTTGTTTTAGTGATTTTATTTTTAAAATAAATTCAATGTTGTTTTCATTTCATTAAAAATGTCTATGTATCGTATTTTGTGGAAAGGGGGAGGGGAGGGGAGGGGCTGTATTTATTTTTCACATACATTCATGTATATGCAATAATATATACTGCAAAGTTACGAGCATGGACAAATATTTTGTTATTTTGTTTCGGTAGGCAATACTGAATAGGACATCGAATAGCCTTCACTATAATATAAAAACAAAAGAAAACAAAATAAACAAGACCCAACAAAACACAACCCAACCCAACACAGGAAAACACAACAAAACACAACAAAACACAACAAAACACAAGAATAAATACCAAACCTACTTTCTGTATGCTACCCGTTAGTGATAACTCCTTACATGTGTGAGTGAGCGAAGCGAGCAAGCTAAAAGTTTAAGAATTGTGAGGTCACAGTGCAAACAATTACATCTTATAGAGAGGAAAAACTATAATCCTGGTGGGGTTTTAAGCAAAATCTAATCATGAAAGAATGAAAAGACCTTTTATTAGAAACACAATTATATCAACTTTAATGCGAGCCAGCGTAGCGAGCGAGCTTTGGGTAAAATTAAAGAAAAGGTTGCTCTTAGTCGCTTCAAATTTGGAGTACATTTTTATGGTGAAAGGAAAGGGGGGCTTTTATCCAAAGGGAAAAGGACACCTATTAGAATAGAAAAGGCGCAGGTTTCAAAACAAAAAGGGGAATCATCTGACATAAAAATGGGGCACTTCTTGCACATGATAAGAAGCACTCACCAGAGATGAAAAAGAAAAAAAAAGGGAAATAATGAGAACGGAAAAGGGGCACCTATTACAAAGTATAATTGGCAATCATCAGAAGGAAAATGACACTTATGAGAAAGCATAAGGGGACACTTATGAGATATAAAAAGGGGCTCTTATTTCAAAGTTAAAGAGGGTACCTCTCAAATTAAAAAAAGGGCACTAACCGGAGATGAAAAGGGGCATACAAAGTAAAAGAGGCACTTGTCAAAATATCAGGGGCACCTCTCAGATTTGAAAAGAGGCAATTATAAGAAGGGGCATTTATCAGAGGAACTTGTGAGAACGGAAATGAGCTTTATCTATCTTGTTGTAGTATTTGATTGATTTATCACAAAGTTCTATTAGCTTAATGGCCTGTAGAATGGCGTATCCAGATCTTGGCCTCAGGAGGGTCAAATCATTTCAACTTACTTTAATCTATAAAAGTTTAGTAAGGATAGCCCTAGTTTAGCGTTATATGAGCGGGGACATCGCTTAAAGGAAAAGAAGACTTATTTGAGGAGGGGGGAGGGGGAGGGGTAAGACTTTCAAGGAAATGCCTACAATTCGTGCATTTCTTGACTCACAGTGATTCCTAACCTGCTTACTACTAATGAGGCTGCGTTTCCTTTCTTTCTAGGTCGGAATTCGGTCAAGAGGGTAACTTATTCCTCTCCCAGCCCCATCCTAAACAAGATATAGCGCTTAGAGACTTCGGTGGTAAGCGCCTTATAAGCACCGTTTTTTATTATTATTATTAATATATTCATCTATCTTTTACACTCTTCACCCAGTTGAGGTAAATGGATACCCGGGATGAAGAAATTACTTGATTGCTGTATCGCCTTAACATGGCTGCTCAGCTACAGCCGGTGTAATAATGCGATGCATGTATTTTGTATTAAGCGTAGTAGAGTATATTCATATAGTAGTTGCGTTATATATTTCATAACATGTTTAACTTTATCCGAAACGCATGATATGATAAACCTTACCGTTTTGTGTTTCCCAATACATTGGTGGTTCTCAAAGGGCCCAGCACACCATGAAGTCTTTTCAATTTCGGTGATCGCTCTCATTGTATTTTGTCATAATGCAGAACATATCTGGTAATATAATAGTTGTGTGTGTGTGTGTGTGTGAATGTAGGATTTTTACTGAGCGAGAAATAGAATGATCAATAATGTGCAATCATATTCCGCAATTCGGAACACGTGAACAATGTTAATGTTTTAACCGAAAACATTTTTCTTCACCTATTCTGTGGTTAAAACTAGCCCATATCGGAAATTGAAAACACAGGTAAAGGACTTCTCTGTCAATATACTTTGCTGGTAAGTGTAACAAAATATGACTTATGATATCTTTCAAAGTTGTATGAAATATGTGTTATAAAGTACACGCACAGTGATTTTGCTATCAGTATAGTTGCGTTATATAAATGAACATTATCATAACATGTTTCACTTGATCCAAAACGCATGATTCAATGAACATGAGATTTTGTTGGTTCCCACCAATGGCATTTCAAAAACTATTGTCGTGAGTATTGACTTACCTGTGAACTGTGTTGACATACATTGATGGTTCTCAAAGGGCCCAACTCACCGTGCACGTCCTTCCTGGAGTCCTTTCAATTTTGGGGAGCGCTCTTTTGTATTTCATCATATGCAAACATCATGAAAATCTGATAATATGATATTTGTGTGTCTGGGGCCTGAGGGTGTGTGTGTCTGAATTTCACTGAGCAAGAAATGGATTGATTTCAAATGTGCTATTATATTCTACAATTCGGAACACGGGAACATTGTTAATGTCTTACCCGACAACCTGCGGTTATACTACTAGCACTTATCGGAAATTGAAAACACAGGTAGAGGACTTCTCTGCCAACAGACTTTGCTGGTAAGTAAAAGATATGACTTATGATATTTTTTCAAAGTTGTATTAACTATGCGCTATAAAGTACACGCACACTGATTTTGCTATTAACGTGTACATGCAACTTTTCAATGATTTACATGCGCTAGTACTACTGTTTGGCTTAATCAACAGGGCTGGTTACGTGAATGTAGGGTTAGTTTCCATCCGCTTATGAGATGTTAGTAATATATTACCGGTCGACAAGAATTTTGGAAATAATGCTTAGCTGTTAATGAAAGTCGATTTTTATAATAAAAAAATGCCTGTATAATGTTGTTTTGACTATGAGAACTAGACATAAATGGTGTATAGTATAGGCCAAATCGATGCCCGGACATTAACGATGCAATCGGATATATTAATATTATTATTATTAGTGGTAGTAGTAGTAGTTGCTTAAGTAGTAGTAGAAGTAGTAGTAGTAGTAGTAGAAGTAGTAGTAGTAGTAGTAGAAGTAGTAGTAGTAGTAGTAGTAGTAGTAGTAGTAGTAGAAGTAGAAATACTAGTAGTAGTAGTAGTAGTAGTAGTAGTAGTAGTAGTAGTAGTAGTAGTAGTAGTAAAAGTAGTAGTAGCAACAGCAGCAGTATTATTATTGCTATTCTGTGTTGTTATTCACCAATCATAATGTGTTTCACAATTTTCTCTGGCTTTGACCAACATCGACAAATAAACGTGCAACAGTCAAGAAATAAAAATATGTTTAGTAGATATAACATAATGAAAGTATGTGTTTTGTTTCGTTCAACTTTTTTTCGCTCAGATATTTCAACCATGGTCGGGTACCATCAGAGCCTCAAATATGAATAAACGGATTTTTAAAACATTTCTTCTCTTCATCTTACTGAATGCGCTTCCCAATGTAATTAGCGGAGGTTGGGTAAGTCAATTTGTCTTTCATTCAAGAAAGATTATTCGTTGCATAACGTGTTTGGATGAAATCTGGTTATAAAAAAACAAGGCCCCTAAGGAAAAACGAAAAAAATACAGTGTTAAATAGAACGTTGTTGTATCAGGGGTTTAAAAAAAGCAATAAAATAAAATAAAATAAAGTGATACTGGTGAAATGACTAATAAGTGTTCCTTATTGAGAACTTGTTGGGCCTTCAAGACTTATTAATGGGTAATGGGAGTCAACACAAGTTAACTTTAATGTGTTTTGCGTACATGGTATAGGTACAGTTTAATAAGCGTGTGTAATGTTGTGTTGAGATTTGTTGATTATTGATATAGGATATCTGTATAGACAGCATTTACCAAATAATAGATTTTGAACCGATATGTGTTCAATTGATTATACTTACTGAAAGAAAAACGAGTCGGGATACAAACAGGGCATGCTTCAACACATGATAGACATAGACATGTTTTAATAAATCCAGTGACAGATTCGATAGCAGAGGGGGGGGGGGGCGTTTCACAAAACTTGTCATCAAATAAGCTACTGGAATCCTTGCTTCTGATTGGTTATCAGTTGATTTGTCACTGATTTGTGTCATTTTTATATAGAAAAAAAGCTTTGAGAAACGGTATCCAGGTCATTAGTTATACTTGGCGTTGAAGATTTTTTTTTTTTTTTTTTTTTTTTTTTTTAGGGGGGGGGGGGGGATGCTGCCATTTGAAAATTGTAATAAGGCCTTTGAGCTGACGGAGAATTTTGCCTGAAAACTTGCTTATACCTCAGTTAGACCAACGAGACCGACTCCAGACCCACACCAGACCCACACCAGACCCACACCAGACCCACATCAGACCCACTCCAAACCGACACCAGACCCACACCAGACCCACACCAGACCCACACCAGACCCACATCAGACCCACACCAAAGCGACACCAGACCCACACCAGACCCACACCAGACCCACACAAGACCCACACCAGACCCACACCAGACCCACGCCAGACCCACGCCAGACCCACGCCAGACCCACACCAGACCCACACCAGACCCACACCAGACCCACACCAGACCCACACCAGACCCACACCAGACCCACACCAGACCCACACCAGACCGAACTAAATATTCCTAAAATGGCACAAATACAATACATGGGCTTGGATTCGATGTGGTGTCGGTTTGGCGGTGTGGCTGGGGTATTGACAATGACATGAATTTAGTCCCTGTAATAGTTCCGCCTTGCATACTGAATGCAACTCGTCTGCCTAGTTAAAAGAAAATTTTGCGGTGGTTGACTATGTATGGTAATTGAGCACTGACGGTTGAATTTGTTCACAAAAGGAGAGGGGGGGGGGGTGGTTCGTCTACTCACATGATTGTGGATCGGATTCCTTTTGTGCAAGATCTTTGATAAATTGCATTATGTAAAAGCGTTGTGGAATGTATCAAAATAAAAGAGAGGCAGAAGGAGAAGGAGCGGGAGAGGAAGTGAGAGAGGGAGAGGAAGAGAGAGAGAGAGAGATAAAGAGAGAGAGAGAGAGAGAGAGAGAGAGGGGGGGGGGGGGGGGGGGAGAGAGAGAGAGAGAGAGGGGGGGGGGAGAGAGAGAGTCGGTGAAATAGAAATGGAGTGAGATTGAAAGAGAGAGAGAGAGAGAGACCCTGACAGACAGAAAGAAAGTTGTGTGTGTTTCTGAGTGTGTGCGTGTGCGCACGCGCGCGTGTGTATGGTGAAAGAGAGTGAGGTAGAGGGAAAGAGGGAAGGGAAAAAAGGAGAGAGTGAGTGAGAGAATGAGAGAAAGAGGATGTGTGTGTGTTTGTGTGTATGTGTGCGTGTGTGTGCGTGGGTGTTATGTATGGGATACATAGAGAGAGAGAGAGAGAGAGAGAGAGAGTCGATGAAATAGTAATAGAGTGAGATTGAGAGAGAAAGAGCTTTGTCATCATCCTCTGTGCGGTGGCAATGAATTTTCATTATTGTATTCCCTATTCTCTTTTTATAAAATGAAAATGCACTTGAATTCTATGATTTCAGTATCAAAGTGAACAATAACCTCAGTTCGCAGCAAACTTCGTGTGCGGGGGATATGGATTGCAGGATGTTTGCGTGGCAGATGGGTGTGTGTATGTGTGTTGAGCGCGTATGTATGTTAAATGAACATGTATGCGTGTCGATAAAACATATTTAAAGTACCATTTGCTTTGTAAAGCACTGAGCATTTATATTTGTTTGTAGAAGAAAAAAAATTGTTTTCGAATCACTGTCGCGTGGTGAAACATGGGAGCGAGTAAAGAACCAAAGTGCTAATGTCATAACCGCTTTTCGTCCAGGTTATTGGTTATAATCAATAGAGCCTGTGCTTGAGGTTCACCGCAACAACAGTCAACCGCACATTTTCAGTCAAACAAAACTCAAATACATAATTATAAATATTTGTTACTCTTTCAGACACAATTCAGATAATTTTCACCATGCAGAATATTTAGAAAGAGATACCGTATCAATCCTTTGTCTAATTTCTTGTCAATCTTCTTCCAATCCTCCGTTTTTCGTCTATTATAAAACCATAGTTGAATTGTTGTTCTTTTCTAGAAATCTTTCAACCCTAAGCTTAATAAAGCAACGTGCACAAACGTGACAGTAGGCGTCCTAGAAAGAGATGCGTTTCGTAGCCTTTTCAGCACACTCAGAATGTCTTCTTTCGTGTAATTATTCAAACACCTGGTAAATTATTTTTCTTCATTTGGTTTAGTTCTGCAACAACCCCTCACCACCGGTTTGCGCCGATGACTGCGATGGGAATGGATACTATATCAGTCAAGATGGAACTGCGTGCATTCAATGTCCACAATGTTCGGCTGGACAGGAACTTAACAAGGTATCTTTATAAAACTTCAACATAACACAGTTCATTTAATCATTTACTTGTTTCTCAATCCAAATGTTGGGTTTGTTAGGGTTCAAATCCTAGCTTGGACTTTAACGTTCTTAAGAAAGTCATTAATCCACATTTTACACTTTCCACCGAATTTTAAAATTGAGTGCCTGAAAGTTATTGGGGGAAACAGTGATTAAGGAGCCCTGAGGGAGAACAGCATTGATGCTGATGCCGAGGCTTCATTTTCTTGCTTCTCAATCCAAATTTTTGAGTTTTTTAGGGTTCGAATCGTAGCTCGGATCTAGCTCGGTTTGCCCTCTTGTACACATGCCAGAGGCGGCGGAGCGACTTCCAAAGTTGGGGGGGGGGGGGGCACCAACCAAAAAGGGCACTTTCTGGGAAAAAAGGGCATCTACAAAGGGAAATCTCAAAGCGAAAATAAACAATTTTTAGACATTGGTATATACCCCTAAAATATGATTACATTATCAGGGATGATTTCAATATTTGTTTCTCTTTATACATCGTATAAAATATTGCTTTTTAAAGCATCATACCTTGCAGTTGGGTGTGATGGTGGAAAAAATCATTTGCGAGCGAGGAAAAATATAAGATTTATGAGGTCACAGTGCGAAAACTACATCTTATAAAGAGGAAAAAACAATCCTCATCGGGGTATAAATAAGCACATTTTAATAACAGCAAACTGAAAAGACCTTTGATAAGTAACATAATTATAACATCTATAAATGTGAGCGAGCTTTGGGAGATATTGCTCTTAGTCGCTTGAAATTAGGGGCACGTTTAATGATGAGAGGAAAGGTGGACACTTATCGAAGGGATAAGACAATTATTAGAAAATAAAAGGAGCACGTGTCAAAGTACAAAGGGTTATTATCAGAGGTGAAAATGGGGCACTAACCAGGGATGAAAAGGCACTTATGAGAATGGAAATTGGGCATTTGTCGACGGAAAAGAGGCAACCATCAGATTTTGATAGGGGCATTTATGAAAAAGGGATAGGTTCCTCATAAGAAAGGAGAAGGGGCATGTATCATTGTTAAAAAAGGTTAATTATCAGAGGTGAAAAGGGGCACTTATCGCACCTGAAAAGGGGCAAACACCATATATGAAAGAGGCACTTATGAGAATGAAAAAGAGGCACTAATAATAAAGGAGAATGTGCATTTGTTGAAAGAAAAGGAGCACCGATCAGATTTTGATAGGGGCATTTATTGGAGGTGAAAGGGGGCTTTTATGAAAAGCGGAAATTATGAAGGAAAAAGAGCATTTATTAGGAAGGAAAAGGGGCACGTGTCAAAATAAAAGGGGGTGTTATTAGAGATGAAAAGAGCACTTATCAGAAGGTAAAGGGGGCACTTGTCAAAATAAAACGATTGTCTCTCAGAATTGAATAGGGTCATTTACCAGACATGAAAAGGAGCACTAGAAGGAGAATGAAAAAGGACTATTTTCATAGGTGAAAAGGGGCATTGATGAAAAGGCAAAGGGCTCTTTGTTAAATGGGGGCACTTATCATAAGGAAAAGGGGCACTTATTAGAAAGGAAAGGGGGCACATGTGAAAATATAAGGTGCGCTTATCCGAGTTAAAAAGAGGTAGTTATTAAAAGGGAAAGGGGCACTTCTTACAAAGGAAAAGGGGCAATTGTCAAAGTAAAAGGGGCACCTCTAAGATTTAAATAGGGCAATTATCATAGGTGAAGGAGGCGCTTAACAAAAGTGAAAAGGGGTGCTTCTCGTATCCGAAAAGAGGCACTTACTAGAGATTAAAAAGGGCACTTATAAGAATGGAAAATAGACACTTATTGCAAAGGAAACTGGTAACTTGTCTGGGAAAAGAGGTACGTGTTAAAATAAAAGGGGCAGATTTCAGAGATGGAAAGGAGAGGGGCACTTTTAAAAATTAACAGGGGCACATATCAAAGTAATAGGGGCACTTTTTATGTAAAAAGGGGCGCTTCTTACAAAGTTAAGGGGGCAATTTTCCCATGGAAAAAGGGGCACTTTTGGGTACTTGAAAAAGTGGGGGGGGGGGGGTAGGGCATTGTGCCCCCCTGCCCCCCGGGTCCGCCGCCTCTGAGACATGCACACCCTATTGTATTCAACTGGAAGCTGTTGGATAGGTTGCATGACGGACAATGCCATATCAGGTACGATTATTTGAATGAATGTTTGCTGAATAATGCATCCTTTTGATGCGCAATGTTACACCATTGTCGATTGCGCGCAATTAATGTGGAGAGTAATGAGCCATTAAATAGAATGTGTTCATTTTTCCAGTTTTTTTTACGTTTCTAGACTGTGTTCCTATATCCATGATTTAATCTTGAAAGTAGTAAAATGTCTTAATTTTTCGTTCCTCGTTTGTTTCATATGATCTTTTAACCAGGATTGTGGAAATGGTTTGAACGGAGATGCAGTATGCATACCTTGTCCAGAAGGATTCTTTTCATTATCCACGTCACAGCGTTGCACTCAATGCACCACATGCACCAATACCGTTGAGCAGGAAACGTGTCAACTCACACAAAACAGAGTGTGTGGGGATTGCTTGCCAGGGTAAATATTTCGTTCCATTTTGTGAAGTTCCGAAATAACATTAAAAGAAAAAAATTACAACAGTCAGGTCCTTTTAATCGCTACGTGGAACTGTACAAAATGTGGGAACAGTGCACTTTAATTCTGACAAATTTATAAATGAACAGCAAGGCCGCAATAACCGAAAATTGTAGATCAATATTGACAAATGAGTGAACGGAGAGGCCCCCCCTCCCCCCAGAGAAAAAACCACAAGAGACAAAAGCCGATGATATATGATTTCTAATACATCCATATTTTTTTTTTTACTAAAATACGTTCCATTCTAAATTGGTTATGAGCCTCACTTTAAAAAAAAAAAGATTAATGCGAGTGTGTAATCACGGCAGAAGATTTCTCAAAGAGGTTTAAGACTTCTTCTGCGGATACAGCAAATCTCACCAGGAAAACATTATTTCATGCTTTGTGTTCTTGATTCCTATACAGCTTTGTCCGAACGCCTGACCGATTCTCGACCGACTTTAACGCCTGTCCAAACAGATGTTCAGACCTTCCCCGTGATACGCCACAGTGCAGGGATTGGTGGAGTAATCAAGCGAGAGAACTGACGGAGGTAGACCAACCCCCGGATACTACAGCTGTTGAAAGGCATATTGAAGAGGTGCATCTAGATGATCTTGATGTAAGTGGCGTAACTATTGAACATCATGATTGATGAGGGGAAATCCCAGTAGATCGACAGCCCATGAGACCGACAGCCCATGAGACCGACAGCCCATGAGACCAACAGCCCATGAGACCGACAGCCCATGAGACCAACAGCCCATGAGACCGACAGCACACAAATCCAACAAAACAAAGAAAGACCCAAGGGAAGATGTCGGTCTTGTGTCTGATGTCGGTCTCATCGGCCATCGTTCTATAAACAAAATTGTTAGAAGACCCACAATACCGTTACTGTCGATATAGTTGGTTGTATCTGGTGAACCCTTAAAAATGATTTCAGAAGACCGGCAACTCAAGAGAACGTCAGACCAAGAGATCGACAATATTGGTTTCATAGGCTGTCGCTCTGCGGGCTTTAGCCGATTGATTAGATGATGATGATGATGAATATGGTTACGACATCTACTGCAACAGTGCAGTAGAGCAAAAAAATGTACGATGACTAGCAATGGGATTGTGATAATATCCGTCCTAAATTTTGGTCGCATTCGTAATTTTTGTTCATAGTTGGGTTAGAGTTAGGTAAATTGGGATTTTTGTAATTGTATTCTATTAAAAAGATGGGGTTAATGGGGGCAAAAAGCAAGGAATGTAAGATCAAACGGACAAAAGAGCAATGCAGGACAAAATATGTGGGATACGCAGGAAACAGACAGTATGACCGATATGACGTAGAACAATAGAATATGAAACCTTCAATGGACTATCCGACTTTGACATTAGTTCATGGTAGACTCAAGTAGATGTTGAAAAAAATGTGTGGGCATTCTGAGAATTTTGTCAACCTTAGCTACTTTTGTCATCCAAGAATTATCATATCCTTTCTTTTTAAAGCCATGTGAACCTAAAACCCCTCTATGCATTGACCCCTGTCACGATGGAAACTTCTTCTTGGACTATGATGGACTCTGCAAGGCGTGTCTGTCATGCCAGCCTGGAGAAGAACTCAATAAGGTATTCTTATTTCCTCCCACTTTAAAAGTGCAGATTGGTACTGACCACTCTGTGTAAGAGTAAGTATTTTGAAATGCCCCAAATGGGCATAGAAATGTTATTCAATTTGGATGATCAGTACTTGGACAAATGTTAGGAAGTTGGACGTGAGCTGTAGAAATTTTGATCGCAAACATAAGAGACCTTTCCTTTGGTGAAAATTTCTTGCCAAGTATTTCTAAGAGTATGTCGCCACGATATTAAATAAGGCCTACTTTCACCACAAACAAAACATACTAGTGCTTTGAAATATGTGTTTAAACAGCTAGGTCACACCTTAAAAAAAGCATTCATCTGAATAATTAGTTATTTTTTCGTTAATGTTTAGGTTTGCGGTCGAGGGAAAAATGGTGATGCTTATTGTCGACGGTGTCCCGAAGGAACTTTCTCAGAGGACGGACTACAGAGATGCTCCCCTTGTCGTATCTGCGTCAACACTTTGGCGACCGAGTGCACTGCTTCAAGAAACACCGAGTGTGGAGAGTGCCTTCCAGGGTATGATGCCGGTGGTGCCGAAAATGACCACCTATTTTGCATATTTTCAAGAGCATTTTTAACAAAATGAACCCTTTTTGCATAACACAGATGGGCCCTGTTCATGAATTGGCTTTAATTTTGTGTCCTTATGTCTTATGATATGCTTCTAAATTGACCTTCAAAGAATTATACCAGAACTCAATTGTCTTTTTAATGTTTAGATATTACCAAGACGCAGATGGATACTTCCCGGACCAGGGAGCCTGCCCGAACAAGTGCCCTGAGTGCCCGAACACCGTTCCACAGTGCCAAGAATGGTGCGAATCAAGGACAATGTCGGACCAGGCTACCGTCGGGCAAGATGACGTCACCCTAGCGGATGTGGCTGTGGAGATTCCCCAGTCTGGTGCTGACGATGGAAGTAAGCTTGCTTGAAACAATGAATGACATGTTCGTTTGTTTAAAAGCCAAAATCATAATCTTAATGACTTTAGGGATTTTCCCAAAAATATCAAACCTTAACTGAAGGATACCGATGTCTTCTCGCCAAACAATACAGCAAAATAACATGACATATATTGCAGCTTTACATTTGAAGAAAAAATTGTATTTTTTCATAGAATCTCTAAACATTCGACTTCAAGGAGTGCAACTACCAGTGCCCTCTGCCGGACACCTAAACTAAAATTGTTGACTCTAGTCTGACCTAAGATTCATATCGGGCGATTTGTAACCCTTGGTAGCACAGCTGTAAAAGCAGGAAGTACATAGTCCATATGTGTTCCCTATAAAATTGCGATACAGTAACAATGATGATAGGGCCAACAAAGACAATTGTCGAAAATCAACTTTTTAATTGACCACATGCACTGACTAAAAAACATTCAATTTCTGAGACATTTTCGGGCAGTTAGCCGCCGAGGCTGATACAAGAAGTCATCAGCATCAGCATCATCATCATCTATAATTGTCATGCTTAGCAGGGAAATCCAGCTCTATTATTTTTTTAGTTTTGTCATCCACGTTATTGATATTAATAAAATTAATTAAAAAATAAAAATCTAAACTAAAACAACAAAATTCCTGGAATCGATAGATCACTATTTCCTTGGTATCTTTTCTGTTTCCAAAGTCAATGACGCGGCTAATCCTCCTTCAGCTAGCCATGGATCCTACATGCTCATCTTCACAGTTCTCGCATCCCTTCTGGCTGTCGTCATCATCGTCCTCATTACCGTCCTCTTCGTGTTCCGTTGCCTGTGGAAAAGGTCCAATGGGCCGACGCCACCGCTCCTACCGGGTTCGAGTGCGACAAGTTCACCCACTAGTTCACCCTCCAGAACTCCACCAAGTAAGGCGTATATTTTTATTCGGATTAAAGAAGAAAAGTGTCTAGATCCCTGGTTTCTCTTAGCATAGCGACCAGCCAAAAAATTGAAGTAAACGAACAGAACAAAACAAACGTGTGATGAGCATCTTTTTCATGCTCCGAATGTATGGATACATAATACACTAATATTAATACGCATTCAAGTCTTAAAATATTTGCTCGCTTGCATCGACAGCCAGTCAGGCATCATAATAATGCCTGAATATACGCCACCAAGCATGGTATAAACATTTGAATATTTGATTAATAATATTACTAACTTGATTAAACAAGGAATCTATTAGAATATTTATGCTATTGTATTATGCTCGAACGGAGAGGTATATATTTCAGATACAGTTGACCCTATTTGGGCTATTTGTACGTACTTGTCTAGAGGTCCGCAAAGTACATGTAATTCCTGAAATATTGTTGTGTTTTTTGGCTGTTTTTATACGCTCAAGGGAAATTTTCCTCCGCTGCTATCACCTCAAGGCGCGCCTGGGTGGGTGGTGCGCCGTGGGGTGATAGCAGCGGAGGAAAATTTCCCGAGAGCCAGTATAGAAACAGCCAGTCCTCGAGTATTAAAGCAGTCGATATCCCTTTTATATGCCGAATTTAAGATTTTATTATTTTCCCGGTAACTGGAATTTTGCCGGGATTTTTACTCTTGGACTATTAAATGGTTTTGGCATTTTTCGTTTCTTTACGGGAATGGCTAAAATCACGACTGCAATTTCGACCAATCAGATGGCTGGATTTCTTAAGTGAGTTATATTAATAAATATATGATAGTAATATAGAATAATGATTTGTATAAATGAAAAAGTGAAAACGAAGAGGTTATGTGACGATGATTTATTTGTTTTATTTTATTTGTTATTTTGTTCTCCCTCTGTTCATTTCAAGCTGTTTACGAGCCTACAACCTTTCAGTATTCGCCGGAAGGAGACGGCAGGGAACTCTGGAATTTTATGAGGTAAGAGATAGTCTGTCCCATGCACTGTTATAGAAATCGTTTCAAAGGTAATTTCAATACCCTATTGTTTTGCTTATAGAAATCACCAATGGATTACTCAACATGTTACTGTCATGTTCGCAGATTGCAATATATAGGTGACGCATAAGGTAATTGAAATCACCTTAGATTGACTTCTTAAAAGTCTTTGCATTTGTGTAATACGACACTTTAAACTTACTTTGGTCTGTGAATGAATGTTAATTGATATGCGATCAAGGGGGATATGCTAAGAGACGAATATCCTCAAAGAAAAAAAGGAGGTCGAAGCTGAATCTTCGACAGTTGACTGGCAGTTGAATAGGGATCATCAGTCTCAAAATACCTTACCGACAAAAGAAAACGAGAGATGGAGTATGGGAGGGATTAAAAACAAATATACCTTACAGTTCTTTGCAAGCATGATACATTTGCAGAAATGACACATTATGGCATTTATCAAACAATATATTGATCAACCGTTGTCTTTCTCAGTCTATAGGTTAAGGTCATGATTGCTCAGGCTCCATAAATATTGGTGATAATTACGATTTTGTATCCAGAATCAGATGTTAAGAGTGTATTCCCATATCCCGGCTATTACCCCCACCTATATCTCCGGCAGCCGTAGCACACAGTGTACTCAAGATAGTAATTCCTTCCAGGTAACCACTTATACACCTAGGCCGAGTGTTGTATATATAGATTAATGGCCACCTAAAAGACCTAGTGCCGTGGCAAGGAATCTAATCCCATACCTTGTGATTTATATTCTGATGATTTATCCACTAGACCACAGCACCTCTAATGCATTATGTTTTCAATCCATTCAGTACGACCTTTAAGAATCTAACCGGTTCAAGACCCGTTAGTGGAGGTTCAACTGATGCAGAGAATGAGTCATCTGCGGTTTCTACACCAACAATGAACCTAGGCAGACGGCTGGCCGATAGAGACCTGCTGAGACATATGATGGTGAGACAAGTTGGTGTTGATCATGATGATTCCCCTCGATTAACCACACCGAAACCACCTAAACACCATGATACCGTTACAGAAGAGCGAATGGTCAATTCAGCTGGTAGTATGAACCAATCTGTGGCTGCAAGACAGTATGATCGAGACATTGAAGATAGTTCCAGGCCTCGTGCACCATCGTCGGGAAAGGTCGTCACCGAGAGAGCGTCTGGAACTGTCCATCCACATGTAGAGGATACGGATGAGGCTCCTCATCCGTACGGAACGAGGGTCCGCCGTCGCTCTATCATGGATGAAAATCTCTTGCAACTTCCCAACGCTAACAGGAGGAGCAGTCTTTCAGATCTGCTCCTACTTTCAGGCAACAATCGGCAGAATAAGTTATGGAATGGACGCAATGGCAACACTGCACCAGTTCAGGAGGCTGAAGCTACACTGTTTCCTACTGATTCTTCAAGTGCCAACGGACCAACTGTCGACGATCCAGTAGATACCAACAACACTAAGTCTGCAAACCCGAAGCAGCCAAGTCAATCTCTGGAACCAAACGCTTCTTCACACAAAACCCCAACTGCTGCAGCTGGGACCGTTTTACCAAAGGAAATCCCTGTCGAGAACTCCACTCACAAGAATCCCGCCGCAATTCCGGATGACCAGGGAAGCATTGGCAATAAGTCACCCCGTGACACAAATGTCACTATCAACATCACCATGAACACAAAAGAAGTTGAGACTGTTCATATTGGTGATGTACACAATAAACGCAACTTCCGTGACGGTCCTTACCAGGGCATCAAGGCATCGGAACCAAACAACAACGACGACAACGGTGAAGCTCAAAAATTGCTTAACGTAAACATGTCCGCTTCCGAAACTGACACCCTTCACGTTGACAGCAGTGACCATGATGACGACGATAATGCTGAAAGAGAAAAATTACTCGACCCCAAATCATCATAGGTATTCGAAACCTAGAATATTTCAAATTAGGTATATAATGATAAATTGTATTCCCAACTTTTAAAACCACTGTTAACCTAAATTACGGACTATTTTTTTAAGGTAACAAATACAAATTGAACAGAAGAACATATCTAACTCATCAAAATCTTCAAATCTGTGACAATATCTTAATGATTGCATTTTAAAGGATTAGATTGAAGCACATTTTCTTGTAATCATAATGATAAAATGAAGAAAAAAATTAAGCTGCACACTGTTGTGCAAGTTAAACTTTCTCTGACAATAACTTAATCTACATTCACCAGTACGTTCGCGATGCCTTATTCAATGGTGCTGGTAAGGGAAAAGACATATCGTTCAAAGAAATTACATTTACATAACTTTTAGATGATATATTTTGTATGATATATTTTGTACAAAACACTGTCATGTACGTAATTGTATCAATCATCATTTAAGTGTAACTTGTGGACACTCCTATATATAAATTCATCTTACTTACTACTTTTGATTACAGTCTTACAAACAAATGTTAGAATCACTTACTTGAGTTTGTGTCTTTGCGAAAGTAACTTGTTTATGTTTCCTTCACATTTAAAGGTTGTCAACTATTTTGTTTCTGTGGATTCTTTCACGTTTCACTGGACTCAAATGGTTATATAAAACGGTATTACACGGTTATCAAACAATTACTTATGAGTTATTTTCATAAACCGATTGCAAAAGCTAAATAGATGCTGCTTGTATATGTTTTGATTATTCGGAGTATATTTTGTAATGGTTTCAGTTAGAAGTACATTCCTGCTTACTATTTGTTTTCTTAATTTATAAATATTTTCTTTAAAAGTTATGCTATTATCAACATCTTTTGAAATGCAGAACTCTGACGTAGTTATAAGTTGGATGTGACAAGGAATTCTTCTTATTTTTTTTTTTATATGAATGACATTCTAACATGACCATCACACAGTAAATTTGATAATGTTTGTGAGAGGGAAAATCGTAACACTATCGAATCATAATCAAAATCCAAAATGTAATCATCTTTTTTTAATTCAAAAAGTCAAATCTCATTTAATCACGTGTGGATCGAGAATTCATTTAGAGTCTGATTTAACGGGACGTCTACAGCCACAGTAAGAAACCGAAAATGTTGGTCCATGGGCCTTCTAGCCACTCTTCTGATGGTTCGCTCGACCGACGGCCCACAAGACCGGCATTTATTTCTATTTTTCCTTTAATATATATTTCCTCGTTTTGTCGGTCTTGTAGACCGTTGGGAACTTTCGACTTTTCTAAATGTCATTATGTATTTGTCGGTTTGTGGGCCTCGTAGGCTGTCAGCATGGGCGTAAATCTGCAATTGATACCTATTGTTCAGGGGGGGGGGGGTGATCTATTCACATTCCCCCCCCCTGAACAATAGGTATTACGTAAGGATTGACGCCCATGGCTGTCAGACTACTGGGATGACGTCGTTTTTAAATTCTGACGAAAGTATAGATTATCATGGTTGTACAGCATTTGATTTTAAAAGAAAAAAGTTACTCAGAAATTTTTGTTTTGATAGTATAGAGGTGAAGGTGTATACGACAATATTACCATTTTATACGACAAGTACTAGCATAAATCAAATACACCAAATAGCTCATTAATCAATTATTTGTTTTAAGTACATGTTGATATGTTTATTGATTTTTAGAACGTTACTTCTGTGTTAAAAACAACGCGTTCTTATCATTTTATGATAAATGGACAAAGAAAACATTCTTTTCTGTGAAACAGGGTTGTTTTAGTAATTTTATTTTTAAAATAAATTCAATGTTGTTTTCATTTCATTAAACAAAGTCTATGTATCGTTTTTTGTGGAAGGGGGAGGGGAGGGGCTGTATTTCATTTTCACATACATTCATGTATATGCAATAATATATACTGCAAAGGTACGAGCATGGACAAATATTTTGTTACTATCCTAGACAGAATATTTGGATGGATCACCCTCCCAAAATGTTTTGTTGTCGGTAGGCAATACTGAAAAGGACAACGAATAGCCTTCACTATAATATAAAAACAAAAGAAAACAAAACAAACAAGACCCAACAAAGCACAACCCAACCCAACACAGGAAAACACAACAAAACACAACAAAACACAACAATACATACCAGACCTACTTACTGTATACTACCCGTTAGTGATAACTCCTAACATGTGTGAGTGAGCGAAGCGAGCGAGCTAAAAGTTTAAGAATTATGAGGTCGCAGTGCAAACAATTACATCTTATAGAGAGGAAAAACTATAATCCTGGTGGGGTTTTAAGCACAATCTAATCATGAAAGAACGAAAAGACCTTTTATAAGAAACACAATTACATTTTTATGGTGAAAGGAAAAGGGGGCTTTTATCCAAAGGGAAAATGACACTTATTAGAATAGAAAAGGCGCAGGTTTCAAAACAAAAAGGGGAATTATCTGATATAAAAATGGGGCACTTCTTGCACATGATAAGAAGCACTCACCAGATATGAAAAAGGGAAATCATCAGAAGGAAAATGGCACTTATGAGAAAGCACAAGGGGACACTTATGAGATATAAAAAGGGGCTCTTATTTTAAAGTTAAAGAGGGTACCTCTCAAATTTAAATAAGGGCACTTACCGGAGATGAAAAGGGGCACTAATACAAATGAAAAGGGGCATACAAAATAAAAGAGGCACTTGTCAAAATATCAGAGGGACCTCTCAGATTTGAAAAGAGGCATTTATAAGAAGTGAAGGGGCATTTATCAGAGGTACATGTGTGAACGGAAATGGGCTTTATCTATCTTGTTGTAGTATTTGATTGATTTATCACAAAGTTCTATTAGCTTAATGGCCTTTAGAATGGCGTATCCAGATCTTGGCCGCAGGAGGGTCAAATCATTTCAACTTACTTTAATCTATAAAAGTTTAGTAAGGATATCGCTTAAATGAAAAGAAGACTTATTTGAGGAGGGGGAGGGGTAGGGGTAAGACTTTCAAGGAAATGCCTACAATTCGTGCATTTCTTGACTCACAGTGATTTCTTACCTGCTTACTACTAATGAGTCCGCGTTTCCTTTCTTTGTAGGTCGGAATTCGGTCAAGAGGGTAACTTATTCCTCTCCCAGCCCCATCCTAAACAAGATGTAGCGCTTAGAGACTTCGGTGGTAAGCGCCTTATAAGCACCGTTTTTTATTATTATTATTAATATATTCATCTATCTTTTACACTCATCACCCAGGTGAGGTAAATGGATACCCGGGATGAAGAAATTACTTGATTGCTGTATCGCCTTAACATGGCTGCTCAGCTACAGCCGGTGTAATAATGCGATGCAAGTATTTTGTATTAAGCGTAGTAGAGTATATTCATATAGTAGTTGCGTTATATATTTCATAACATGTTTAACTATATCCGAAACGCATGATATGATAAACCTTACCGTTTTGTGTTTCCCAATACATTGGTGGTTCTCAAAGGGCCCAGCACACCATGAAGTCTTTTCAATTTCGGTGATCGCTCTCATTGTATTTTGTCATAATGCAGAACATATCTGGTAATATAATAGTTGTGTGTGTGTGTGTGTGAATGTATGATTTTTACTGAGCGAGAAATAGAATGATCAATAATGTGCAATCATATTCCGCAATTCGGAACACGTGAACAATGTTAATGTTTTAACCGAAAACATTTTTCTTCACCTATTCTGTGGTTAAAACTAGCCCATATCGGAAATTGAAAACACAGGTAAAGGACTTCTCTGTCAATATACTTTGCTGGTAAGTATAACAAAATATGACTTATGATATCTTTCAAAGTTGTATGAAATATGTGTTATAAAGTACACGCACAGTGATTTTGCTATCAGTATAGTTGCGTTATATAAATGAACATTATCATAACATGTTTCACTTGATCCAAAACGCATGATTCAATGAACATGAGATTTTGTTGGTTCCCACCAATGGCATTTCAAAAACTATTGTCGTGAGTATTGACTTAACTGTGAACTGTGTTGGCAGTAGATTGATGGTTCTCAAAGGGCCCAACTCACCGTGCACGTCCTTCCTGGAGTCCTTTCAATTTTGGGGAGCGCTCTTTTGTATTTCGTCATATGCAAACATCATAAAAATCAGATAATATGATATTTGTGTGTCTGGGGCCTGAGGGTGTGTGTGTCTGAATTTCACTGAGCAAGAAATGGATTGATTTCAAATGTGCTATTACTGATATTCTGCAATTCGGAACACGGGAACATTGTTAATGTCTTACCCGACAACCTGCGGTTATACTACTAGCCCTTATCGGAAATTGAAAACGCAGGTAGAGAACTTCTCTGCCAACAGACTTTGCTTGTAAGTAAAAGATATGACTTATGATATTTTTTCAAAGTTGTATTAACTATGCGCTATAAAGTACACGCACACTAATTTTGCTATTAACGTGTACATGCAACTTTTCAATGATTTACATGCGCTAGTACTACTGTTTGGCTTAATCAACAGGGCTGGTTACGTGAATGTAGGGTTAGTTTCCATCCGTTTATGACATGTTAGTAATATATTACCAGTCGACAAAAATTTTGGAAATAATGCTTAGCTGTTAATGAAAGTCGATTTTTATAATAAAAAAATGCCTGTATAATGTTGTTTTGACTATGAGAACTAGACATAAATGGTGTATAGTATAGGCCAAATCGATGCCCGGACATTAACGATGCAATCGGATATATTAATATTATTATTATTGGTGGTAGTAGTAGTAGTTGCTTAAGTAGTAGTAGAAGTAGTAGTAGTAGAAGTAGTAGTAGTAGTAGTAGTAGTAGTAGCAGTAGTAGAAGTAGAAATACTAGTAGTAGTAGTAGTAGTAGTAGTAGTAGTAGTAGTAGTAGTAGTAGTTAAAGTAGTAGTAGCAACAGCAGCAGTATTATTATTGCTATTCTGTGCTGTTATTCACCAATCATAATGTGTTTCACAATTTTCTCTGGCTTTGACCAACATCGACAAATAAACGTGCAACAGTCAAGAAATAAAAATATGTTTAGTAGATATAACATAATGAAAGTATGTGTTTTGTTTCGTTCAACTTTTTTTCGCTCAGATATTTCAACCATGGTCGGGTACCATCAGAGCCTCAAATATGAATAAACGGATTTTGAAAACATTTCTTCTCTTCATCTTACTGAATGCGCTTCCCAATGTAATTAGCGGAGGTTGGGTAAGTCAATTTGTCTTTCATTCAAGAAAGATTATTCGTTGCATAACGTGTTTGGATGAAATCTGGTTATAAAAAACAAGGCCCCTAAGGAAAAACGAAAAAAATACAGTGTTAAATAGAACGTTGTTGTATCAGGGGTTTAAAAAAAGCAATAAAATAAAATAAACTAAAGTGATACTGGTGAAATGACTAATAAGTGTTCCTTATTGAGAACTTGTTGGGCCTTCAAGACTTATTAATGGGTAATGGGAGTCAACACAAGTTAACTTTAATGTGTTTTGCGTACATGGTATAGGTACAAAGTTTAATAAGCGTGTGTAATGTTGTGTTGAGATTTGTTGATTATTGATATAGGTTATCTGTATAGACAGCATTTACCAAATAATAGATTTTGAACCGATATGTGTTCAATTGATCATACTTACTGAAAGAAAAACGAGTCGGGATACAAACAGGGCATGCTTCAACACATGATAGACATAGACATATTTTAATAAATCCAGTGACAGATTCGATAGCAGAGGGGGGGGGGGGTCGTTTCACAAAACTTGTCATCAAATAAGCTACTGGAATCCTTGCTTCTGATTGGTTATCAGTTGATTTGTCACTGATTTGTGTCATTTTTATATAGAAAAAAAGCTTTGAGAAACGGTTCCCAGGTCATTAGTTATACTTGGCGTTGAAGATTTTTTTTTTTTTTTTTTTTTTTTTTTTTTTTTGGGGGGGGATGCTGCCATTTGAAAATTGTAATAAGGCCTTTGAGCTGACGGAGAATTTTGCCTGAAAACTTGCTTATACCTCAGTTAGACCAACGAGACCGACTCCAGACCCACACCAGACCCACACCAGACCCACACCAGACCCACATCAGACCCACTCCAAACCGACACCAGACCCACACCAGACCCACACCAGACCCACACCAGACCCACATCAGACCCACACCAAAGCGACACCAGACCCACACCAGACCCACACCAGACCCACACAAGACCCACACCAGACCCACACCAGACCCACGCCAGACCCACGCCAGACCCACACAAGACCCACACAAGACCCACACCAGACCCACACCAGACCCACGCCAGACCCACGCCAGACCCACGCCAGACCCACACCAGACCCACACCAGACCCACACCAGGCCGAACTAAATATTCCTAAAATGGCACAAATACAATACGTGGGCTTGGATTCGATGTGGTGTCGGTTTGGCGGTGTGGCTGGGGTATTGACAATGACATGAATTTAGTCCCTGTAATAGTTCCGCCTTGCATACTGAATGCAACTCGTCTGCCTAGTTAAAAGAAAATTTTGCGGTGGTTGATTATGTATGGTAATTGAGCACTGACGGTTGAATTTGTTCACAAAAGGAGAGGGGGGGGGGGGGGTGGTTCGTCTACTCACATGATTGTGGATCGGATTCCTTTTGTGCAAGATCTTTGATAAATTGCATTATGTAAAAGCGTTGTGGAATGTATCAAAATAAAAGAGAGGCAGAAGGAGAAGGAGCGGGAGAGGAAGTGAGAGAGGGAGAGGAAGAGAGAGAGAGAGAGAGAGATAAAGAGAGAGAGAGAGAGAGAGAGGGGGGGGGGAGAGTCGGTGAAATAGAAATGGAGTGAGATTGAAAGAGAGAGAGAGAGAGACCCTGACAGACAGAAAGAAAGTTGTGTGTGTTTCTGAGTGTGTGCGTGTGCGCACGCGCGCGTGTGTATGGTGAAAGAGAGTGAGGTAGAGGGAAAGAGGGAAGGGAAAAAAGGAGAGAGTGAGTGAGAGAATGAGAGAAAGAGGATGTGTGTGTGTTTGTGTGTATGTGTGCGTGTGTGTGCGTGGGTGTTATGTATGGGATACATAGAGAGAGAGAGAGAGAGAGAGAGAGTCGATGAAATAGTAATAGAGTGAGATTGAGAGAGAAAGAGCTTTGTCATCATCCTCTGTGCGGTGGCAATGAATTTTCATTATTGTATTCCCTATTCTCTTTTTATAAAATGAAAATGCACTTGAATTCTATGATTTCAGTATCAAAGTGAACAATAACCTCAGTTCGCAGCAAACTTCGTGTGCGGGGGATATGGATTGCAGGATGTTTGCGTGGCGGATGGGTGTGTGTATGTGTGTTGAGCGCGTATGTATGTTAAATGAACATGTATGCGTGTGGATAAAACATATTTAAAGTACCATTTGCTTTGTAAAGCACTGAGCATTTATATTTGTTTGTAGAAGAAAAAAAATTGTTTTCGAATCACTGTCGCGTGGTGAAACATGGGAGCGAGTAAAGAACCAAACTGCTAACGTCATAACCGCTTTTCGTCCAGTTATTGGTTATAATCAATAGAGCCTGTGCTTGAGGTTCACCGCAACAACAGTCAACCGCACATTATCAGTCAAACACATAATTATAAATATTTGTTACTCTTTCAGACACAATTCAGATAATTTTCACCATGCAGAATATTTAGAAAGAGATACCGTATCAATCCTTTGTCTAATTTCTTGTCAATCTTCTTCCAATCTTCTGTTTTTCGTCTATTATGAAACCATAGTTTCATAATTGTTGTTCTTTTCTAGAAATCTTTCAACCCTAAGCTTAATAAAGCAACGTGCACAAACGTGACAGTAGGCGTCCTAGAAAGAGATGCGTTTCGTAGCCTTTTCAGCACACTCAGAATGTCTTCTTTCGTGTAATTATTCATACATCTAGTAATTAATTTTTCTTCATTTGGTTTAGTTCTGCAACAACCCCTCACCACCTGTTTGCGCCGATGACTGCGATGGGAATGGATACTATATCAGTCCAGATGGAACTGCGTGCATTCAATGTCCACAATGTTCGGCTGGAAAGGAACTTAACAAGGTATCTTTATAAAACTTCAACATAACACAGTTCATTTAATCATTTACTTGTTTCTCAATCCAAATGTTGAGTTTGTTAGGGTTCAAATCCGAGCTTGGACTTAACGTTCTTAAGAAAGTCATTAATCCACATTTTACACTTTCCACCGAATTTTAAAATTGAGTGTCTGAAAGTTATTGGGGGAAACAATGATTAAGGAGCCCTGAGGGAGAACAGCATTGATGCCGAGGCTTCATTTTCTTGCTTCTCAATCCAAATTTTTGAGTTTTTTAGGGTTCGAATCGTAGCTCGGATCTAGCTCGGTTTGCCCTCTTGTACACATGCCAGAGGCGGCGGAGCGACTTCCAAAGTTGGGGGGGGGGGGGGCACCAACAAAAAAGGGCACTTTCTGGGAAAAAAGGGCATCTACAAAGGGAAATCTCAAAGCGAAAATAAACAATTTTTAGACATTGGTATATACCCCTAAAATATGATTACATTATCAGGGATGATTTCAATATTTGTTTCTCTTTATACATCGTATAAAATATTGCTTTTTAAAGCATCATACCTTGCAGTTGGGTGTGATGGTCGAAAAAATCATTTGCGAGCGAGGAAAAATATAAGATTTATGAGGTCACAGTGCGAAAACTACATCTTATAAAGAGGAAAAAACAATCCTCATCGGGGTATAAATAAGCACATTTTAATAACAGCAAACTGAAAAGACCTTTGAAAAGTAACATAATTATAACATCTATAAATGTGAGCGAGCGTAGCGAGCGAGCTTTGGGAGATATTGCTCTTAGTCGCTTGAAATTAGGGGCACGTTTAATGATGAGAGGAAAGGTGGACACTTATCAAAGGGATAAGACAATTATTAGAAAATAAAAGGAGCACGTGTCAAAGTACAAAGGGTTATTATCAGAGGTGAAAATGGGGCACTAACCAGGGATGAAAAGGCACTTATGAGAATGGAAATTGGGCATTTGTCGACGGAAAAGAGGCAACCATCAGATTTTGATAGGGGCATTTATGAAAAAGGGATAGGTTCCTCATAAGAAAGGAGAAGGGGCATGTATCATTGTTAAAAAAAGGTTAATTATCAGAGGTGAAAAGGGGCACTTATCGCACCTAAAAAGGGGCAAACACCATATATGAAAGAGGCACTTATGAGAATGAAAAAGGGGCACTAATAATAAAGGGGAATGTGCATTTGTTGAAAGAAAAGGAGCACCGATCAGATTTTGATAGGGGCATTTATTGGAGGTGAAAGGGGGCTTTTATGAAAAGCGGAAATTATGAAGGAAAAAGAGCATTTTTTAGGAAGGAAAAGGGGCACGTGTCAAAATAAAAGGGGGTGTTATTAGAGATGAAAAGAGCACTTATCAGGAGGTAAAGGGGGCACTTCTCAAAATAAAAAGATTGTCTCTCAGAATTGAATAGGGTCATTTACCAGACATGAAAAGGAGCACTAGAAGGAGAATGAAAAAGGACTATTTTCATAGGTGAAAAGGGGCATTGATGAAAAGGCAAAGGGCTCTTTGTTAAATGGGGGCACTTATCATAAGGAAAAGGGGCACTTATTAGAAAGGAAAGGGGGCACATGTGAAAATATAAGGTGCGCTTATCCGAGTTAAAAAGAGGTAGTTATTAAAAGGGAAAGGGGCACTTCTTACAAAGGAAAAGGGGCAATTGTCACAGTAAAAGGGGCACCTCTAAGATTTAAATAGGGCAATTATCACAGATGAAGGAGGCGCTTAACAAAAGTGAAAAGGGGCGCTTCTCGTATCCGAAAAGAGGCACTTACTAGAGATTAAAAAGGGCACTTATAAGAATGGAAAATAGACACTTATTGCAAAGGAAACTGGTAACTTGTCTGGGAAAAGAGGTACGTGTCAAAATAAAAGGGGCAGATTTCAGAGGTGGAAAGGAGAGGGGCACTTTTAAAAATTAACAGGGGCACATATCAAAGTAATAGGGGCACTTTTATGTAAAAAGGGGCGCTTCTTACAAAGTTAAGGGGGCACTTACAAAGTTAAGTGGGTGGGGGGGGGGGCACTGTGCCCCCCTGCCCCCCCCCCCCCCCGGGTCCGCCGCCTCTGAGACATGCACACCCTATTGTATTCAACTGGAAGCTGTTGGATAGGTAGCATGACGGACAATGCCATATCAGGTACGAATATTTGAATGAATGTTTGCTGAATAATGCATCCTTTTGATGCGCAATGTTACACCATTGTCGATTGCGCGCAATTAATGTGGAGAGTAATGAGCCATTAAATAGAATGTGTTCATTTTTCCATTTTTTTTACGTTTCTAGACTGTGTTCCTATATCCATGATTTAATCTTGAAAGTAGTAAAATATCTTAATGTTTCGTTCCTCGTTTGTTTCATATGATCTTTTAACCAGGATTGTGGAAATGGTTTGAACGGAGATGCAGTATGCATACCTTGTCCAGAAGGATTCTTTTCATTATCCACGTCACAGCGTTGCACTCAATGCACCACATGCACCAATACCGTTGAGCAGGAAACATGTCAACTCACACAAAACAGAGTGTGTGGGGATTGCTTGCCAGGGTAAATATTTCGTTCCATTTTGTGAAGTTCCGAAATAACATTGAAAGAAAAAAATTACAACAGTCAGGTCCTTTTAATCGCTACGTGGAACTGTACAAAATGTGGGAACAGTGCACTTTAATTCTGACAAATTTATAAATGAACAGCAAGGCCGCAATAACCGAAAATTGTAGATCAATATTGACAAATGAGTGAACGGAGAGGCCCCCCCCCCCCCAGAGGAAAAACCACAAGAGACAAAAGCCGATGATATATGATTTCTAATACATCCATATTTTTTTTTACTAAAATACGTTCCATTCTAAATTGGTTATGAGCCTCACTTAAAAAAAGAAGATTAATGCGAGTGTGTAATCACGGCAGAAGGTTTCTCAAAGAGGTTTAAGACTTCTTCTGCGGATACAGCAAATCTCACCAGGAAAACATTATTTCATGCTTTGTGTTCTTGATTCCTATACAGCTTTGTCCGAACGCCTGACCGATTCTCGACCGACTTTAACGCCTGTCCAAACAGATGTTCAGACCTTCCCCGTGATACGCCACAGTGCAGGGATTGGTGGAGTAATCAAGCGAGAGAACTGACGGAGGTAGACCAACCCCCGGATACTGCAGCTGTTGAAAGGCATATTGAAGAGGTGCATCTGGATGATCTTGATGTAAGTGGCGTAACTATTGAACATCATGATTGATGAGGGGGAAATCCCAGTAGATCGACAGCCCATGAGACCGACAGCCACAGAGACCGACAGCCAATGAGACCGACAGCCCATGAGACCGACAGCACATGAGACCGACAGCCCATGAGACCGACAGCCCATGAGACCGACAGCCGATGAGACCGACAGCCCATGAGACCGACAGCACACAAATCCAACAAAACAAAGAAAGACGCAAGGGAAGATAGAAAAATGTCGGTCTTTATGACTTGTGTCTGATGTCGGTCTCATCGGCCATCGTTCTATAAACAAAATTGTTAGAAGACCCACAATATCGTTACTGTCGGTATAGTTGGTTGTATCTGGTAAACCCTTAAAAATGATTTCAGAAGATCCGGCAGCCCAAGAGAACGTCAGACCAAGAGATTGACGATATTGGTTTCACGGGCTGTCGCTCTGCGGGCTTTAGTCGATTGATTAGATGATGATGATGATGATGATGAATATGGTTACGACATCTACTGCACCAGTGCAGTAGAGCAAAAGAATGTACGATGACTAGCAATGGGATTGTGATAATATCCGTCTAAATTTTGGTCCCATTCGTCATTTTTGTTCATGTTAAGGGTAAGAGTTAGGTAAATTGAGATTTTTGTGATTGTATTCTGATAAAAAGATGGGGTCAATGGGGGCAAAAAGCAAGGAATGTAAGATCAAACGGACAAAGGAGCAATGCAGGACAAAATATGTGGGATACACAGAAAACAGACAGTATGACCGATATTACGTAAAACAATAGAATATGAAACCTTCAATGGACTGTCCGACTTTGACATTAGTTCACGGTAGACTCAAGTAGATGTTGAAAAAATGTGTGGGCATTCTGAGAATTTTGTCAACCTTGGCTACTTTTGTCATCCCAGAATTATCATATCCTTTCTTTTTAAAGCCATGTGAACCTAAAACCCCTCTATGCATTGACCCCTGTCACGATGGAAACTTCTTCTTGGACTATGATGGACTTTGCAAGGCGTGTCTGTCATGCCAGCCTGGAGAAGAACTCAATAAGGTATTCTTATTTCCTCCCACTTTAATAGTGCAGATTGGTACTGACCTACTCTGTGTAAGAGTAGGTATTTTTAAATGCCCCAAATGGGCACTTTAGAAATGTGGCCGTCCGTCACTTTCTTAAAGGAGCTACACAAAGAAAAGTCACTAACAACTCATAATTAGAACAAATTACACATGGATGGAAAGATTTTCTCTCAAAAAAGACGAACAATTTGCTGAGAAATCATATAGATATCATGGAAAGGCGTAAAATGCAATTTTTCAAGACCCTCCTTACCTTAGATGAACACTTCTTACCAAGTATTTCTAAGAGTGTCTCGGCAATATATTAAATAAGGCCTACTTTCACCACAAACAAAACATACTAGTGCTTTAAAATATATGTTTCAACATCTTGGTCACACCTTTTTTTAAAAAACACCTGTCTGATTAATTTGTTATTTTTTCGGAAATTCTCAGGTTTGCGGTCGAGGGAAGAACGGTGATGCATATTGTCGGCGGTGTCCCGAAGGAACTTTTTCAGAGGATGGAATAAAGCGATGCTCCCCTTGTCGTATTTGCGTGAATACTTTGGCGACCGAGTGCACTGCTTCAAGAAACACCGTGTGTGGAGAGTGCCTTCCAGGGTATGATGCCGGTGGTGTTGAAAATGAATATTTTCCAAAATTTAATTTTACCCCTTTTTGCATAACACTGGTAGGCTACAAGATGAGTTCTGTTCCTAATTTGGCTTTAATTTCGAGTGCACATTCACACAACGTACCCTCTTGTGGCAAAACATCTACATAATGACACACTCCCATGATTGTGAAAATATGACGTTTTTCGTGAAAAAAAAATACTATTTTTCAAATCCGAGATAATTTCAATGCTAGTGAACATCCCCGACAAAAACCTTAATTAAGTAAAATATGCATATATCATGCGAACACAAATTAAGATGATAACGAAAGAGGAAGAGGGGGGGGGGGGGGGGGGGGGGGGGGGTTATGATTTTGATTTCGAGTTAAACTGGTGTTAATAAATGTAAAAGAGAATTTTTGTCTACTGTGAGGTTCTGGAATGATAAAAATGAACAGAAATTGAGTCAATCTTTGTCACAATCTTTGCACTGAACACAGAGATTGATATACATGTATAAGAAGGCCTATATACATCTGAAAGTTTGGTCCAAACTTTTTCCACTATTTCTGGTAATATTTTGAATATTAGGGACTGGGAAGAGTAATTTTCTCCAGGGAACATTTTCTACTGTGGTATGCTTTCAAAGTGGCATAAAAAAAGATGGAAAAAGCTAAAGAATTGTTCTTCATCTTTGCCAGAACTCAATCTCCTCTTTAATGTTTAGATATTACCAAGATGCAGATGGATACTTCCCGGACCAGGGAGCCTGCCCGAACAAGTGCCCCGAGTGTCCGAACACCGTTTCACAGTGCCAAGAGTGGTGCAAATCGAGGACAATGTCGGACCAGGTTACCGTAGATCCTGCAGAGACCCACGGCCAAGATGCCATCACCCCAGCGGCCGTAGCTGCGGACATCTTCCAGTCTGTTGCTGACAATGAAGGTAAGCTCGATAGAAAAATTAATGACATTTTCGTTTGTATAAAAGCCCAAATCATAGTTTTAATGAATAAAGGAATATCGAACCCTCACTGAAGGTTACTGGGGTCTTCTCGCCAAACAATACAGCAAAAAAACATGACATTATAGCTTTACATTCTTTACATTTTTCATAGAAATTCTAAAACTTCGAGGAGTGCAACGGTCGGTGGCATCTGCCTGACACCTAGACTAAAATTGTTGACTCTTGTCTGACCTATGATTTATTTTGGTCAAAACCTTATTTAGACAACTCATAAGATGTGGAACCCTTGGTATAACAGCTGTCTGTTCCCCACATAATTGCGATACAGTCGCAATGAGGTTAGCGCCAACGAAGAGAATTGTGGAAAACAACTTTTTAATTGACCGCACTGACTAAAAACATTCAATTTCGTGAGACATTTTGGGGCAGTTAAGCACAGAGGCTGATCCAAGAAGTCATCGGAATCATCATCATCATCATCATTATCATCATCGTCATTATCTACAACTGTACAGTTGAGCAGGGCTATTCCAGCTCTTTTATTTTTTAATTTTGTCATCCATGTTTTTGAAATCAATAAAATTAATGAAAAAATCTAAATAAAAGTTAAAATAACAAGATTCCTGATGTCGATAGATCAATATTGTCTCGATATCCTTTTTGTTTCCACAGTCAATGATGAGGCTAAACTTCCTCCAGCTAGCCATGGATCATACATGGTCATCTTCACAGTCCTCGCTTCCGTTCTAGCTGTCGTCGTCATCGTCCTTGCTACCTTCCTTTTCTTGTTCCGTTGCCTTTGGAACAGAACCGATGGATCGCCTGATACACCTGAAACACCGCTCCTACCAGGTCCGAGTAAGGCGTATGTTTTTTAATCGGATGAAATAAAAAGAGGCGTGTCTAAATCCCCCGGGTTTTTTTAACATAGTGACCAGCCAAAAATATGAAGTAAACGAGCAAAACAAAACACGTATGTTGAGCTTGTTTTTCATGCTCTAAGTTTATGGATACATCATACACTAATATTAATATGCATACAAGTCTCAACGATTAGGCATTATATGCCTGATTATATGCCACCACGCATGGTATACAAATTTGATTAATTACTAAATTAATTAAGCAAGGAATACATTAGGATCAACAACAAAAAATAAAGAAGAAATTAAATAACGAATATCTATGATTATGTTTCTTTCCAGAAAGGAGAGGTATGTGAGATATAGTTACTCCTAAATAGGTTATTTTAACGTACACGTCGTACTATTGCATTGACGACTTTTGTCAATGTTTTGTTATCGTTCGCTTTCTGAATTCTTATTTACATTGACGACTTCTCGTCAATGCCTTGTTTCCGTTAGTCTTCTTCTTCTGCTTCTTGATTTTATTTCCAAAATCACTCATGCGTGAACGTCCAGGCGACATCTTGTCTATTTCTGGCCGTTTTTGAGGCCTTTCTTTCGGTAGTCTATCCGAGATGCTAAAGACTTCTTACAAATTGCACTAGATAGTCCGGAAGATGCTCCTTCGTTTGTCACGTAGAGATACAGGCGTCAATAAATGCATATCGTTCTAATACGATTGCATTCTAGTATTTTCCTTTATTTTGCCTTCGCTCTTAATGGCGACGAACGTAGGTATTGCCGATGATCTTCTCGTCAAGCTGGCTGAAGACATTGAGACGAGTGAGCAGATGGAGGCCTTAGGACGAGTACTTGGAGTTAAGGTGGCAGCTATCAATAGATACACTGACACCAACAACATAGGTGGCCGGGTCACTTGCAAGGGAACACGGGACATGCTGTTTGACTGGAGACAGACCGTGGAACCTTGCAACCAGCATCAAAGACTGAAACAAGCACTCCATGATACTGGGCTGGTATCGCTTGCTGAAACACATTTCAAGGGGACACGTAGTATTCCAGGTAACAATCAATCCGTTCAACTGTAAATTCCTTTTGAAGAACGTAAAAACTAAGGCAACTTCCATAAACTTTATCTTTCTGAACTGATTCAATTATACACACCCAATAGGCCCCTTCGTTCTGCAAATCAAACTCTCTTGACCGTTAAAAAAGCAAAAAACAAAATACTTTGGTGATAGGTCCTTTTCATGCTCTGCTCCACGTATGTGGAATTCTCTTCCAGCCTCCATTCGTTGCATCTCTGATATTTCTGTTTAGATCAAAATTAAAAACTTACCTAATGGAAAATGCATATTCAACCTAGTTCTTAAATTGTTACCTAGTTCTTAAATATTTACCTAGTTCTTAAATTGTTACCTTACCTTGTTATCTTATGTTTCATAACTTCGCTTCATATTTGTTCTCTTGTCATTACTCTGTCTAGTTTTAATTGTATCAATATTGTAAAGTGCTTTGATATAAATGTCTTATGAAAAGCGCTGTATAAGTAAAAGTTATTATTATTATTATTATAAACAAGTGAAACTATTTAATAGCGTACAAAATTAAAAAATAATGATCCGATACGATCATTTATCATGGCCCCATAAGGTATTTCTACTACTAATAATTAAAAAATCAAATTGAGAGTTCTCGTTAATGAATTACATTGTGATAAAAGAAGGGGGTGTTTAATTTTTTTAAATGGTAAGGTATTTATCAATTCCTCACGAAAGTGTATGGGAATAAAAGTTGACATGTATAAGTATATGTATAATTAGATTGAGCGTAGTTTGATACATAGAATACGGGCCTAGTACATGAATTATCAAAAGTTTGATTGTTCAAATAAGTGATATTTCACCTCCATCTGGCTACGCGCTTCATGTTGATAATCATATTTCAAGAGATCAAAAAAGGTAAGTGGACACCTCAAAATGTCAAATACAATATTCAACAACTTAAAGTTCTTTGATATATGATTAAAAGTAAGATAAAACGTGATTAAAATTGGTAATCGCACATATTTGCATGTAAACAAGCACTTCAAATAACTAATGATTATTCTCAGTTTATAGCCACTCAATGTGTTATTTTATAATATTCCAAAGTATTTCCTCTATACCTCCGATAGTTTGCGTTTGTTTTATCCATATCAATACGATGTTTACAAAAAATTGTCTTCCAAATTCGCAGTTTTCAAGAAACAACTTAAACCTGCTCTAAAATCACGAACCTTATACCAAGGTCAATGACACTTGGCAGAAATGTGTATCCATACATGTGGCAGCGTTCTGCCAAGTTTAGTAAAATTTAATGACGTCAACGCGAAGATATCGCGTCATGACTTGATCTTCATTCAATACAATTCCATTCGTTTTGCACGCAGTGCTTGCGAGCCCTATCTAGGTCCCTTCCTCGATCTTGATTTCTTTCAAACTTCGCTGGCATAATCTCCATCATCTAATCAAGGTCACCTATTAAACTCTTCGCTCTACGAAATCACTCATGCGTGACCGTCCAGGCGCCAATTTGTCTTTCCAGGCCGTTCTTTAGGCCTTTCCTTCGGCCTACCTATCTACACTATCCAAGATGCTACAGACTTCTTACAAATTGCACTAGATAGTCCGAGAGATGCTCTTTAATTTCGTCTGTCACGTAGAAGGACGGGCGTCGATGCATGCATATCGTTCTAATACGATTGCAGTCGGCATAAACAACTGGCATAGATACACGAGTTTTTACTCGTGTATTTAGATCTCGGCTTTTTTATTCCTATGAACATGATATTTGAGGCCTTTTGCTTTTTTGATATTTTCTCATAAATTCTTATATACTGACCCTTTCAGGCTGAGCTAGTAGCCAGTCTTTACGAACCAGAGTATGAATAAATATATAAAATTAATAATCTGTATAAATGCAAAAGCGACAACGCAGAGCTCATGTGAAGATGATTTTTATTTGTATTATCAATTTCTACAAACAATATTTTGTTTTCCCTCTGTTTATTTTAAGTTGTTTACAAGCCTACAACGTATCTGTCCTCCCCGGAAGGAGGCGACTGGGAATTCATGAGACATCTGAGGTAATTAAGAGATATTCTGTACTGTTAAACGCAATTGCAAAGTCTTAAGAGAAATCATTTCAAAGGTAATTTCAATACCCTATTGTTTTGCTTATAGAAATCACCAATGGATTACTCAACATGTTTCTGTCATGTTTGCATATTTCAATAGGTGACGCCTAAGGTTATTGAAAATACCTTAGATTAACTTTTTGAAAGCCTTTGCATTTCTTTAATACGACAAACTTACTTTGGTCTGTAAATGAATGAGAATTAATTTTTGATCAAGGAGGGTATGGTAAGAAACGAATATCCTCAAATAAACATAGGAGATGCAAGCATGATACTATAATTACACATTATAGCATGTATTAAACAATTAATATGACAAAACCGTTGTGTTTCTCAGTCTGTAGGTTAAGATCATGATTTCTACATGAATATTGATGATAATTCCGTTTTGTATCCAGAATCAGCCAAGTTTATATTCGCTTCCAAAAGATTCTGGACTTGTTTTATTTCCTCGGCTATATCTCCGGCAGCCGTAGCACACAGTTTACTCAAGTAAATAATTCCTTCCAGGTAACCACTTACTGAACCAGGGCCGAGTGTTGTAAGTATAGATTAATTGTTACCCAAAGGGCCTATACACTATGAACATGACGGACAAAGAAAGAGGACAAAATATACAGTTCCTCATTCTACCCTCAAGAATTGCTGTGGTAGACAAAGGAACATCCCTTCACTGCTATTATGTAAAATGTGTAGGACAGGTGAATATGCATGTGACACCTGTTCTACACATTTTTACATAATAGCAGTGAAGGGATGTTCCTTTGTCTACCACAGCAGTTGTTGAGGGTAGAATGAGGAACTGTATATTTTTTCCTCTTTCTTTGTCCGTCATGTTCATAGTGATAGTACCGTGGCAAGGAATTTAATCCCATACCTTTTGATTTATATTCCGATGACTTATCCTCTAGACCACAGCACCTCTAATGCTTTATGTTTTTAATCCATTCAGAACGGCCTATCCGCGTCTAACCAGTTCAAGACCCATTAGTGGAGGTTCAACTGATGTTGAGAATGAGTCATCTGCGGTTTCTACTCCAACATTCAACCTCAATAGACGACTGGCCAATAAAAACCTGCTGAGACAAACGCTGGAGAGACAAGTTGGTCATGATGATTCCTTTCGATCAACCCCACCGCAACCTGATAGCGTTAAAGGAGAGCGAATGGTCAATTCAGCTAGTAGTATGAACCATGTTGGACCATTTTATGGAATAGAGACATTTCCAACACAATCAGCGGCTGTAAGACAATGTGATCGAGACCCAAGACCAATTGAAAGGTTTGGTTTCTGGGAAGATAGGTCCAGGCCTCATTCGTCATCATCGGGAAAGGTAGTCACTGAGAGAGCGTCTGGAACTGTCCACCCACATGCAGAGGATACGGATGAGGCTCCTAGAACGAGGGTCCGCCGTCGCTCTATCATGGATGAAAATCTCTTGCCACTTCTCAACGCAAATTGTAAAAGGTGACGCATAAGGTTATTGAAATCACTTTAGATTGACTTCTTGAAAGTCTTTGCATTTCTGTATTACGAAAAACTTACTTCGGTCTGTAATTGAATGTGAATTAACATTCGATTAAGAGGAAAATATGGTAAGTATTAAACGAATATCATCAATTAAAAATTGGAGGTCGAAGCTGAATCTTTGACGTTTGACTGATAGTTGGATAGGGATCACCAGTCTCAAAAGACCTTACCCTATAGTTCTTTGCAAGCATGAAACTATTGCAGAAAACACACACTATAGCATTTATAGAACTATGTATATGATCAACTGCTGTTTTTCTCAGTCTGTTGGTTAAAATAATGATTGCTCCATAAATAATGATGATATTATTTCATTTTAGTATCCAGAATAAGATATTAAATTTCTATTCGCTTCCAAAAGATTCTGAACTTGTTTATTACATGGGCTTTATCTCCGTTAGCCGTAGCACACAATGTACTCAAGTAAATAATGCCTACCAGGTAACTACTTACTACACCTGGGTCGAGTGTTGCAAATATAGATTAATGGCTACCTAAAAGACCTAGTGCCGTGCCAAGGAATCTAATCTCATACCTTCTGATTTACATTCTGATGATTTATCCACTAGACCACAGCACCTCTAATGCATTATGTTTTCAATCCATTCAGTACGACCTTTAAGAATCTAACCGGTTCAAGACCCGTTAGTGGAGGCTCAACTGATGCAGAGAATGAGTCATCTGCGGTTTCTACACCAACAATGAACCTAGGCAGACGGCTGGCCGATAGAGACCTGCTGAGACATATGATGGTGAGACAAGTTGGTGTTGATCATGATGATTCCCCTCGATTAACCACACCGAAACCACCTAAACACCATGATACCGTTACAGAAGAGCGAATGGTCAATTCAGCTGGTAGTATGAACCAATCTGTGGCTGCAAGACAGTATGATCGAGACATTGAAGATAGTTCCAGGCCTCGTGCACCATCGTCGGGAAAGGTCGTCACCGAGAGAGCGTCTGGAACTGTCCACCCACATGTAGAGGATACGGATGAGGCTCCTAGAACGAGGGTCCGCCGTCGCTCTATCATGGATGAAAATCTCTTGCAACTTCCCAACGCTAACAGGAGGAGCAGTCTTTCAGATCTGCTCCTACTTTCAGGCAACAATCGGCAGAATAAGTTATGGAATGGACGCAATGGCAACACTGCACCAGTTCAGGAGGCTGAAGCTACACTGTTTCCTACTGATTCTTCAAGTGCCAACGGACCAACTGTCGATGATCCAGTAGATACCAACAACACTAAGTCTGCAAACCCGAAGCAGCCAAGTCAATCTCTGGAACCAAACGCTTCTTCACACAAAACCCCAACTGCTGCAGCTGGGACCGTTTTACCAAAGGGTATTCCTATCGAGAACTCCACTCACGAGAAGCCCGCCGCCATTCCGGATGACCAGGGAAGCATTGGCAATAAGTCACCCCGTGACACAAATGTCACTATCAACATCACCATGAACAAAAAAGAAGTTGAGACTGTTCATATTGGTGATGTACACAATAAACGCAACTTCCGTGACGGTCCTTACCAGGGCATCAGGGCATCGGAACCAAACAACAACGACGACAACGGTGAAGCTCAAAAATTACTCAACGTAAACATGTCCGCTTCTGAAACTGACACCGTCCGCGTTGGCGATGAGGGCAACACACTGACCCGTGGTCACGTTGGCAGCAGTGACGATGATGAATACGATGATGACCATGATGGTGATGAAGACAAATTACTTGACCCCAAGTCATCATTGGTATTCGAAACCCAGAATAATTCAAATTATGTATGGTAAATTGTATTCCCAACTCTTAAAACCGCTGTTAACTTAACATATGGACTATTTTTTTAGGGTAACAAATACAAATTGAACAGGAGAACATATCTAACTCATCAAAATCTTCAAATCTGTGACAATATTCTAATGATTGCATTTTAAAGGATTAGATTGAAGCACATTTTCTTGTAATCATAATGAGAAAATGAAAAAAAATTAGGCTGCACATTGTTGTGCAAGCTAAACTCTTTTGATAATTACTAAATGTACATTCACCAGTACGTTCGCGATGCCTTATTCATTGGTGCTGGTAGGGGAAAAGGCATATATCGTTCAAAGAAAGTACATTTACATAATGTTTAAATGATATATTTTGTATTTGTATGATATATTTTGTAAAAAACACTGTCATGTACGTAATTGTATCAATCATCATTTAAGAGTAATTTATGGACACTCCTATATTTTAATTTCATCTTGCTTACTTCTTTTGATTACAGTCTTACAAACAAATGTTAGAATCACTTGCTGGAGTTTGTGTGTTTGCGAAAGTAACTTGTCCAAGTTTCCGTGACGTTAGAAGGTTGTCGACTTTCTTGATTTTGCAGATTTATTCATGTTTCACTGGACGTAACCAGTTATTAAAGTTAACTTAGGAGTTACTTCATCAACATGGTAGAGGCTTAGTAGATGCTGCTTGTATATATTTTGTTTATTCGGTGTATATTTTGTAATGGTTTTAGTTAGAAGTACACTTCTGCATACTATTTGTTTTATTAATTTACAAATATTTTCTTTAAAAGTTATGCTATTATCAACAACTTTTAAAGTGCAGAACTCTGACGTAGTTATTAGGTGTGATAAGGAAGTCTTATCATTTTAATATGAATGACATTCTAGCATGGCCAACAAACAGTAAGATTGATAATGTTTGTGAAAGCAAAAATCGATTAAAATCCAAGATGTAATAATCAGTTATTGAATTCAAAAAGTTCATATCGTGAGGAGAATTCAATTAGAATCTTATTTCTATGGGACAGTTTCAGCCTAAGAGACCGATAACCCACGAGACCGAATGTGTCAGTCCATGGGCCTTTTAGCCACTCTTCACAGGGTTCGATCATGGACCTACTAATGGTTCGATCGACCGATGACCCACAAGACCGATATTTGCTATCTATCGTACCTTATGTCTTTCATCGTTTTGTCGGTCTTGTAGACCGTTGGGAACTTTCGACTTTTCTAAATGTCATTATGTATTTGTCGATCTGTCGGCCTCGTTGGCTGTCAGACTACTGGGATGACGTCGTTTTTAAATTCCGACGAAAGTATAGATTATCATGGGTGTACAGCATTTGATTTTAAATGCAAAAGTTACTCAGAAAAAAACAATTTCTTTTTTGTTTTGATAGTATAGAGGTGAAGGTGTTCACGTCAATTTCATCATTTTATACGCCAAGTACTAACACAAATCAAATACACCAAATATTGAAAAAGATTAGCTCATTAATCAATTATTTGTTTTAAGTACATGTTGTATATGTTTATTGGTTTTTAGAACGTTACTTCTGTGTTAAAAACAATCTGTTCTTATCATTTCATGATAAATGGACAAAGGAAACATTCTTTCTGTAAAACAGGGTTGTTTTAGTAATTTAATTAAAAAAATAAATTTAATGTTTACATTTCATTAAAAAAATGTCTATGTATCGTCTTTTGTGGAAGGGGGGGGGGGGGGGCGGTAGCGGCTATATTTATTGTTCACATATATTCATGTATATGCAATAATATATACTGCAAAGGTACGAGCATGGACAAATATTTTGTTACTATCCTAGACAGAATATTTGGATGGATCACCCTCCCAAATGTTTTGTTGTCGGTAGGCAATACTGAATAGGACAACGAATAGCCTTCACTATAATATAAAAACAAAAGAAAACAAAACAAACAAGACCCAACAAAGCACAACCCAACCCAACACAGGAAAACACAACAAAACACAACAAAACACAACAATACATACCAGACCTACTTACTGTATACTACCCGTTAGTGATAACTCCTAACATGTGTGAGTGAGCGAAGCGAGCGAGCTAAAATATTAATAATTGTGAGGTCGCAGTGCAAACAATTACATCTTATAGAGAGGAAAAAATATAATCCTGGTGGGGTTTAATAAGCACAATCTAATCATAAAAGAACGAAAAAACCTTGTATAAGAAACACAATTATGTAATCATACACTCAACTTTAATGCGAGCCAGCGTAGCGAGCGAGCTTTGGGTACAATTAAAGAAAAGGTTGCTCTTAGTCGCTTCAAATTTTGAGTACATTTTTATGGTGAAAGGAAAAGAGGGATTTTATCCAAAGGGAAAAGGACACTTATTAGAATAAAAAAGGCGCAGGTTTAAAAAAAAAGGGGGGGAATTATCTGACATAAAAATGGGGCACTTCTTGCACATGATAAGAAGCACTCACCAGATATGAAAAAGGGAAATCATCAGAAGGAAAATGGCACTTATGAGAAAGCACAAGGGGACACTTATGAGATATAAAAAGGGGCTCTTATTTTAAAGTTAAAGAGGGTACCTCTCAAATTTAAATAAGGGCACTTACCGGAGATGAAAAGGGGCATACAAAATAAAAGAGGCACTTGTCAAAATATCAGAGGGACCTCTCAGATTTGAAAAGAGGCATTTATAAGAAGTGAAGGGGCATTTATCAGAGGCACTTGTGAGAACGGAAATTGGCTTTATCTATCTCGTTGTAGTATTTGATTGATTCGTCACAAAGTTCTATTAGCTTAATGGCATGTGGAATTGCGTATCCAGATCTTGGCCTCAGGAGGGTCAAATCATTTCAACTTACCTTAATCTATAGCACTTTAGTAAGGATAGCCCTAGTTTTGCGTTATATGAGGGGGGGGGGGGACATCGCTTAAAGGCAAAGAAGACTTATTTGAGGAAAGGGGAGGGGGAGGAGGTAAGACTTTCGAGGAAATGCCTACAATTCGTGCATTTCTTGACTCACATTGATTCCTAACCTGCTTACTACTAATGAGGCTGCGTTTCCTTTCTTTCTAGGTCGGAATTCGGTCAAGAGGGTAGCTTATTCCTCTCCCACCCCCATCCTAAACGAAATATATAGCGCTTAGGGACTTCGGTGGTAAGCCCTTATAAGCACCGTTTTCATTATTATTATTATTATTATTATTAAGATATTCATCTATCTTTCCACGTTTCATCCAGGTGAGGTAAATGGATACCCGGTAGAAAGAAATTCCTTGAATGTTGTATCGCCTTAACATGACTGCTCAGCTACAGCCGGTATAATAATGCGATGCATGTATTTTGTATTAAGCGTAGTCTATATAAGTAATACGCTAAGGCTCCGCGGGGGGCGCGACGTCTCGGCGAGCCTTTGTATTCTATTGTTTTTTAATGAGATCGCCGACCCAAGTTGGTGCGGCTATCTCCTCCTGAACCCTCCCCTCGGGGTACCCGTGCCCGGTGCCATCGTCCGCGGGAGAGTCTACTCTGTGGAATTGGCTATACTCCGCCCGAGGTCCTCCTCCGTGTCGACGTCCAGGGCGAAAACAGACGCGACATGCATAATGCAGGATATGCGTGACGACAGAGATACCTCATGGATATGCAACATGACATCCGTAGACACACGACCGATGACCATCCACTCACATTAAGTCGCGTATTAAATGCACTATGCACAGGGTCGGGATTACCCAGAGTAAAGCGTCTTGCTATATGATGTGCTTTGTAGTAGCTGTATCAAACAGAAACACAACAGATGACCATCAACTCACATTATGTTACGTATTAAATGCTCTATGCAAAGGGCGGGATAACCCCCGAGTAAGCCATCTTACTATAGGGTGTGCTTTGTACTCGCTGCACAAGCCAGAGAGATACACGGGGCTAATTCCCGTCGACGTCCAAACTTAGAGACCTATTTCCATCATGATTGCCGCGATTTTTATATAGTTTTCGTGAATGGAGGTATGAAATCAAAGCTTATTTTGTGATTATTACGGTCATTTATACTTAATTTTGATTATCATTTTCTAAAGGAAAGTTTTCACAAGAAAACCATTGGACTGACAGTTCAGTCGCAAGCTAACTTCAGTCAACACATACAGTATACACGGTGCTGCGGCTGGGGCGCTTTGACCAAGACTGAGCTGCGCTAGAGTCGAAGAGTTAGGGGGGCCAAGCAGGCCAATATTCGTACAACTACACATACGTCTATCCATCCATCGAAGAACCCGTCAACACAACAGCGTGCGGGCCGAAGTGGCAAAAATTTGTTTCTTATCTTTACAGTAAATTACAAGAAAGCATTGAATAAGGTTATGAATTGTACATTTGCATATTAATAGTTCAATATCAACCATGCAGACAGAAGCATGTGACTTCATGCATTGCAAAACAATCAGTTGCATACTAATGAGTAAAATTGTTTGGGGGGGGGGGTGCAGAAAAAAAAATCGGCATCACCATGAACCATTCTTGCATGTTACATGAAGGCTCCAAGAAACATTTTTCAAAGTGGGGGGGGGGGGGGGGTCAGATCGCAGCGGGTTGAGTGTATATAGGCGTGGGGTCCACGGGTTTCGAGGGGCCATAAACCCCCGAAAGCTCGGGGGTTTTAGGCGTTTAATTAGGGTCAGATGAACATATTTTTAATACTTTATTTGTGACATTTGCGGGTTACTAATTGGCGTGGGGTCAATACGTACAGTTGCGTAGTGTTGCGTACCAACTACGCTGGCCTACGTTACTTTATGCTGAGGGACGGAAAGGGGTACGCAAGATGAACGAAAACAATTCAACATGTTTAATTTTTTTCGCGTACTTTCGGCGTAGAAACTTGACGCAGAAAGTACGCCTTTTTACGCAACACTACGCTACATGCCTACGCAACAGTACACTACCCTACGCCAGATCGACAAAGCAGTAAAAGCTTTCCACACAGTAAGCAACCATAAGCAAACCTGTACGCCAGCCTACGCATAACCTACGCAGGGACTATTTTCCCATTAATACGCAGCCTAATTTCTGCGTAGTCGGTACGCCACACTACGAAACTCTACGCAGTTCCAGTGGCTTAAAGAATAACTACCGGTACAGTTGGATCGTTTTTTGTTTTTTTTTATATAAGGCCAAATTAAAAAAAAAAACATGTTTAGCGTCCTGTTTTTTCGAAAAATGGGAAGGAGGAGACCCTTTTTTTTTTTTCTTTCTTTCAAAATGGCCGCTCCGTACATTTTCCCTGACATTCGGGCTATTTTTTCAAGATGGCGGCCGACATTTTTTTTTTTTTTTTTTTTTTTTAAATCAGAAATAAATTTTAGCAGTGCTTTTCATGTTTGTTTTCTTTCAAAAAATTCAAAAAAAAATTCAAAAAAAATTCAAAAAAAAAAAATTGGAGGCGGCCCCCAAAAAGGAAGCGGGCGGGGACGCTGTTTGTTTACCTTTCGAAAAAAAAAAAAAAAATTAAAAAAATTTAAAAAAAAAAAATTGAAGGCTGCCCCCAAAAAGGAAGCGGGCGGGGACGTTAAACATGTATATTTTTTTAATGGCCTGAATGGCAAATAAAGTTCTTGGTGGTTTTAATTTAGACAGTCTCTATATATCTATTTACACCCCCCCCCCTTCTAGAATCCCGCGGATTTCCGCGGGTCCTGCTAGTAGAGTATATTCATATAGTAGTTGCGTAATATATAAATGAACATTATCATAACATGTTTAACTTTATCCGAAACGCATGATATGATAAACGTTACCGTCTTGTGGTTCCCAACGGCATTTCAACATAACACGAACATAACACGAACATTCCAACATGACTTAACATTGACAATACATTGGTGGTTCTCAAAGGGCCCAGCACACCATGAAGTCTTTTCAATTTCGGTGAGCGCTCTCATTGTATTTTGTCATATGCAGAACATATCTGGTAATATAATAGTTGTGTGTGTGTGTGTGTGTGTGTGTGTGAATGTATGATTTTTACTGAGCGAGAAATAGAATGTTCAATAATGTGCAATCATATATTCCGCAATTCGGAACACGGGAACATTGTTAATGTTTTAACCGAAAACCTTATTTTTCTTCACTTGTTCTGTGTTAAAACTAGCCCATATCGGAAATTGAAAACACAGGTAAAGGACTTCTTTGTCAATAGACTTTGCTGGTAAGTATAACAAAATACGACTTATCATATCTTTCAAAGTTGTATGAACTATGCGTTATAAAGTACACGCACAGTGATTTTGCTATCAACGTGTACATGCAGCTTTTCAATGATTACATGCGCTAGTACTACTGTTGGGCTTAATCGTCAGGGCTGGACACCACGCAATCATATGAATTTATGGTTGGTTTTCAGGATTGTATCCGCTTAAGAGATTTTAGTAAGATATTACCAGTCGACTAGAATTTAGAAATAATGCTTTGCTATTAATGGAAGTCGACGTTTTAAAGAAAATGTGTCAGTATGATGTTGATTTAACTGAGAACTAGACAGAACTGGTGTAGTATAGGCCAAACCGATAATAGTAATAGTAGAAGTTGTACTGTTATTATGTGTTGTTATATATGTAATCACTAATCATAACGTATATCACAATCTTCTCTGGCTGTGATTAAACAATGACAATAGAAGTTGTATAGTTTAATAGTCAAGAAATGAAACTTGATAAAGACTTGATAAGATAAACTTGAGTTCTGGTAAATATAGACAATTCATTTTCATAGAATCCACCGAAACGTACCCTGAATATTCAAGATTACAAATAAATGACATGTGCCAAACAATTTTGTACACAGAAATCTATAGTGGCTGAGTAATAAGCATAGAAAGATTTTTTAAAATCTGGGTAAGTGGGCCCGACACCATATGCAAATGGAAGTTCTGGTTTTTATTGAAGATGATTTCCAGCAAGTTTTTGTGAGTTTGTTTTTATTTTAGTGCTTCAAACGATCAATCTACTGCATAATACACAATCCAGAATGAATTAAAGCCATATTTTCGACATACCATTCCTATACCAGAACTCGAATAAGATTAGCTTTTAGTAGATATACGTAATAAAAATGTGTGTTTTGTTTTGTTCAGTTCTTTCGTTCAGACTTCACCCAAGGTCAGGTACCATCAAAACATCAAATATGGATAAACGGATTTTGAAATCATTTCTTCTCTTGATCTTACTGGATGCGTTTCCCAATGTAATTAGCGGAGGTTGGGTAAGTTAATTATTCTGTCATTCAAGTAAGATTATTCGGAGCATAAAGGGCTTGGATGAAATCTTGTTATTAAAAAAAAATGCCCCTAAGGACGAAGGAAATACAGTGTTAAATTGAACATGGTTATATCAGGGGCTTTAAAACAAAACTGGTAAAACGACTAAAAAAGTGTTTCTTATTGAAAACTAGTCTGCGGTCATTGTAACGAGGATCACTGAAACACTGTTTTCATGTGGCCTAAACAAATCGCTGGTAGAATTCTTTTCACCCAAAACTGAACGAATACATTCACTATGAACATGACAGACAATGAAAGCGGACAAAATATACAGTTCCTCAGGAAAACAAAGGAACATCCCTTCACTGCTATTATGTAAAAATGTGTAGAACAGGTGAATATGCATGTGACACCTGTTCTACACATTTTTACATAATAGCAGTGAAGGGCTGTCCCTTTGTCTACCTGAGGAACTGTATATTTTGTCCGCTTTCATTGTCTGTCATGTTCATAGTGATTTTTAACACCTACACCGTCTATAAAATGTGAAGACGGCTTTCGTATTTTGGATTTGAAGAAAAACCTCGCATGAATAATAATAAAAGACACGAGAGAGATTTGGCCCTCAAGACTTATAAATGGGTGTAATGGGAGTCAACAAAAAGTTAACTTTAATGTATTTTATCGTTACATGGTAAAGGTACAAAGTTTAATAAGCGTGTTTAATGTTGTGTTGAGATTTGTTGATTATTGATATAGGTTATTTGTATAGACAGCATTTACCCAGTAATAGATTTCGAAGCGATATGAGTTCTATTGACCATACTTATTGAAAGAAAAACGAGTCGGGAGAAACAAAAGGGCTTGCTTCAACACATGATAGACATAGACATGTTTTGATAAATCCAGTGACAGATTCGATAGCAAGGGGGCGTTTCACAAAACTTGTTATCATATCAGCTACTGGAATCCTTGGTTCTGATTAGTTATCAGTAGATTTTTCACCGATTTTTGTCATGTTGTATTGATAAAAGCTTTGTGAAACGGATCCTAGGTAAATGGTTATACTTCTCTTTAAATTTTTTATTTTGTTTGGAGGGGGGGGGGGGGGTGCTGCCGTTTAAAAATTGTAATTGATAATGCCTTTGAGCAGACTGGAGACTTTTGCCAGAAAACTTGCTTATACCTCAGTCAGCCTAACGAGACCGACATAAGACCCACACCAGACCGACATCAGACCGAGCTAGACATTCCAATACCTAGAATAGTTTATATAACACACGTGGATTTGGATTCAGTGTGGAGTCGGTTTGGTGGTGCGACTTGGTATTGACAGTTCTTGTAAAACTTCCGCCTTGTATACTGAATGCAATTCGTCTGCCTAGTTAAAAGGATATTTTGCGGTGGTTGATTATGTGTGGAAATTGAGCACTAACGGTTGAATTTGTTCACAAAAGGGGGGTACGTCTACTCACATGATTGTGGATCAGATCCCTTTTGTGCATGATCTTTGATAAATTGCATCTGCAAAAGCGTTGTGGAATGAATCAAAATAAAATAGAGGGAGAGGAAGAGGGAGCGGGAGAGGAAGTGAGAGAGGGAGAGGGAGAGAGAGAGAGAGAGAGAGAGAGGGAGAGATAAAGAGAAGATGGGCAATGTTTGATTACAATTTAGATGGGGAAGAGAGAGGTTAAAAAAGGTAATAAAATCATACAAAATAATCTCCAAGGTTTTTTGCATGGAAATGTGTATAAACAGTGAGGTCTTGCAAGGTCATCATATTCCAACTTTACTTACTGTGCTTTGGCGCACGACTGTGCGTTGACAATGACTTGTCATTATTGTATTCATTATTCTCTTTCACTAAAATGAAAATGCACTTGAATCCTATGGTTTCAGTATCAAAGTGAACAATAACCTTAGTTCACAGCAAACTTCATGTCCGGGGGATATGGATTGCAGGATGTTTGCGTGGCGGTGTGTGTGTGTATGAGTGTGTGAGCGCGTGTGTATGTTTTATGAACATGTATGCGTGTAGTTAAAACACAATTAAAGTACCATTTGCTTTGTAAAGCAGCATTTATATTTGTTTGTAGAAACAAAAATTGTTTTCGAATCACTGTCGCGTGGTGATACATGGGAGCGAGTAAAGTTCCAAAGTGCTAACGTCATGACCGCTTTTCGTCCAGGTTACTGGTTCTAATCAACAGAGCCTGCGCATGAGGTTCACCGTGGCAACAGTCATTCAAGCATAGGGCGGGAGCAGGGCAAAGTCAGTCTTTGGGGCTGGTGTGATTATCACGCCATTGTTTAGCACAAAATTGTTTGTTACAGTATGACGTAAACTCAAATTACTCTGTTCTCATACCCCCAACCTGCAAACATAATTTGCAAAACATTTATGAATTCATGGAAAGATTTGAGGGAAAATGAAGAGAACTACAGTTTAAAAAAAAAAAAAAAAAACAAATACATATATATAAATATTTTTTACTCTTTCAGACAATTTAGATTATTTTTACCATTCAGTATATTTAGAAATAGATACCTTATCAATCCTTTGTATAATTTCTTGTAAATCTTCTTCCAATCCTCCGTTTTTCGTCTACTATGAAACCTTAGTTAATTGTTTGTTCTTTTCTAGAAATCTTTCAACCCCATGCTTAATAAAGCCACGCGCACAAACATGACCGTAGGCGTCTTACCAAGAGATGCGTTTCGCTAGCCTTTTCAGCATACTCAGAATGATGATGATAGTTCACAGCATTTGTATGGCGCCATATATCTGTTTCAGATAAAGCTCCTCCAATAAAGTTAGCATTTAAATGTCTGAAGGAAGATGTGAGCTTGGAGTGAAACTATGAAGTGGTCAAGGTTGTCAATTTCGCGAATAGATGATGGGAGGGAATTCCACAGGCGAAGAACAATAGAGGAAAATGCTCGGTCTCCATATCCCTTGAGATGAGTAATGGGCATCTGGAGAGTAAGGCCAGATGAGCGAAGTCCAGGGCGAAGATGACGCCGCTTGATTAAAGTTGACACATATCCCTGGGGTCTGACCATGAATTGCCTTAAATGTGAGCAGCAGGACCTTGAATTCGATTCTGCTCTTGACAGGAAGCCAATGTAGCTCAGCCAGAAAAGGAGAGTGTTTCCTCAGCCCAGTCAGCAAACGTGCTGCTGCATTCTGTACTGCTTGAAGTCTGTTCAAGGTTGCAGAAGGAAGGCCAGCTAGAATGTCTTCTTTTGCGTAATCATTCATACACGTGGTAAATTATTTTTCTTCATTTGGTATAGTTCTGCAACAACCCCTCACCACCGGTTTGCGCCGATGACTGCGATGGGAATGGATACTATATCAGTCCAGATGAAACTGCGTGCATTCAATGTCCACAATGTTCAGCTGGACAGGAACTTAACAAGGTATCTTTATAAACTTAAATATCACACAGTTCATTTAATTATTTACTTGTTGATTTTGAGTTTTTTAGGGTTCGAATCCTAGCTTGGATCTAACTTTCTTAAGAAAGTCATTAATCAACATTTTACGCCCTCTACCGAAGTGTAAAATTGAGTGTCTGAAAATTATTGGGGGAACAATTAATGTGGAAAGTAATGTACCATTATATAGAATGTGTACATTTTATTTCCAGTAATCTGACGTTTCTAGACTGTGTTCTTAGATAAAACTTACGTCTTAAAAGTAGTAAAATGTTTTAATCTTATGGTTCATATGATATTTTTTTACCAGGATTGTGGGAATGGTCTGAATGGAGATGCAGTATGCATACCTTGTCCAGAAGGATTCTTTTCATTGTCCACGTCACAGCGTTGCACTCAATGCACCACCTGCACCAATACAGTGGAGCAGGAAACATGTCAACTCACACAAAACAGAGTGTGTGGGAATTGCTTGCCTGGGTAAATATTTCGTTCCATTTTGTGAAGTTTCGAAACAACATTAAAAGAGTAAAATTATAACAGTCAAGTCCTATTGATCGCAATGTGGAACTATAAATGATGTGGGAACGGTGAACTTTAATTCTGACAAATTTATAAATGAACAACAAGGCCGCAATAATCGACAATAACTGCAGATCAATAATAATATTGACAAATGAGAGAACGGAGAGCCCCCCCCCCCGAGGAAAAAAACACAAGAGACAAAAGCCGAAGATATATGATTTAAAATACATCCATTTTTGACTAAAATACGTTCCATTCTAAATTGGTTATAAGCCTCACTATTTCTTTATTTTTTAATTTTTTATTGCTAGTTTGTATACACGGCAGAAGGTTTGAGATTTTGAACACGTCTCAAAGGGGTTAAAGACTTCCTCTGCGGATACAGCATATATCTCACCAGGAAAACATTATTTCATGCTTTTTTTATCTTGATTCCTTTAAAGCTTTTTCCGAACGTCTGACCGATTCTCGACCGACTTTAACGCCTGTCCAAACAGATGTTCAGACCTTCCCCGTGATACGCCACAGTGCAGGGATTGGTGGAGTAATCAAAGGAGAGAACCGATAGAGGTAGACCAACCCCCAGAGATTGCACCTGGTGAAAGGCATATTGAAGAGGTGCATCTAGATGATCTTGATGTAAGTGGCGTAACTATTGAACATCATGATTGATGAGGGGGAATCCCTAGTAGATTGTCAGCCCGTGAGACCGTAAGCCCACAAACCCGACGAAACAAAGAAATGTGTAAGGGAAAATGCCGGTCTTGTGTGTGATGTCGGTCTCATCGGCCGTCATTTTAGTAACAAAAATTGTGAGAGGGCCCACAAAACCGTCGGCTTAGTTGGCTGTGCCTGGTGAACCCTTAAAAAATGATGCCAGGAGACCGGCAGCCCAAGAAAACGGCAGACCGAGAGATCGACAATATTCATTCCATACGGGCTGTCGCTCTGCGGGCTATAGCCGATTATTGAGATATTGGTGATGATGAATATGGTAAAGTTATCTACTGCACCAGTACAACAGAGCAAAAGGATGTACGATGACTAGAAATGGGATTGTGATAATATCCGTTCTAAAATTTGGTCCCATACGTCATAAGTTTTATGCAGATTTGGGCTAGAGTTAGGTTAATTGGGGTCAGGTGGGTCTACATGGACCCCCTTTTTGTGCTTGTAGTTTTTTTAGATGAAAAATAGGATCAAGGGGTAAAAAGCAAGGAATATAAGATCAAAGGGACAACGGATCAATGTAGCACAAATGTGGGACACACTGAAAACTGACAGTATGACCGATAGGACGTAAAACAATAGAATATGAAACCGTCACTGGACTGTCCGACTTTACAAGTAGTAGAACGTGGTAGACTCAAGCAGATTTGAGAACAAATTGTGGGCATTCTGTGATTTTTGTCACACTTAGCTACTATTGTCATCCAATAATTACCATATCCTTTCATTTTAAAGCCATGTGAACCTAAAACCCCACTATGCATTGACCCCTGTCACGATGGAAACTTCTTCTTGGACTATGATGGACTTTGCAAGGCGTGTCTGTCATGCCAGCCTGGAGAAGAACTCAATAAGGTATTCTTATTTCCCCACACTTTAATAATGCAGATTGTTACTGACCCACTCTGTGTAAGAGTAGGTATTTTTAAATGCCCAAAAGGGGCACTTTAGAAATGTGGCCGACCGTCAATTTCTTAAATGTCATGCTGAAGTAAATCATTCTTATACTACTATTATTCAATTTGTTATGATTTAGTACTTGGACAAATATTAGAAAGTTGGACGTGAACTGTAGAAATGTTGATCGGACACATAATATAGACCTTACCTTAGATGAACACTTCTTACCAAGTATTTCTAAGAGTGTGTCGCCAAGATATTAAATAAGGCCTACTTTTACCACAAACAAAACATACTAGTGCTTTGAAATATATGTTTCAACATCTTGGTCACAGCTTTAAAAAAGCACCTGTCTGAATAATTTGTTATTTTTTTCTGAATTTCTCAGGTTTGCGGTCGAGGGAAGAACGGTGATGCATATTGTCGGCGGTGTCCCGAAGGAACTTTCTCAGAGGACGGGCTACAGAGATGCTCCCCTTGTCGTATCTGCGTCAACACTTTGACGACCAAGTGCACTGCTTTAAGAAACACCGAGTGTGGAGAGTGCCTTCCAGGGTATGATGCCGGTGGTGTTGAAAATTTTCCTATATTTTGCATATTTTCAATGAACATTTTTTTAAAATTACCCCTCTTTGCATAACACTGGTGGGGCTACAAGATGAGTTCTGTTTATGATTTGGCTTTAATTTCGGGTTCACATTTACCAACGTACCCTCTTTTGGCAAAACATTTACATAATTACGGATTCTCATGATTGTACAAATTTGACGTTTTTCGTGAAAAAAAAAATTATTTTTCAAATAATTTTCATTGTTCGTGATCATCCCCGAAAAAACCTTTTTAATTACTAAAAATATGCATATATCATGCGAACACATTGAAATGATAACAAAAGAGGAGGGGGGGGGGGTATGATTTTGATTTCGAGTTAAACTGGTGTAAATAAATGTGAGGTTCTGGAATGATAAAAATTAACAGAAATCGAGTCCACCTTTGTGGCACATTGCACTGAACACAGAAATTGATATACATGTATAAGAAGGACCATTTACATTTAAAAATTTGGTCCAAACTTCTTCCACTATTACTGGTAATATTTCGAATATTAGGGACTTGGAAGAGTAATTTACTCCTCTACTATGGTAGGCTTTCAAATTGGCATAAAAAGAATGAAAAAGCTAAAGAATCTGTCTTCATCTTTGCCAGAACTCAATCTCCTCTTTAATGTTTAGATATTACCAAGACGCAGATGGATACTTCCCGGACCAGGGAGCCTGCCCGAACAAGTGCCCCGAGTGTCCGAACACCGTTCCACAGTGCCAAGAATGGTGCGAATCAAGGAGAAACCCGGACAAGGTTCCCGTCGATCCTGCAGAGTCCGTCGAGCAAGATGATGTCACCCTAGCGGATGTGGCTGTGGACATTCCCCAGTCTGGTGCTGACGATGGAAGTAAGCTTGCTTGAACAATTAATGACCTGTTCGTTTGTTTAAAAGCCAAACTCATAATCTTAATGACTTTAGGGATTTCCCCAAAAATATCAAACCCTAAACTGAGGATACTTATGTCTTCTCGCCAAACAATCCAGCAAAACAACATGACTTTGCAGCTTTACATTTGAAGTTTAAAAAAATGATCTTTTAACAAAATTGCGTTTTTTCATAGAATCTCTATAACATTCGACTTCGAGGAGTGCAACTATCAGTGCCCTCTGCCGGAAACCTAGACTAAAACTGTTGACTCGTGTCTGATTCATATCGGTCAACACTATTTTTAGACCCCTCGGTAGATTTGGAACCCTTGGTAGAACAGTTGTAACAGCAGGAAGTACCTAGTCCCGATCTGTTACCTACAAAACTGCGATACGGTCACAATGAGGATAACGCCAACGAAGAGAATTGTGAAAAGTCAACTTTTTAATTGACCGCAATGACTAAAACACTCCATCTTGGGTTAGTTAAGTGCAGAGGCTGATTCAAGAAGTTATCGGCATCATCACCATCACCATCATCACCATCATCATCATCATAATCATCATCATCATCAACAACCTCAGCTATGATTGTAAGGCTGCTTAGCAGGACAATCCAGCTCTATTATTATTTGTCCTTTGATTTTTGTCATCCATGTTATTGATATCAATAAAATTAATTAAAAAATAAAAATCTAAACTTAAACAACAAAATTCCTAGTGTCGATAGATCAATATTTTCTCGATATCCTTTCTGTTTCTACAGTCAATGATGAGGCTAAACTTCCTCCAGCTAGCCATGGATCCTACATGCTCATCTTCACAGTTCTCGCATCCCTTCTCGCTGTCGTCATCATCGTCCTCTTTACCGTCCTCTTCGTTTTCCGGTACCTGTGGAAAAGGCCAAGTGTGTCGAATGCGTCGATGACATCGCTCATACCGAGTCCGAGATCTTCACCCACTAGTTCACCCCCCAGTACTCCACCAAGTAAGGCTTTTTTTTTTAATCGGATAAAAACAAAGAGAATTGTCTAGATCCCCGGTTTCTCATAACGTAGCGACCAGCCAAAACTATGAAGTAAACGAACAACACACAACACGTGCGATGAGCTTCTGTCACATGCTCTGAGGCCCGCATTCACAAAATGGGTTTGTCGACAAACCTAGGTTTATGTGCGTCATTATGATGCGTTTCGACGCGTTTTTACAAACTGTTAAAAACGCGTCGAAACGTGTCATATGACGCACATAAACCTAGGTTTGTCGACAAACCTCCTTTGTGAATTTGGGCCTGAGTGTATGGAAACATAACACACTAATATTATGTGCATACAAGTCTCAACATTTTTGCTCGCTTGCTTCGATAGCCAATCAGGCATCATTATTATGCCTGAATATATATTATAAAATGGCTCTAGTATTTTAAGCATCGTGATTGGTCAATACGCGTCACATGATCCAACCAAGCAATGAATAAACATTTGATTAATTACTAACTTAATCAAAAAAGGAATACAATAGCATAAAAGAGTATAAAAAGAAATATTTATGATAATGTTTTATGCTCGAACGGAGAGGAATATATTTCAGATATAGTTGCCCCTCGATGGGTTATATGTACGTACTTGTCGTACTCGGAGGCCCGCGACGTAATTTCTATAATATTGTTGTACCATCTGGCGGGTTAAATTTAGAACGACTGCTTGGCATAGATACACGAGTTGTTACTCGTGCATTTAAATCTCGGCTTTTTTGTATTCATTTGAAAATGATATAATAATAATATTAATAATAATAATAATATTATCTGAGGCCTTTAGCTTCGTAGGTTAATCTGTGAGGAACTAATCACCGCCACAAAAATATTGGCTGGGCAAACAATTATTTATAAATTCTTGTATACTGACCCTTTAGACTTATAGAAGTAGTGGCCAGTCTTTACGAACCAGTGAATGAATAAATATATAATACTAATACAAAATAATGATCTGTATAAATGCAACAAAAAAAAACGAAAAATGCAGAGCTCATGTGACGATGATTTGCATTTGTATTGTCAATTTCTACGACCAATATTTTTTTCTCCATCTGTTCACTTTAAGCTGTTTACAAGCCTACAACGTATCTGTACCCCCCGGAAGGAGGCGATTGGGAATTCTTGAGACATCTGAGGTAAGAGATAATCTGCCCCATGTACTGTTAAACGCAATTGCAAAGTCTTAAGAGAAATCGTTTCAAAGGTAATTTCAATACCCTATTGTTTTGCTTATATAAATCACCAATTGATTCCTTACATGTATTTTGTATTGTATTTATTAAACTTCATTGATGTACATCAATATTCTGTTTATAAACATATAATCACTTTACAATGTAATGTAACAATCAATATTCTGTTTGGGAACATATAAATCATATAAGTCAACTTACAATGTAATGTAACATATCAATATTATGTAAACATATATGCCGTATAAATCAATTTACAATGCAGTGTTTATAGTAGTCCAGATTCAGTCCGTTCGTTCTTTTTACCCCCCACACACAGCGCGGTCTCTCCACTGATCGCGCAATCCCCAAATTTCCGTCCACTTAGAGGAATGGCTAGGTCTACTTTCAACGTTGAGGGTGTGTTATTTTATCAGCTGATTGGGTGCGCTAAACGAAAACGGTATAGAGGCTGGACTATGTTTATAGCAAAACAGACGGAAAATTATATATCCAGCAGAAACACTTTTTTTTCTTTTAGTAATAACATGACATAATGCATATAGTAATATAATGTACCATAAGACACCCGAAGATTTAGATATATAAAACATAATACAGCACTTTTCTAAATAAATTATAACTCATGCAATACCAAAACCATAATATTGTACATTTCTAATTTGTTATAACATATAGTATCTAAAAAATTACAATAAGCGACGCATAAGGTTAGGCATGAAACAAAAAGATGTTGTATTGCCATTTAGGTGCCAAAAAATGCCAACACATTTTTATACTATTTTTCTTCCCCCTCTTTGGGCTGATTTTTCTCGGTTTTGAATGCTTGAATGCTTGAATAATTTTTTTTTTTATTCATAAACTTTTTCTTCTAAAAAACGGTTTAAACAAAATAAATAAATAAGAAGCCGACCATAGATTACAAAATTTTTGGGTCGGTTGCAAAGGGCAATACAACATCTTTTTTTTTAACGCCTCATTGAAATCACCTTAGGTTGACTTTTTGAAAGTCTTTGCATTTCTGTTTTACTACAAACTTATATTGGTCTGTGAATGAATGTGAATTAATTTTCGATCAAGGAGGATATGGTATAAAGCAACACATATCCTCAAATAAACATCTTCGACAGTTGACTGGTAGGTAATAGGTACCATCAGTCTCAAAAGACCTTACCGACAGGAGAAAACAAGAAAAGCAGTATAGGAGGAATTTTTTGTATACCCTATAGTTATTTGCAAGCATGGTACTTTTGCAGAAAACACACACTATAGCATTTATTGAACTATGTATATGATCAACCGTTGTCTTCCTCAGTCTGTAGGCTAAGATAATGATTGTTCCATGCATAAATATTGATGATAATTACGTTTTTGTATCCAGCATCAGATAAAAGTTTATATTTGCTTCCAGAAGATTTTGGACTTGTTTATTACACCGGCTTTATCTCCGCTAGCCGTAGCACACAATGTTCTCAAGTAAATAATTAATACCAGGTAACTACTTGCTTCACCTAGGTTGAGTTTTGCAAAATATAGATTAATGGCTACCCAAATGACCAAGTTCCGTGGCAAGGAATCTTATCCCATACCTTGTGTGATTTACCTCCGATGACTTATCCACTAGACCACAGTACCTCTATTGCATTATGTTTTTAATCCATTCAGAACGGCCTATCCGCATCTAACCAGTTCAAGACCCGTTAGTGGAGGTTCAACTGATGCTGAGAATGGGTCATCTGCGGTATCTACTCGAATGGTCAATTCAGCTGGTAGTCTGAACCATGCTGGACCATTTCAATCAGCGGCTGTAACACAATCTGATCGAGACCAAAGACCAATTGAACGGTTGGGTGATCAGGAAGATATATATAGGCCATCATCATCGGGAAAGGTCGTTACTGAGAGACCGTCTGGAACTGTCCACCAACATGTAGAGGGTGAGGAGAAGGTTCCTGGAGGAATGTTACTCCGTCGCCGCTCTAGCGGCAATATCGAAAATTCATTGAAGAAGTTACAGAATAGACACAATGAAAACACTGCGCCAGGAACGGAGGACGAAGCTGCATTATATCCTACTGATTCTTCCAGTGACGACGGACCAACCGCAAGTGTTCAAAAGGATACCAACAACAATATGTCTACATACCCGAAGCAGCTTAGCCGATCTCTGAAACCAAACACCTCATCCCACACAACCCTGCCCGATTTACCAGAGGAATCCCCTGTCGAGAACTTCACTCACAAGAAGCCCGCCGCCATTTCGGATGACCAGAGAAGCATTGGCAATAAGTCACCCGGTGACACAAATTTCACTATCAACATCACCATGAACACAAAAGACGTTGAGACGGTTCATATTGGTGATGTACATGATAAACGCAACCTCCACGACGGTGCTCACCAGGGAATCAAGGCATCGGAACCACACAACGACGACGAAAACGGTGAAGCTCAAAAATTGCTCCATGAGGGCAACAAGCTGACCCGTGGTCGCAGTGGCAACAGTGACGATGACGACGTCGACGATGGTGACGATGATGGTGAAGGACACAAATTACTTGAACACAAATCATCATAGGTATGCAATACCCATAATATCTCAAATTATGTAGGGTAAATTGTATACCAAACTCTTAAAACCGCTGTTAACCTAACATACGGACTATTACGATTGCACATAAAAAACATTATGTAACTTATCACAATCTCCAAATCTATGACAATATTCTAATAATTGCATTTTAAAGATTTAGATTGAAGCACATTTTCTTGTTATATATCGGTCCATGGGCCTTCTAGCCACTCTTCAGATGGTTCGCTCGACCGACGGCCCACGAGACTGGCATTCATTTATATCATACCTTTTATACGTATTTCCTCGTTTTGTCGGTCTTGTAGACCGTTGGGAACTTTCTTCTTTTCTAAATGTCATTATGTATTTGTTGGTTTGTCGGCCTCGTTGGCTGTCAGACTACTGGGATGACGTCGTTATTGAATTCCGACGAAAGTATAGATTATTATGGGTGTACAGCATTTGATTTTAAATGATAAAGTTACTCAGAAAAAAAGATTTCTTTTTTGTTTTTATAGTATAGAGGTGAAGGTGTTTACGACAATGTTATCTTATACGTTAAGTACTTACATAAATCAAATACACTAAATATTTTTAAAAATTCCAATTGATACAAAACTAGCTTGTTTATCAATTAATTGTTTTAAGTACATGGCTGATATGTTTATTGTTTTTTTAGAACGTTAAAATTCTGTTTTAAAAACATTGCGTTCTTGATAAATGGACAAAGAAAACATTCTTTCTGTAAAACAGGGTTGTTTTAGTAATTTCATTTTAAAAATAAATTAAATGTTGTTTTCATTTCATTAAAAAATGTATATTTATTGTCTTTTGTGGAGGGGGAGGGGGGGGGGGGGCTATATTTGTTCACATATATTCATGTATTATGCAATGATATATACTGCAAAGGTATGAACATGGACAAAAACATGTGTTTCTTTTTGTCTAGAAAGAAAATTGTGGATGGATCAACCTCCAAAATGTTTTGTTTTCCGCAGGCAATACTGAAGATGGCAAATGAAAAGCCGAGTCACTATAATATAAAATCAAAACAAAACAAAATAAAACCTACTTACTGAATGATATCCGTTAGTAATAACTACTCTTTCTGAACCTCGGCTCTTACACCAACGAGGGTGTTTAAACGAAATAATGGATGCAACCACTTATAGCGTTTGATATCTAGTTACAATCAAAGAAATTGATTTATATCAGGACCAAAATGATCAACTTAAACCATAAGTTCAAGGTTAATGTATACAACTTCACTCTGTTCCACATGTGTTTGTTTTTTACAAAACAATATATTTTTAACATATATAGTTATGTAGCTGTTTCCACCTTGGTTTCTGTTCATCCAAGGCGGTGCAATTGATCACAGTACCTTATTGGTTCTTTCCCCTCAAAATGATCAACGCCCCTGATTTATACGGTGAGGGTAAGAACATATGCGAATAAAGGATTAGCCTAGGGGGAGGGGGTGGGGGGGGGCAAAACTTCTAAAATCTCTGAAAAAAATCTTTTTGGAATCTAAATTCCTGCTGGCTACATGGAAGCCAAGAAGATGGCCCATTCATTTAAAAAAAATGACTTTAACGTATATACTTAAGGTTTGCTACAACAATGATAAAATAAGAACTTCAAATAAAAGGTAAAAAAGGTAGTGGTCTTCACCCAGTTATAGCTCAGTGAATTGAGATATGAACACTCCTGGTAAGCATCACAATATTTATGGCAAAATTTTGTTTTTCTGATGAGTTTTTATGTTATTATCCATATACAAAAGCATGAGGAAAGGAGCCTTAATATATTAGGTTATACGTTTATAAATCAATAAATGAATGTAGTAAAAAGTTTATATGATATTGCAGGTTTTTTTCCTTCGTTTTTACACCATCTGTCGCTGTGGTATTGTAACGTCCTTTAGCGGCTACATATCCAAGTAAATATATTTGCACAAACTTCTTATCAATGTTTGCGAGTAACCTTTAAAAAGTGCGCCGCTTCTCGTCCTAACCTTCTCGGCAAAGTGTTGTTGACATGTACAAATAAAAGTTCAATAAACTTCGAGGTGCATGCTGTTGCAGTTACGTGAGAGCTTATTTCTACCCTCACTCCCAAACAAGGAGAAAATATTGAGAAGAATCATCGTGATTCTGATATTTTTCTATTCTTGATTTAATATGATGAAGAGGGAGTGGCGCCGTTATCACTGCTCGACAAAGCACAATGCCATCATTGTGTGAACATTGTGCAGAAGAAAAGCACTTTATATAGATGTAGTTTGATCTAAGGAAAACTTTCCCATTTCCTTTTTTCAATATGTCTTTGAAATTAATACACAGATAACACCTACTCACGCTTAAATAGTAGTACTGAAATGGCGTTATTTATTAATTTTTGTTTTTTTATTTCAATCCACAATAGTTTTGTCTTACTTCATTTACCCCACAAATTTACCCTCTATACCAATGAGAATGGACTTTTACCTCGCTCAAATACATAACCACCCCAGGGACTGAAGTGCACCTGTCTCTACATATTGAACATTTCACATTCGACGATATCTATTTTAATGTATAGATGTTTTGATGGCAGGATTAAATGTCTTTAATATTTCGAAAATATTCGTTACTTCAATTTTTCTTTTACGAGTATTATTTCAAATACCGGATATTACATGATATTAAGAAGAAAATTGTTAATACGGCTCAAACCTGAATCAAGAAATAATGATTTTGTTTAAATGCAATTGCCAATTGGTGATTGATTTTTGAACCCTGTATTTTTTAACGTGAATCACGTTATGCCGGTGTCATAAAAATCATTCTGTTAGCGCTATCAATGACGTTGAAAAATCGTTTCGAATGTATGTTTTGCAGAAGTTCAAATAATTATGTAGAAAGCATATGATACTACACCATCATAAACTGAAAAAAAAAGGAAATAAAAATGCTCCATATATATACAAAGAAAAATAGTCTACCCGCATCGAACTAAAGTTTAAAATTGTAAAGCCTTTTATGTGAAAGTTATGCCATTTCTTCAAACATGGTTTTCAAATAAGGTATCAATAAAAAGAGATTTATCACTTTTTGTGTGAAATCAAGACCTTATCATCCAGTAATTATTTGAGAACACATGACTAAAGGATCACAAAGACTTTCAAGAAATCAACCTAAATCAAGTTGAGTGGATTTTTCATACATTGAAATATGCGAACATTACAATACTTGATTACGTAATCTGAACATGATTCTAATGGGCGATGTACAGTGCGTCCCAGAAAAAAACAAAACCCAGAATTATCGATGTTTTATCATAACTTAATCGCAATTATAACTAATAAATGACACATATTGGTAAAGTTTGAGTGATTATAAACAAGTTGAAGAGAGGAACCTAAAAAAGTCATTTGGCGGACAGTATCTGGATTTCAAGGAGAAAATAACGTTTCTAGAAAGTTCAATTTCTGCCCTTTCATATGACACCTCAATCAGGAAAAATGAGCCAGGAATAACAAAGTACTGTTTGTTTAAAGTAATGCTTGCATTTCCATAATTCGATTAAACAAGTTCGTTTTCACTGGCTGCCTGCCGTAGCAACAAACAGAGTTGACAAAAGACTTAAATCCGTTTCGTTGACGATCAGCCATGCATCAAGTCTTTCGTCTTCTTTGTGCATGGCTGATCGTCAACAAAACGGAGTTAAGTCTTTTTCATATGAGTTACACCAAATGAAAGAAGAGGATCTAAGCTTTACAGATATGTGTCCTTTATTAATTGTATAAAGTGTGATTAAGTTATGATAAAAACATCGATAATTCTCGGTTTCGTTTTTTCTGGGACGCACTGTAGATTAGGGTATTGAAATTGCCATTGAGTTATTTTTTTGATAGTATTTGAGATTGTGTAAACAGTATCTTTTGACTGTCAAATTCCGCTGTTCAAAATATCTTTACCCTATTAATGTTTATTTATCATGTTTATGACACTAGGAGATTGAGAGGGCATACGCCCCCTTTTAAAACCAAGGTTGAATAATTTTCGTACTCGAAAGAAAAATGTGCCCCTTCCCCTTTTCCAAAGTTTCGATCGTCTTCTTTTTCTCCTCCTCCTCCTTATCCTTCTTTCTTCTTCTTCCCCTTTCTCCCCCTCTCCCTCCTCCTCCACCTCATCACCATCATCACTTTATCACAGGTTATTAGATGTATTTAACTCTTCGACTTTCTAAAATTTATAGGTATTCTACGGTTTGATGCTAACTTATTTTGAAGAAAATAGATGTAATCCCCTAACCTCTTTTAGTGGTAGGCTTATATTTTAGGCAGCCATGTAACATTATTAGACCAAACTCTTTTTTGCAGAATGTAAATGACAAAAAAATACTTTTATTTGTATCCATTTGAAATGATAAAGTAATTCAGCAATTGCATTTTGCTATGACGGTATTTGTTAGGCAGCCATGTAACATTATTAGACCAAACTCTTTTTTCAGAATGTAAATGACAAAAAATACTTTTATTTGTATTCATTTGAATTAAATGATAAAATAATTCAGCAATTGCACTTTGCTATGACGGTATTTTTTTCCTTCTATTTATTTGCGGTAACCTTTTATTACTCCCTTTTTTCTTGTCCATGGCTGTATATTTTTGGTTATATTTTATATGCGGAAAGAAAGAAAACCCTGTTTTCTGAATGAGAGCAGGAAATTGTCATTATTCTGTTCACAATGCTTTTCCGCGATATGTCCGTCCGGATTACGAGCGTCGACGAGAAATTGGGTTCAACAAACTTTCATACGTCTTACTTCAGCAGTCAATAAGGTTAACAAACTTTTGTTCGCTGCATCACGTTCGTTGTATGCATCGATTTGCTTTTCAATAGTGTGTCCAGGGACTTGTCTCTGCGTCTGAGTCTGGGCGTGTAGCGGCTAAAACACTCTCGAACGTTTACTTTCATTAAATGTGATTTTTTTGTTCTAGTGGTGAAAGTTCTACATGTAGCTAGTAATTTGACAAGGTGAATTTCAACTTAACGTCGTAAATAATAATTGCACAATCATGTTATTGTGTGCAAGGTAGAGAATCCTTTCTACACGTTTCTTAATTGATCAGTGAGATAAGGTCAACCAATTGGATTGCTGTAAAGTGTCGGTCTGAAACACACGCACACACACACAGGACTTATTAGAAGGAAAACATAATTATGGATGTCTAAATTCGGTCGTTCCGCCGAGGCCGAGTGTCGATATATGAATCGCCCAGCTTGTATTCTCTTCATTTTGTGAATTAACCTTCATCAATCACACTAGCCATCAATCTACTTCCATGTGCACCATGCTATCAGTAAAGTAGGCATCTGCCATCTAGTAATAGGCTACTAGACGTCTTCCTACGTAGCCTACGTAGGATACCATCTAGAAGTCTTACAACATTTCAGGAAATTAAAGGTCAAATTCACAAACAGAAAGATGGCTTCGGTAAAGCAAGATCTGTCTTTCGTCTGGAATAATTATAGCCGTATACCCATGGACATGGCGGGTCTTGATGGCAGTCGTTCGGCCCTTCAGCCTATCTGGGACGGGCTTCGTAGCTTTTTTGGTGACGAGGTGCTCTGCTCCCCTGCTTTCCCCGTCGGGATGGCCATCGGGTACTACTTCTTTCTCTGCATGATCTACATGTTCCTAGACGTGTATGGCGTTAAACACTGGGCATGGCTTCGTAAGTACAAGCTCCACCAGGACATTCATATGACACAACCACAGCTCTACAACACCATGGTTTTGACTATGTGGAACCACGCCCTGTACATCGTACCAGCTGGGGTCCTCCAATACATGTACGGGCCACCTTTCCCCCTCAACGATGATGCCCCGCTGCTGATGCAGTTCCTCTGGGACCAGTCGATCTGTCTCTTCATCTTTGACCTCAGCTATGGTATCCTCCACTACTGGTTCCATACTAACAGATGGGCTTACCGGGCCATTCACTCTGTCCATCACCAGTACCACTCCCCCTTCTGCTGGGTTACCCAGTACCTCCACCCAATCGAGCTTATCTTCGTCGGCGCCACGACTGCCATCATCCCCAAGATCCTTCAAGTCCACACCCTCAGTTACTTCGGCTTCCAAATGTTCAATATCTGGATCAGCGTTGAGGCCCATTGCGGCTACGAGTTCCCCTTCTCGCTCTCCCTCGTTATCCCTTTCGACATTGTCGCCGGACCTCGTAAGCACGACCTCCACCACATGAAACCGATGTCGAACTATATGCCGCATCTGACGTGGCTCGACAAGTTGATGGGATGGGAGTTCAATGGATACGACACAAAGAAGAAGAAGTAGACGACAATGGAATAATGGTATTTGACTATTCCAATAATAATTATAGAATTCATTGTATATATATAATTTGTTTTGTTTTTCTTTTCTTTACATACCAAGTATACTTCCATCCTCACACAATGTACTGATTTCACAAATGCACGATAAAGTGCAACTTGGAAAAGCAACTTTAAAAAAAAAAAAAAAAGAATTCCGTTTGAAGACAAATAAAGCGAGCTACGAGATGAACAATTAAATAAATTATTATTCAAATGTATAATATATGTTAAACAGTTATTGGCTGATCCGGCTCGTTCACCCTCAACGAGTTCTTGTTGTTTTATTTTAGTATAAAGGAAAGCAAGGGATATACGCAAGAGATTTTTTTTTTTTTTTTATCCTAATTTTATTTTTACATTTTTATATAAAATAGGGCTTATCGAACTGTATATAAAATTATGACCAAGATCAAATACCGATTGTAGTAGAAAAACAAGTATACATAATTCTCCATGTTTATTTTCCCCCTCTTTTATGATTTTATATAGTAAATAACATTACTATGTTACTTTTCGTTGCAATTTCTTTGTATTTGTTTGGATTCTATATTTTTGTATATAATCAGTTTCAATATGATTTTCCAGCTTGAGAAGGTGATTCATAACATGAACCCAATCATATATGTGATTTGTAATATTGTCAACGTGTTATGCTCTAGAAGGATTTTAATTTTGCATTTGCTTTTAATCATTAAAAGAAATTCTTTTCAAAAATGCCCAATACAAATTCGAATTTAATGTTCGTATATATATCAAAATGACGCTGATGACGCTGCCGTGACGCTGATGATCTTGTATTGTTGTATTATGATTTAGTTAAGAGTATTATGCGTAATATTTTGATTACGAAGTATTTATTGTATACATATTTGTATTTCTAAAATCAATCATGCTTTGCATTAGGCTAAGTGTATTTATACACGCTATGAGTATGAGATATATACGAACACAGAGGATATGCCAGCAAACGGGGTGTATCCACTATTCGGTCCTTCTAGACAGCAACATGCGTACGTGAATTTGTGTATATTTCGGTTAAACACGTATATGTCTTTGTGTAGTAGCTGTGGACGGCAAGCGATGATTCAGATGTGTACGAATATATGAATTTATATGACCTTACCTGTCTGCCAAAATGATATGACCCGCAATTCACTTTTCACCCAGACAATGGAGTAATATATGCTCAGACACATCAAACAGATACGGGAATGAAGACTGTTTGGCACAGTTCAGCAGTTGCTTTCTATTTAGAGTAGGGGGGTGTCGAATAAATATCATTTTGAGTGATGTTAAGGACAGCTATATGAAAAATAAAAGACATCAAGAATTGAATATATTTGGACATTGTTAGAGAATTTGAAACTGAAAATTGTTTAATTTTCAGCCAATATTAAACAAACAGTGTAACGTAGAACAAATATGTTATCCCGATTTTTGTTATATTTGTTTGAAAGCAAGCATTTTGTAATTGACGGGTTTTGATACAGGTGTGTTTTGTATTTCTTGTGGGTGTCTGTGGGCTTTAAAAAGTATAATTTTATGCGATTTCATCATTCTTACGAGTACATGTAGCAGGGTGATAATTTGTAAAACATCAAATATATCATATAATTTCATGTCCTTTTTAAACTAAAAAATTAAGACAAAAACTCCGATATGTGCATAATCCTAGAAACTGGTGTCACTGACTTAGTCTTTAGTGTATGCGTATAATGTTTTTTATTTCATGCAATTTTTCCTTGCTTGTGACATTGTAAGTATTACGAAGGCCGCACGAAGGTCTATCTTGCTAAGCCTTTATTTTGCATTCCTTCGCTGTACATTATAGATATATGATACATTCAGTGCAACTACCTATGCATTCACATATGCTCATTGAATCCTCTGAGCAATAATCGTCAAACAGTATTGTCATTCATTTGAATGAAAAGCGGGTTTATATCCTGATTAGTAAACAACTGATCTTATTACCTTAAATATATATATATATATATATATATATATATATATATATATATATATATATATATTTACATATACAGACAGCACATTGCATGCGAGAGCTACAATGGTGAACAGTATTTATTGTTTGAATGATTGTTTACACAATCGTAAAGCTTGCGAAAAATAAACATGAAATTCGTCTCATTGTATATCCCATGCACATCATAATCGGATTCCGAATGATTTTGCGATCGTGTTATAAATAATTATATGTATATATATATATATATATATATATATATATATATATATATATATATATATATATATATATATGAATAAACACGCGAATTCCTCAAACACTGTATGTCATGTTGGTAATTTGAAACAAGTTTCACAAGGTGCTTTTGACTATATTATGCAATTACATTTACATTACATGCAATTTGATCATGTTATAATTATTAAAAAATGTAATCAACTACCGTTGAATATAGTCAACAGTAAATGCGTAAATGATTATCATTATAAATGATATGATCGCAGGTAGGTACAAAACAGTATTTCTTCAAATGAATATAAATATGCTGTTAAATAGTGGAGCTGGAAACCTGCACATCTCGAAACAAATACTAATTACAATGTCAAATTGCCAATGACTTTTTTTTATTTTGCATTGCAAAATGTCAACGTATTTATCTATTTTTAAAAGTGCAGTATTCTATTCTATATATAAGCCATGTTATTTTGTAAGATGCAATTTCATGAATTATGATTGTTAAATTTAGTTATCTTGAAAATGACCCTGAGTCTACTGATCTCTTGATGCACTATAGTGTAATTCTGTGATTATGGAAATGAAATGTGACTCAATAGGTGAAAAGCCTTGATGAATAAATTGTGATAAATTGAGATATTCTGTTGACTGTTTGTGATGATTTTTTGTCGACTGCATGTAGGGTCGAATAAGATCATTCGAAGAAATATAAGGAATGAAAACCTTTTCTCGGAATTCGTAGAAACATTTCATCGTTGTGTTGATATAAATACATAAAACAGATTTTGTTTGGTATTTTATTATATAAAGCACGTTAACTTTCCCACTTTTTTTCAGTATGAAACTAAAAGATTTTCCTTTTACGAAACAACTTTGCGATTGCATTGTGAAAGAAACAGTGTGGAATCGATCAGAAAAAGTTGATCATGTCGCATTTATTATTGGTGTGTACTGCAAGGTTCAGGAATCATCAAAATGATACGAAATTAGGCCCAGTTTTGGTAAGTAACAAGCACACTACACATAAATATGTTTATGTGACTACACAAACATGTGGCATAAAATTGAGGCCCGATTTTAAAGTTGTTACTTGTCATATTTAGAATACGAAGGCATTTGAAGAGCCATGCTTTTTAGGGAACATTTTCTGATGTTCTTTCACACTTGCATAATAACAATGAAACGCTCACAAATTATATTCCACCTCTCCCCAAAACTCGATCTTTTCTTTAAAGTAGACCTGTAAACATTTCAAACCAGTCTTTTAAAATGTTGTAGTTCCTTTCATTACTCAGATCATGATATGAGAGAGAGAGAGAGAGAGAGAGACAGACAAACAGAGACAGAGACACAGTTAGAGAGGGAGAGAGAGAAAGAGATGAGAGAGAGTGAGAAAGAAAGAGAGGGAGAGAGAGAGATGAGAGAGAAAGAGAGAGAGAGAGAGAGAGAGAGAGAGAGAGAGAAAGAGAGAGGGAGAGAGAGAGAGAGAGAGAGAGACGCACATGTACACACACATAGCCAAATGGGGTGGAAGAGATGTTGATTTTTCTTATAATGCCTCCGTTTTGGTAGAACTACTGTTTGTACTTTCGTTTAACATCTGTGATTATGTAATGCATTTACATACATGTAATTCATATTGAAGAATGGCAACGGAAATAGACATACTAAAGCGATTTACTCTGATGAGAGTAAAACGGAAAGCTTAGATCTTTATTCGTTTGCTATTCTTCGACTTTGTATTACCGAACATCTCTTTATTCTAAATCGATTTAACTGACTTTTGCGTTACATAACTGTTTTCCAAAGAATGATAACCAGTTTCTTATTAGAATGTCCATTAGTCTACTCTATAATAGTCTGTCTATACCTACACTCTCATTAAATTATTTAGCCCCTTCCTCGTTTCTCTGCACGTTTCTCTTTCTCTCTCTTCCATTCATTACATTACATATTTCTTCTATTTTTCTTGATTTACCTTTTTTCACAATTCCTTATCTTTCTCTCTCTCTCTCTCTCTCTCTCTCTCCCTCTCTTTACGATCTGGTTGATCAGGCCGCCCGTCGATCAGATATTATCTTACACTAGGGTATTTTATGCGGGCCTTAATAATAATTGCATCGCATATGGTTATGGATGCGATATAGGCTAGGAATAGGATAAGGGTTGGGGTTAAGGTTAGGTATAGTGGGTTTGTTCGATGGTCAAAGGCAAGAATTAATTTGCCGTGGAACAATATCCACCGAGCACCGACTCCTCCCCCCCCCCCCGTAGCTACTCCAATGATGGTTATATTTACGAAAAGTCTAACCGATGAAGTTGAAAAGGAGGCAATGGCGGATTTGTGTTGCCATATTAGCAGCCGATATTCTGCTAATCGCTTTATATTCTCATGCGCTTTATATAACTGATACCCCCCCCCCCCCGTCAAACCGACAAGAACGACAGCAGACCCACAATAGACCCAACACTAGAAAAAAGCTAACAAATGAGTTGACTTGGAATCACTTTGGTGTTAATTTGGGAGTATTACACGCAATTCGAAAATAATAGTCCAGGCTAGACCTACGAAATGTCCGACCTTTTTTTTTTAACGAAACGATCGCTAAAATGGGACCGGCGTGGAGGCGGTTTGGAGGTGTGACCGGGGTAGTATAAAATGATTGTTTTCTAATCTGCCAGCGAGACATCAGTTCAATGAACTATTAGACGATACAGTTAATGACCTTAGCATAGTGATATAAGTCAAGATTATCGTGATAAGTATAGTTATCACGTTTCTTTGTTTGCTTGACTAGCAGACAATAATGACAGCCATGTCAAAAGATTTGTTAAGCAACAGAGAGAAAACGACAATGAGAAAGATAAGCGTTTGAGAGACCTGAAATCATAGGAGTGCAGGGGAAGTAAAAATGGGGAAAAAAGATAAACTAAAGAAGATTGGAGGAATATGATGGAAAGAAGAAAGAAGAACAACAAAAAATGGGAGGGGAGGGGGGAGGTTTGGCAAAAGAAGGTCTGAACAGGTGGAATCATAGAAATCAAAGGAACGAGGGAAAGGTGAAGGGATAACCCAAGGAAATGAACTAAATGTATGTTTCTCCTTCTTAATAATATTTCCAAGCATGGAATCTAGTAGACATTACATGCTTTTCATTAATAGAAATCGGATGACATTGCGTAAAGCCCTGCAATTTAAAAAAAATGCAAAGAAATACAAAGAAAACACTGAATATTTCGTTTGTTCATGTTATTGACCTCGATTCACTCACCTACTTATAACGAACACAGGACCAACAATATTTGTTTGCTCAAAAAGTTCGCCCGGCAAAACATGATTTAATTGGTCTGTAAAGGTCATGTGAAGTTTGGTGAGTTAGTTATCAAGATAAATACCATTACTATGACCCTTTTGCGAACTTTTTATAAGCTCTTGTTACTTATCATGAAAAAACCAAGCGAAGGACTAATAAAGGAATTGATTTGCTGGTGGCGTCGAACTTTGTGTATTTGAATTACATGTAATCCGACTATGCTCTATCTGGCGTTTATTGCTCCGAGCTAAATTTACTCGAGAGGATTTGATTGTTATGGTTAGGATTGGCTTTAATATTAGGTTTAGGCTTAGGGACAGAGTTAGGGTTAGGATTGGCTTTAATATTAGGTTTAGGCTTAGGGACAGAGTTAGGGTTAGGTATAGTGTTTGGTCCAGAGTTGAAATGAGGAATTCGGTTAGTGTATAATTGACAGAGGCGAATTTGTCGTAAAATTTCAAATGTTGTCAGAAGTACGATTTGGCAGGGAATATCAGCATTCCAATTTCTAAATTTGAAAATATAAGCAAATATGAAATGATTAATGTGGAATACCTATCTATACCATTTTCGAAATTTTTACTCGAAGGGAACCTGATAACTCTCCTTACCTCCTCCTCCTCCTCCTCCTTCTCCTTCTCCTTCTTCTTGTTCATGTTCTTCTACATGTGCTTCTTCTTCTTCTACTACTACTACTACTACTACTACTACTTCTTCTTCTTCCTATTCTTCTTCTTCTTCTTCTTCTTCTTCTTCTTCTTCTTCTTCTTCTTCTTCTTCTTCTACTTCTTTTTGATTGAATGAGCCCTTTCCAATAGCTTATTTCTTTAATTTTTTTGAAAGCGTTAACCCATGTCCCTTTTTATTTTATTTTCGTTGTAATTGTGAATTATGTAAGTGTAATGCATGTTTCTCAAGAAATTGAATATTGTTATGCTCATCACGTGCACGATTCGTTAAATAAACTAATAACATTTGTATACATATCCCCTTTTATTGTTATAATTATCAATATACGATCGTGACTGTTTTTATGAAGCAGAATGTGACACTTAATTACCTGCAAATAGTACCAAAATAGCTCACATTAATTGAACACATCATGGTAGCATGCTTCTTATATAGGTATACGTGCGTTATTTTACGCGACACCTTATTTGTTCTTTCTTAATTGTTTGTCATTCCTTTGAATATTAAGATATTCGAGATGATAAAATTACAGACGATAAAGTTCGTTGATTATCCAAACTTTTTTTTAACGAAAGAAAAATCTAAGTAAGCTATGCAAATCAAAAGCTTTTCATACCCTTTGTAATAATAGGGTCAATATACTCTCTTACCATGTGGCTTATCAAAATTGAAGTAGATTACTAATTAACCATAAAATATCGTACGATGTTATTTGATGAATGAATATTCATAGCGGCCGTTTTAATATTTGATCTCTCCATAGTTTAGCCCTCCCCCGAAAGAAAAATCCCCTATAGTAGACAGTTGCCCCGATAAAACCAGAAAACTACATTAGGTAAACCAGATGTATCGATATTTAAAAATCTAATAACGTTTCCTCCTCCTGGCACATAGCTTAATATGCGTGTCAATGTCAAGAAATGTCTTTCAAATTCGTGAAAAACAACATGAGGAACTTTTCCCGTTTACGTTGATCTTTTTTTCCTTCTACTTACGGGAAATTTCAAAGCATACCCACGTGTATGAATATATGTTTATTTTTCATAAAAAGGAATGTGTATAAAAACCCGACTTTTAACGGTCTTTATTTATTTTTTGTTTTAAATTTATTTATTTATTAACATATTTATCTATACATTTATTTGTTTATTGAATTCATTATTATTGGGGGGATCTTTTACATACCATAGTGCAAAAAAAAACAAAAACATTACAAGTAACACAGAACTTAAGCTTGACAAAAAAACAATATTTTATTATGATAATCGCTTAATTTCGAACTGCAATAATTGCATCAAAGAATTTCGGAAGTACAATGCTGATGGTGTATAACGTCTATGCCAAAAATATGAAATAAGTGGCCATTGATTATCTTCTTCAAGAATGCTCCTGGTTACTCCCCTTCTCAAGGAACATTGAGTCGTTTGATGATCTTCCTTCATTCGAATGGATTAATGTAGAATGACTGCTGAGAAGTTAGAAGCTTCCTGATGTTCCATGTAGCTTTTGGATGCATGGCTGGGCGTGGAGGGGTTAATCGAACGCGGTAAGAAGAATTCTGCGCAAAGAGCAAAATAAAGAAAAAGTAAAGATAAAGAAAAAAGAGGTGCATGCAGTTTCATTTTCACATGTTTACTTTTTTTAATGCCAACATTCATTATATCTTGAATATTTAAATAATATTTAATGTACATGGATATTTGCTCATTGACTGCTGAATTATCTTATTCCATATGCTCAATACAGGGACCATCCAGTTTTGGTAAGCAATGGGTTAAATGAATAATTGAAGTTTGTATAAGAATACAACTAAGTAATCTAGCCTTCGACTAAAAGCGTTATATTACGGTAACTCTGGAGGGTGGTGGTGGTGGTGGGGGGGGGGGGGGGTGGGAACAACTGACCTCATCCTTTTAAAACCCAATATGCATACCCTGTTGAAACATATACACAACTGAAAAATGTACCCCCTTCTAATTATGTTTCTGTACCTCTCCTTCAAATTTAGACCCTTTGATAGCCTTTCCCTTTTTTTTCTTTCTTTATCCTTTTCTTGTCAGGAATTCGTGGCATCGACCCTCGCCCTACAGAATTCTTGATCCGCCCTGATACTGCTATATGATAGCTAATGCCCGATCGTATTTATGTGATACCTACACCTTTGAAGAGTAAAACTATTCAGACATAAAGATATGAAATACAATATGCTGGCTGCTAAAAATGTGGTGTGGAAGGGGAAATGATATTTTGTCAACTGACAAAGATCAATCAACTGCTGTCAAAGTCATCTGCAGATAAAAATACAAAATTCTTCTAAATTACCGAGACCTTCGGAACTTTGATATCATAGCAAACTTCATTAACCCTTGCACTTAGGGCGGACAGGGGTCCAAAAAATGAGGGGCACTGTACGCATGGGGGGGGGGCGACGTTATTAACAACGGCATTTCATAAGGGGATGGTGTGGAAGATGGACTCTTCATTTTTTCTCAGGATACTTTCTCCTCTCCAATTTCCACTGTTTCCATGATTTATCTATAATTATGCTTTCTTTTGCTCGCCATTCAATCGGAGACACGTGCCCCGTGCCCCTGAAGCTATGCCACTACTTGTGACCTCTATCTGTTTCTTCACGAATGAAACTTTAGTCAATGAACTTGTATTTGATCATCATAGTTCTAGACGCACTTTGTAACACAGTTCGTCTCTGCAGCAAGTGTTAGATGCGAAGTTCTTGATGCAAATTTTAAATGATACAAGAGTTCGTCTTTTAATATTAAGGAAACTCAATTAAATGTAGATACAAATTTGATTGGACTAAGCAATCTTTGATAATAAATGTCATTGACCCCGGTCTCAAAAGTCAACATCAGCGAACTATTATTACATGTAACTTGAATTAAAGATATTTACTAGTGGTAATTGACTTTTTATCAAACAAAAATAATATTAATGAAAAACACCGACTAGTTAATTGAAATAAAAAGCATGCTATAGTTTACAGATTATCACCAATTGGGGGGCCCACCAACATTTTAATTATCAACAAGATGTAACGTAGCCACATGGGACACGTGCCCCAGGCCTGTAGAATTAAAACAGAAAGGGGGGGGGGGATATATTTGAAATAAAGATAAAGAAAGGGAGAGGGTGACAGGAAAATGGTACAACCGAGTACCACATTGTACCGATGGATTTGTTTCTCGCATCTAGTAAGCCTGAGCCCCCCATCCCCTTTCCCGATTAAAGTACCCCTTCGATGAGTGGAACAACGCTACGCCGCCTTTGAAGCAGCCTTCACAGAAAGGTTGCTACATGGTGTTACCAAAAGGATACTGTACAAGGGTATGGAGCAATATTCCGTAAAAGAAAGAATAACTCTGGCAAGGAAGTAATCAAGGGGGACGGGTAGAAAGAGAGAGAGAGAGAGAGAGAGAGAGAGGGGGAGAGAGAGAAAGAGAGAGAGAGAGAGAGAGAGAGAGAGAGAAACAAAACGCTGTTAGTATCGTACCACGGGAAATGTCATAGTTTGGTTTTAATAGGGAGCTTGTGCCGGTTAAATATATGACCCACCCCCCCCCCCCTCAAACACACACACTTACATGTAAATCCGACAATGACTCCCTCACCATATGGAAGGGGAAAAGGAACATAACAAATGGTTTAATTTTCTCACCTCAAGCAAGACGCACAGTCACACTATTGATGGTATTGAGGAAGAAGATGACGATGAGTGGGATGACGAGGATGTTGATGAGGATGGAATATAAAAGTCATCTTCATCCTCCTCTCTGCCACTGAACCTCCAGAGGATGAGTAATCTTGATATACTACTGAGAACCCCGGGGATATTGGGCAACTAAGATGAGAGCAATAGATTAATGGATGGAGTATGTGTTTCATAAAATGATTCTGAGTTACGACCCTATCTCTGAAGTCTACAGAATATGCTAACATCTGCAACATGATTAACAAGCAGCAATGGAGCAGGAGATATTAAAGGATTTTCTAACGGAAAACGACGCATCACTTGTAAAGGAATCAAATTTAATATTAATTTTGATCAAAGTATTAAGTATATATCATCTATTCGCGAAATTGACAACCTTGACCACTTCAAAGCTTCACTCAAAACTCACATCTTCCTTCAGACATTTAAATGCTAACTTTATTGGAGGAGCTCGCGCCTTTGAATGTTTTTTGAAACAGATAAATGGCGCCATACAAATGCTGTGAATCATCATCATCATCATCAAAATACAGAACAAATTTTTGACAATATGGGTAAGATGACATGATTTTTTTACGAAACAAACATGTGATTTAAGAGCCCATTGCACTGTATTTTTTTCTTCTGTGGTCAAAGAATCTTTACAAGGCAGTTGACTGAACATGATGAACGTTACTTTGGAATTGTGTCATTTTCTCTGTTTTTAGTACTCACAGATATAAACGTGTCGTGGCGGAGTATACCATATGAGAGCCATAGGGACGAAGCGATGAGGGTGGCAACGCTGAGAGAGGCCGAGATTGTCTTGGCTGATTTGGCTCGTATACAATGCACCTAAATATCACAAAGATCAAGGAAGATTCATAACAATGCTAGCTTGAGTGACTCATTTTTTTTTCATGATTCGTAAAATAGAAGTAAAAGTACAATATTTTTCAAACGATAAAATTACTTTCTTCAGTGAGTATATTGTCCCGGTGACTTAAATTAAAAATGCCCAAACTCGATGTTCCAGTTGGGGAAAGAATGATAAAGAAGGCATGTTCGTCTATTATTAAAAAATATGTTAGATTACCCCTTTTGGGTACAAATTCATAGAAATATGTTTATTATACTCTGCCTGAAATAACTAGAAGCCGTGTATCTGGATGAGAGGCGAATTCATTATAATTCTAACAAAGTAATAATTCAAAATTTTTAGTTTTGACAAGACTTTTGACTTGACTTTGCGTTGACTTACCATATCACAAACTGGAGCGACGTACATGAAAATGGTGACTATGCTGGCGACGAGACCGACTTGTTTGAGGGCCGAGGCGCGTGTTGGGACGAATTGAGACATGTAGATGTAGAGCGCCACTAGAAAGGCGACTCCTGCTATGGCTTGTTGAACAGGACGGAGCTGGAAAATAAGAAGAACATTTAATTACAATTTATCATCACAATATTTTGTTCTCGTAAAGTACATAGACACACGAAATCAATTCAAATACACATTTGCTAGTGATGTGGGAGTAGCCTATAGCTGCCATGATGACACTCCCAAGCTATAGTATAGGCAATGTGTAGGCCTACTTACAATTCACTACACCTGGGTAATGAATGGTATATGCAGATTAATGTCTTCACAAAATAATAAGTTTGATATTGGGGTTGGGATGTGAAATCGATCAAGATAGCCCTCTATTATAACATCGATTTCCATTCAGGCAGATTCAGTGAGTGTACATAGTGTAGAGCTCATGAAGCCCACCACCCCCCCCCCCCTCCCTCCTCCTTTGGGGGTAAAACTCCGGCATAATTATAGACTAACAATATGTCTTTTCCGGATTCATTCTGAAGTAAGCAGAACAATTATAAATAGTTTTCAAGAAGCATTATGGAAGATCTGTTTTCAAAATGCCCTTTAATAATTGATGAGGGCAGATTGCACGTATTATATTATAGGGTTTACGGATGCCAGCGACAGGATTAAACAGAAATTAATAATTTATAAACATAATTGTACCCACCTTGTTTTGGGTAAAATGTATGTAAATGCAGATATACGACAGCTGGACAGTGAGGCCTACCATATTCACGATAATAATAGCCGTGTCAGGATACAAGAACCCGTATGCTCCCCACATCACAATACTGAGGGAAAGGAAATGAAAGTATCAAAAGGAGCTCTGAATTATATATGATGCAAGAATAACTAAACGATGATGCAGGAAATAATGCACTTCTGCAAATATGTAGATCCTTTTCTTCGGTTGAATTCATGCAGTTCATTCTTTTAATGCATTCGTTATTTAACTTGGTATCTAAAAAATATAAATGTGTTCGTCTAACATTTAGTCGAATGCCTATTAAATGCCTTGTAAATGTCATCATTTTAAAGAAGGCAAGTGAGAGACGAGTGATATAGAGAAACGGACGGTCAGATAGCAAGAGGGAGACTAAAGAAAAAACGGGAAAGAGAGAGGGGTAGGGGGTAAATAGGGAAAATGAGAGGGGATTGTGGTGCGAGAGAGGTAGAGAGAAAAAATATGAGAGTCGGGAAGAGAGATAGACAGAGAAAGGGAGAGAGAAATAGAGTGAGAGGGAGAAAGAGAGAGAGAGAGAGAGAGAGAAGACAAAAGAGAGAGGCAGACAGACCGACAGAGAGAGGGAGAGAGATAATGGGAGGGAATGAAGTCGTATCAAATCGAAAGATAGAGAGAGAGAGAGAGAGAGAGAGACAGAGCCGACAGGACTTGCACTAGCAAATTACAGGTGGCGCTGTTAATGACATAATGCTTTCTACGATTGAGCTTTAATACAGTAATAGCCAAATTTCCACTCACTTGACGGCGGTTGTTATGAATGGTATGAAGGAGATGTTAGTTGTTGACCTGACCCGGAAAAGAAGTGTACAGGTTGACCTTGAGAGAAATATAGAGAATAGAGAATCAATCATTTACATGTATATTACATAAGAATGAGAGAAAACATTATTTAAAAGTCAGATGACAGTAGTAGTCGTAGTAGCAGTAGTAGTAGTAGTAGAAGTAATAATAATAATGAATATGATAATAATAATGATAATAATGATAATAATAATATTGATAATAATAATGATGATAATGATGAAATGAAAATATTGATAGTAATAATAATAATTAGAAACGTTTAAAATACATATACTAGCTCCAGCTTCAAAATATATAATATTATTCCATTAAGCCTTAATGGCAGCGACCTTACGCAGGCCCGTAACTTACGAGGATGCCGTACGCGTCCTTTTTTTTCCTACGAACTTTTATACTTGACACATGCAAAGAGGTCACAAACGATTGGACTTATTTATGGATTATTTCTTGCTTTGCCTCACTATTTATAAAGGCAAAAAACTAAATAAACTGAGATTTGAACCCTCACGTCAACTCCAACGTTCTATTAGTATCACGCTGTCTTTACCGATTGAGCTAGCGATGAGTTGACAAAAGAACGATTTGCGCTGTTTTCCTTCGCGAGTGCCCATGCGCAGGTTCCCCTCGCGAGCTCAAAGTTCGTAGGAAAAAAAAAATCGCTGCCGGTACGTGATCCCGCTATAGCGACAAAAAGTCCGCTTAAAAAATAACACAAAAATAATTGTGTTTTAGTAAAACTATTTTTAATTTGGTGTTATCAATTGTATCTAAACACTTGACAGAAATATGCCCAGGGAGGGGGCACTTCCATGGTGAAGATTTATTTACAATGTCGAACTAATTAGTTCCATATTATACTGCATAATTATGTTCTGTTCATGCATTGTATACTTTCATTATATACTCAATCAGATAACTTACATGCCAGACAAATACATGTAGACAGTACACATGACAGTCAGCCATGAAAACATAAATACGGGATCCATTATGATTGTGATTGTTTTAAACTTGTTCTGTTTGCTGCTTTTCAAGCATACAAAAATGTCCTGTTTTGTCAGTGAGAGCACTAAATGCTCCGGTCCCCACGTGACGAAATCTTTTCCGACAGGTCGCCGGAAACTCCGGTGTCACATGCGCCGAGCCCACTCCATGCCGCCTTGTCGATTCACGGTCACGCCAAGAATGACACGCTCGATCAAGGCGCAAAAAGAGGATGCATCCCTTTGCGTTGCTTTGGGAACTACGCATGTGTGCGTAATCTTGTGTGACGTAATAATATACTTGCAAGTGCGCGTTACCCAAGAATAGCTCTGTGTCTGTCATTTAAGGTAAATGGTGTTCAAACAAGTTTGAATCAGTTAGATGAAATTCTAAAGATTCACTCGAGTCTTAATATCCCGTAAAAGCGTTTATGTCATAAAGATGATGAAGTTCAGTCATCTTAAAGTGCTTGCAGACGGAAAATGGAAGCACTCCCACTGAGAAAGATTCGTTCTAAATGCGTCGGTTACCAAGACGAATTCAACATGAATAAGTCGAGGCTTTATCCCCATAAATCATTCTCAAATGCACTTCTGTAGTGAAACTTGGTGTCTATCCTCACACACTCAGATTATATCATGCTGTGTATTAATTGGGAGTCGATCTGAAGAGAACCTTAATAAAGTCAGTATGACGTATGTTTTTACATGACGTATTAATTATCACAGAAATGTCATGTAGCTGCCATTGGGAGCACACTGCTATTCTATATCGCATGTCGTATATGATTCAAGTGTGTAGTCAGAGGTGCATGAAAGGGGGGGGGGGCAGGGGCACGTACCACGTGCGGCAATCAAGGGGTGAAGACAAAAACCTGCAAAAGATAGCAAGGGGAAAAATTTGAAGAAAACAAAAATCTTTCGCTCGTTCGCTTTGCTTCCTTCCGTCTACATTTACATGTTAAGTTTTGGCTTCCAATAAAGGATTAAGTGCATAAAACTGATTTTAAAATTCAGAATAGTAACAATTAACCTATTATGTACATTTCTTGTAATAAAAGTGAATAATCAATGACGCATATATCTTGTATATGTCCTTACTCAAATGGTAGTATGGTTAAAGCTAGAGTTGTGGCTGTACTGGGATAATATTAAGATTAAGCTAAAAAAATCAGAATAAATTGTTTTTGGGTTTCATGGACGTGATCATTTTTGTGCTCTCAATTGTATTATGATGGTGGTAATAAAAGGAATTTTACAGCCAAGTGCAATCTTTTATTCTTCAATTTTATTATTGAAAATATTATACATTTGTCAGCTATAACGATAATAAATTGACAGCTGTACATTATTGAACATAGTTTAAACAATGTTTGCTGTTGTTGTTATTGCTAAACTTTCATTTCGAATTTCAGCTCACATCGTTTCATTAATGATTATGTTGCAAGAGAAGATGAGTATATCATCAACAGTGATGAAATGGGTTTGAGAGGGAAGCGAAAGCCGTTGATTTCTCAGTCGATTATAATCTTTGTGTACCCGCAAGTGGAATATCCGGACAGGTTGATAATCCCAAAAGTTATTTGAAAACAGTTATTTCGAACAGATCATAGTAAGAGGACACTTTTTTTTTTTTTTTTTTTTTTTGGGGGGGGGGGGGGGTCTCGAAATTTGAAAAATTGACTCCCCCCCCCCCCCTGCGTACGCGCCTGGGTAAACGTGACTTGGGTTCGGTTGAGCGCCTTTGAACCTGTGGTGTAAATCCGTGTCAATGAGAAGGGGAGGGGAGGGGAGGGGAGGGGCGGGGGACTGGACACACACACGAGCACACAAACACGCATACCTACGAACACATCAAACAACAATTTAAAAGATTTTAGTGATATCTAAACGGATTTTATTAGACATGAATAAATTAAAAAATTGTGGTCTGAGAATAATTTCAACAAATATGAGGAGAGGAAAATTAACAATTAGCAAAATATTTAAAAACAAGGCTTATAAGAAGTTATTATAGAATAAACAGTACACATGGTGCGTACCAAGACTTCTGTAGCGACATGGAAGTATTAAATCACTTTATAGAGGTAACATAATCATATCTATTCAACTCACTCAAATGCAAAGCAAGTGTACATGCCGCACTTTGAATAGTTACAAGAATGTCAATCTCGCTCATTAATGCTTTAAACTATAGTCCCCTAAATGTTACCACACTCTTATCTAATTTGGCAACACTTACTGCTATAAATCTACTTCAGCCAGTATTTCTTTTTCACTCAACATTTAGACAAAAACATGACGGAAGAAGTTTAAATAACAAATGTTGATTTAGTTATGCAAATGATTTTTTGAATGAAAATTAAAACACTCTGTTCTATAAGGAGGATTCTAGAAGGGGCAGTGTGAAAGGGGTGTGGCGCCCCAACCTCTTCAAAATTATCTTACCCTTGTTAGCAAAACTAAAGTTAAATTCTGAATATTTTTCTTATTTTGGTGGGGGAGGGGGGGGGGGGGGGGTGGCTTGTGCCATTTTAGGCTAACCTGTCGGTAAATTTGGTGCGAAAATTCCCTCCCCCCGGACTATTCAAATAGTCTTCCTACGCCCCTGGATTCAGCCGATCACATTCGACCATTAGCTATCGAGATAATCATGTTTCACTATTCTCATGCTACTACAACTTCGATTAATACATTCCTTAATACTTGATATTACAGGCACAATATTGCTATCTATCTTTTGGACGCTACTTTTATTTTCTCGTGAAAGATAATATCAAATTCTTAATTACATTAACGCATGACTTTTATATAAAAAAATTATTCTATTTGGGAATCTTTGGGACATTTTAGAGTAACGAGTTGAAAAAATGCTAAATCCTCTCAAAAAGGTCCGATTTATTTATCATTGTTGAGTTTGATTTTGGTCAGTATTGTTCATCTTGTTCTTGGTTGTGATGTAGAGGAACACGGGTGAGAATAAAGTAAGTAGATCAGCCACAGCAAAACCAATCATCACCTGAAAGATGAAGAAAAAAAAACATTAAAAGTCTTCAAAACTGAGTATAAAAATGTATCGTTGAGCTAATTCTAAACTAAATCGATGACTGCGAATGATTATGAACATAAAATTATGTAATCACTGTCATTGTTCTTTTTCTTGAGGGTTGACAATTTGAAGCAAGATAATTTGATCGAAATTTGATCGAGATTTCAGCTTCAAATCACAAGAATGAAAAGAAGTCAAATAATAGTAATTAGTCACAAATTTGTGTTTCTCTTTCAGATCCTTTTTTTTTCTTCAATTGTTGTGTTCTACTTTTCTAGCGAGAGGCCCAAATTACCAATAACTAATTTCGTTCTGTATACACAAGTATAATAACAAATGATAGTTATCTATTTATTTATTTATTCAGTTTTATTTAAAAACAGTGTAGTCTTTTCAGTGCCAAAGGCCTGCTTTACAATAAACCCTGTGCATACAAAGATTTACAAAACAAATAGAATACATTGTAGAAAACAAAGACATTTTATAAACAACATACCATAAGAGATTGAGAAAGTTATATCAAATTAATAAAAAATTAAAAAATTAAAAACTCTAGGGCCGATTATATTCAATCACGAATAAATGCTTATTCAGATATGACGCAGCAAATCTGCGGCAGTTTAACAAAATTATGACTGAAGTGTGATGCGCTTCACATTTCTGCAGAACTCATCGAATACAAGTCTTTTGTTGTGCGCAGTTGCCATTGATTTACGCGTTTAAAAAACCGCGGCGCCTTTTGTTTTTTTGCGGCGGTATACGTCGCCATATCTGAACAAGCCTTCAGCTGTCGAAAGATATTACTCACATAGAACGGATCATCATCCAGATATTCTTGAATCAGAATAAAGATTGGGTATTGGAGAAGAGTAACACAGCCTGTGATAGTGCGGATCACGCCGTATATGCGCCCAAAATACTTCTGTGGGAATCTGTGAAAGAAAACAAAATAGAGAAATTGGTATTAATTAAATAAGGAATGCTCTTGTAGGTATTCAACGAAAACTTTAAGGACCACCAGGGAGCGTTTCACAAAGAGCTTTGTGAAACGCCCCCAGCTCTTTCTTTCTCTCTCTCTCTCTCTCTCTCTCTTTATTAGGGGGACGTTTGGTATTTGAAAAAGATTAAGAAACAATTTGAAAGTAATAGAATATTTGGGACAGACAGTTCCAAAATCTCCGGTTCTCAATGGAAGATGAACATTTCTATGTGCATCCAAACATCCTTCCTTCTAAAAATAATTGGTCCTAAAAATAATTGGTCCGGAAGCCAGATGGGGAAAATTTTAATAATATACAAAGGGGTATGAATATGGCCTGACAACCCCTTCCCAACAAATATTTTCCAGTTTGTTCCGCTCAACCATATTTCTTCGTATCATCCATAGACTATACATCCTAGTTAAAATCAAGTATGGGTCAGCGGGAGGCTGGGGCCAGAATCAGCGGCTTCGAATAGGTTGACAAAGATGGTCTAAATGAATTCAAGAAGTCTAAAAATTAATGTAACGTCTATTACAGAGGGGCGCCACTCTCGAGACAGGATCAATAACTACATAACATATTTCCATTGTAATTCTTACATTGAAGCAATGATCACAGGTCCGGTACCAAAGAAAAACACACGAAAGAAGGTGAAGATCATAAAAGCCAAGTACTGGACTTCCAAGTTGGGAATGAGGAAGATACCAGAGTAAGCCGCTGAGAGGAGACTTGGTAGGGCGAGGGGAAGACAGCAGTCTAGAATGTCATCGTAATAACTTCTAGTATTGTTTCCTGGAGAACAGGGAGATGGAGAATAGCGTAAAGAAGAAGATGTAACATTTCAGTGGTGTATAAAGAATGCGATACAGCTTAAAATGCTTAAAAAACAACCGCTTTTGAATATCAAAATCAAAGAACAACAGTTGTCCCGAGTAAGGAGCTTTAAATATCTCGGTGTACATGTGGATGAAAAATTAAAATGGGATGTTCACATTAAACAGACGTGTAACAAACTAATTAAAATGGTTAGTTATTTATGTAGACTAAGACAATTTGTGAATATGTCTGAATTGAAATTAATCTACAATTCCATCATATTACCTCACTTTGATTACGGGGATGTAGTATGGCAATCTGCCTGCAGTAACAGTTTAATACAAGTCCAAAAAATTCAAAATAGGGCCGGTAGAATCATACTAAAAGTTAACCCTTATTCGCATACTTCTACCAGTCAAATTCATAGCTGTCTTGGTTGGCAAATGATACGTGAAAGGCAACAAATCCATTTATTACTCTTAACTTACAAAACATAACATAACATGACCCCTGAATATTTGAAAGACATGTTTGAGTTTAAACCCTCTCCATACTCCCTCCGTAATGCACATAAGCCCTCTTTACCTAAGCCAAGAACTAATTATTGTAAAAGAACTTTTGTGTACAGAGCTTCTTTTCAATATAATAAATTATCCCCTGATTTGCGTCAACTACCCACTTTTGCCACCTTTAAGACTAACCTAAACAGACTGTATGTTTATATGATGTTTGTTTTGTTTTGTTTTTTGTTTTTTTGTTTGTTTGTTTTTGTTTTTGTTTTTTTGTTTTTCTTTTCTTCTTTTCTTTTAAGTATTTGTATTATGTTTTCGAGGGATACTTTGTAATTATTTATTTCGTTAATTTGTAATATTATGTATATTTTGCATATTGTAAACTGGCCCCATGGAAGACTAGCAGCAACAATTATAGTTGCAGCTGAATATGGGCTACCAGCCGTATACGGTCCCTTTATCTCTGTATGATTATTTTATATGGATTTGTATCTGATTTTATTATACGGAAATAAAAACAACAACAACAACAGCTGACTCAAACCTCTCATATTTATCACAAACCCCTAGACACGCTAGTGTGCTGCTGGGCGAGGTGGAGCCCCCCCCCCCTTCACACACACACACACACACACACACACACACACGCACACACACCGTTCTTCCATCTAAAAATACTGGAAGATGGTACTAAAACAGTCATTCGCCATATGGCGCGGTAAGCCACTGGGGAAAAAACGCCACGGTCTTTTTTTCACTCACGTGTATTTCGCTGTTAAGCACAAGTAAATCATTCTGTTCGAAAAAATTAAAGTCCATGAGTCTGTCCCATGAGACCATCATTTTCGGTCCCGTGTGTCTTTTCTTAAGTTGCAGTTTCGTTAACTACTGGAGTGGTCCTTATCATCGGGATAACACCTGAATTCTCTATTGCTTTGGCTATAATCATTGTACATGTATACCGCTTTTATGAAGTGATGCAGAAATATATATATATACCAATTTGTATAATTCACCTTTTTTGCATGGTCCAGCCCTATTCCTTTCGACGACTAGACCTCCTAGTGGACCCAATAATATAGCAGTTAGCTGTATTATGATGAAGCCATTTGTATAGGAACTCACTGCAAAAAATGTAGAAAAAAAAATCTTTGAATGAATTTAGCATTACAGAAAAAGTCAATATTTTTTTTTTTATACCTCTCTTTATAAATCTAGCCATCTGATTGGTCGAAATTGCAGTCGTGATTTTGGATATTCCCTTAAAGAAAAGAAACATTGGATGCTTGATTAAAAACCTTCGATTAAACGTCTAAATCCTAAATCCTAAAAAATCATACTCATATCAAACACAAATTTCTTTTTGGTTAAACATGCTAAAAGTCAAGTTCGGCATGACTTTGGGAATTGCTTTCAACTGCAAGTAGAGGACCATGCGGTCAGTTTCTCGAAGCCGTCATCAGTCTAAGTTCGTGGACATCGAGTAGACAAACTTGATATAGAATTGACACGCGTTTCAATAGGATATCTACAAATTTCAGTTTAGTTTAGTTCAGTTTAGTTTATTTCCACAATCTGATAAAAATACAAATCAATCAAAAGACAAACAAGAATACACCATAAATAAACATAACAGATAATGGTGGGATCAACAATACAGGCCTGTCTATTGTCAATCCCTTGGGTATAGATGAAAGTCAAATTTAACAAAAACATAAACTAAGTAACTAACACTACAACATCAACTACAATAACAAAACAAAACGGATGGGTAAAAGGAATGGGAGAGGAAGGGAGAAGGCAACTTAATAAATTTAAAAGATGATTTTTTTTTTTTTTTTTTTTTTTTAAAGTTCGTTTAAAAACTACGAGAAACTGACCCCAGATTTGTAAGTGAGAAAGAATGATGACGAAATAATCTCCTTTTCGGGGGGGGGGGGGTGGAATAAAAGAGCAGGACAAGAAAAATGTATCGTAGAAAACGAAGAAATTGACAACACCTTACAAACAAAATGGAAGAAGAAGAAGGCCTACTTACCAACTGCCGTATCCCCCTTTGCTAGTCTAGTCAAGAAATAATTTAAGACGCCTAAGGTGAAAGTGGCATCGAGTTCGAGGATTGCCTGCCATAGCAGTATGGCCCAGAACGGGAATGACAGTATACAAGATCTGAGTGACGTGTACTTGGCCCACTGTGGAGGATCAGGGGCTGTCGAGGACGGTGAGGGCGCTTGTCCATTTGAACTGTCATTTTTGTTCTCTGTTGTTGTTGGTTTATTTTCGCCAACTTTAGTTGTCTGCAGATCCCCTGTAACAAAATGATAGCGAACGTTCTTTGGTACCAGGAAGATCGTGTTAGTACTATTGCGAGTGATGTTTGAACTATTTCACGAACCAACAGACTTTCATTTTCTTCAACAAAATAATGTATAATAAATCAATTCTACTATTAACCAAGCTTCAATCAAGACATCCATCTATTTCTGGGATCAAACTCAATACTCAATATCCATGAAATCAAATGTAATACATGTGATAATTTTGTAAGGTAGTTGATGATACTTCGAATTTCAATGTGATATTCGACATACCTACCATTATCATTTAATACCTTTAAGAATATCAGATTGAGACTCCTCCTCCGCTGTCCCCCCATCAACTACATACGCCTCGTTGTACATCTCAGAAGCGGTAGGGGGCGGGGCCTTGTGTGGACTGCTAAAGCATTGGATAGTGAGTTTGTAGTCCTGGGGGAGTGGCCAAGGTATATGATTGACAGGTAAGAAGATGAAGGTGTTTATGTTCAGGAGAAGGGTGCAACCGGCTGAGATGAAGAAAGCTGTGTAAAGGGAGAACCCGGCTTCGTAGGCAATCTATGAAATATGGGATAAACACAATTATTTATATAGACAGAGCGAGAGAGGGAGGAATAGAGAGAGAGAGAGAGAGAGAGGGGGAAACTCGTTTCATTAACACTGTAAAGAAATTGATAAGACCCCGACTCCCATCATGCCTCGTACGCCTAAGTTGGGAAATCCATACATGATTACCTTATCATGACTTCCTAACAATTTTTGAATTTTCAGCTATAAATCATGTCGATTAAGTCCGACACCCAGATATAAAACGACGCTCCTTGTACAGACATTGCTTTCCTTTTGAATATGTACCATGATCTATAAACAAAAATAGAATGCAAAAAATAGTGGATCTTTTAAATTTATGCTAACCTTGGACATCCAATCATACCGAAAATAATAATAACTACATTAATATTGAGCACATATCCATCCTAGCGGAGTAGTATTAATTCACTGGCTTTAGCCCAGCTGCCCTTAGGTCCTAAAAGAATTCAAAGGACACCATTCTACCAGGTACCCATCCGTGGTGGAGAGTGACAATGTAGATTGATGTATTGCCTAAGAACATTAGTGCCTCGGCGGGACTCGAACCGCGAACCCTGTGATGAGCAGTCCAGTGACGTATCAATCAGACCACAACACTTCTTCCATTACTTCCAATAGTTTTTAGATTCTATTGGCAATAGCATCTAAAAACTTCAGATGTGCCCTCTCCCTTACCATAGAGACTCACCTACCTTTAGTATGAAGAAGACGACTTGGGATGAACCGTACAGACCCTGCAAACCTGTGATGACGGTCGATTTGTGCGACGGGAACAGATTACCAATCTGAGTAAAAAGACATTGCAGATTGAAAAATAAGGAGGGCAGTATTAGAATTAGGAATCACAAAGATTTGTTAAATCATAACTGCTAGTTCTATAAATATAGTGGTTAAATTTTATTTCCCTTTAGAGTAGTCCTAACTTCTTTATCTATCTTGCATAAATATCATACCATACAAATACATTTACAAGCTTGAATATTTCTAGAGGCATTTTAAAGGCCTCTATAGAAACATTTCAATATGTATCCACTTGCGTTGCTTTACATAAAGGCCGTTTATATAAAGGCATGCATGTGGATATATTATAAGATAAGACATTTCAATTCAGTCCTTCATGTTGTTCTTAACAACTTGACGACAATAACAAATATTTCATTGAATCGAAATAATGTAATTATCCTTTCCAAAAAAATTCCATTTAAATATTCAATAGATACAGATGAACAAAAAGGAGTTTATCTTCTAAGGCAGCTTTTAAAATCATTTGGCCTACGCAATCTGACTCCCACCAGAAAGTCATTATGATGGATGAGCAGATAATGCAGATTAATCGTTCTGTCTTCACAAGTTTGGTGCCGATAACGTATTAAAAAAAATCATAGACAAGAGAAAGCAGGTCACAATATATAACTTATGGTAAGGGCTTTCTTTTCCTTCACAATTGCAGTCAAAAGAAAAAGATCACTAATTAAAATACGTTTTCTGTACTGAAATACCTCCATGCTAGAGATTATGACTGCTGTGCCACCTGCCACCATGAGGATGGTTCCTGGATAGAGTAGACCCGGGAGTTCGGGGGAGCTGAACCCCATCAAAAGGTTCCCAGCCAGCAAGAGTACACTGAGATTTAAACGAACAGGGGAAAAAAGCTTAACGAAAAGCGGAGGAATATGCACCAAATGTAAAGTAGCCAATTCTTTTTTTTTTTAAACGGACGATATGAAAATTCGAACCAAATAACACAGGACAAGTACATTCAAATCCATCTACTGTACTGAGGTGAATTTGCTTTGTCATGCAGTAGCATTGTGATCATGGGTTAATTGTCCTGGATATCCCAGCTAATGAGCGGTAGTCACCCTGCAAGTTGTAATGTTCCCCTTTTGAAGAAGGGGATTTCGACTCAAGGTACAACAATTTGCTCACTCTCGGGCAAGGGAGCACTCCATACCCTGTACAATTCTGCCCCTGCCCCCTCCCCTCCTTTCAATCAATCCGTACGCTCAGGATAGATTAGAATATACTAATCTGGGGAGGGCCTTGGGGAACAGGCTTCTTGGCTTCTTGCATCTAATTTCTACCTGTGCCCTGCGAAAAAACTATACATATTTTTTTTGGGGGGTGGGGGGGGGGGGGTTTGACTGAGACTTCTATATAAAACCGCTATGCCACTAACTGTTATATACCTAAAGAGGAGTCGAGTGAATCTGGTCCCCAAAATATCGAAAAGAACACCCATGGGAAAGAAAGAGAAGAGCTGGCATGCAATGGCTACTGAATACATTAGCTGCAGACTGGCGTCTTGAGTTGGACAAGCGACTAGCGATGAAGAGTTGGTAAAATAGGCATCATCGTCATCTAAAAAAAATAAGAAATGAAAACAAAAGACAAGGAAATCACAGTTACACCTACTTCTCTCTTTATACATCTCTTACTTTCTTGATCATCAATGTGATTAAGTAGCAGATTGGAACATCATTGATAAATAAAAAATGATCTAGAACTATTGACTATTGAATTGCAGTTATCGCATATGAAAAAATGTAATGTGTACTATTTGGTACAGACCACCTAATTATTGTGTTCAAGACTGTTTGAAAAATGTCGAAATGTATTACAAAGACTTGATGATATGACTTGTGGTTATGTAATACTTGGTGACATAAATTGTAATGTGCAGGCTGATACAAGATCGTGGCAAACAAACCAACTTTCAGAAATTGTTGATTATTTTAATTTTCCCCAAATTATTGATACTCATACAAGAGTCACAAAGATACTGCTTCTATTTTGGACTTGATAATAACAAACAGACATGAGAAAATTGATAAATTCGTGAAAGAAACTTTCGAAGGAAAAAAGCAATAAACTCTAGGGTAGATGATGATTGGACTGAATAAAAAAGTTTAAGAAATCAAGTCACTAAGAAAATTCGTAAAGCAAAGGCTGATTTAATTATTTTGCTGTCGATAGTGATGTATCGATTCAAGCAAATTAATGATGATCATGAACAACTTTCACAGACAATTCCTGCAACAATTCGTCTTCAGCCAGTGATCAGATTGTTAGAGAAGTATTGATGAATATTCCCGATAACAAGATGTGTGGAAATGATAATATATCAGTAACGCTGTTGAAACCAGTCTTTGAATATATTTTGAAGCCGTTGGTGTATTTGATTAGTTTGTCACTTGCAACTGACGAGGTTCCATTTAGCTTGTACGTGTATGTTTTACTTAACTTTGCATGTAAACCATGTAAATCTAATGTATGTTTCTTTGTAAAATTGTGATTGCTTTTATATGCACGGCCATTCTGAAGAACATCCATTTGGCTGAAGAATGTCACCGTGCTAAAAAAAAATAAACGAAACGAAACGAAAGGATACTATGTCCTGCTATTTCTGCGAGTTCACAATTGCCATGATAATGATAATATAGCTACATTATTATTTTACATATTCGTCACAGGGGATAGTCAAGGTGGCTGCGAATTACAAATATTATCCAAACTTTAGCCAGGCTACATTAAGGAGCTGAAAGCATTCCTTTCTACCTGATAACCATTCACTACGCTTAACTATACATGTATTAATTTTTGTTAATGGTTAAAATGCTGCTGCTGGCTAGGACTCGAATTGCATAGCGGTTGATGCACAGTACGGTAAGGTATCCACTCGACCATGAAGTCCTGTACACATTTTTGTTGTTCTCCCTTTATAATCCAAAACCTTGGTCCCAAACTTAATGTTTAACAAACAAGGACTCTTTCCTGTGACAGACGTAATTACTTGAGAAATATTTGAGTTAAGAGAAATTTACCGATTGAGCCATGATCCTCATTGGGAGGACGAGGCGAGGCGGAAGACGATGAGGCTGGTGTGGTGACGTCATCACCGGTCTGCAGACAGTCTTTGCCGAAGTAGCCGATATCCTTGAGTACAAATACCAGTGATGGCCAGCCGAATATGGTTCCTCCGTAGAAGAGTGTCTCAAGACAACCAATCATAAGGGTGATCTGCCTCTCAAATCCCATTACGTCTTATGTGTACGTAAAGATGAAGTTCCATCCGTGGTCGACTAGGGGTAAATGGAAGACACGGTGGAGGAATGTGGTCTTCTTGATATTTGTAAGGACTGCAATCGGTAAGATGTCACGTCTGCCAGTGAAGAGAGATAGAGAGAAAGGTGTTATAAACGGATAACTAGCATATCTACATTGATTAATGGCTTACAAATTAATAGTATAGTTCCCGATGAACCCGTACTACCAATGAAGTAGCAAAGGGCAAGGGGATGTCCATTATTAAAAACAATCAAATGCACATAAAAGGGTAAAGAGAAAATGCTGTTTTGAAAGTTGTCTACATCCCATGATGATCTGAAACAGTATGGTAACATACCAGCATTATTCAGTTTGTTCGTCTTGATTGATCTTATTGAAAATGGGTACTGTGACGCAGATTAAAGAGAAGAGGCTATACTGATCGTGTCTGACGGTGTTTAGAAAATCGATCCTAGTTTGCTTCATGCATGTAAATACAGGTAAATCCTAAACTAGTACACTGGATAAGTCCACTCCTGTATCAAAAAACGACAAAGCGAAAGCGAAAATCATCAAAATAACATTACATTTGAAAAATGTTAATGGGAGGTGTCCTTTCAGAAACAAAATTTGGACCATTGTTGTTTATGATCATGATAACAGGAATAAGATTAAGTTTTTCAAATTTTAGTTACATGTTTGTAAATTATGTCAGTGACACAATCACCTTTAAGATCTGTCCATATGGAGAAATGGTGCCATTCAGAATGCTCTTAACGTACTGGCAATGAGATATGATTCAAACGACATACAAATAATTCGTCTGATAAACAAGATATTGTTGTGTGCTTCATGCATGTCATGTAAAACACACACCGCACCTACCGCACCTAAATTTTGCCGAAAACAGGGTTCAGATAGTTCATTTACTGGGATTTATCCGTTAGTTGCAAAGGGGAAGTCCACTCTTATAATTAGCTTGGTTTAAATAAAATCAGATAAATGAGAGAAACAAGTTAGTGAAAGTTTGAGAAATATCCGAATAAAAATAGGAGAATAGTGAATGTCTCAAGTTTTCATCACGAACTGGCAACACTGTGACGTATCTGGCGAGGTCCTCTCCAATTTGCTCTGTACAAAAATGTCATAAACTTTCATTTCCCTAGTTATTGATGACGGAATATATTCTTTTCAATCAGGGATTGTGCAAAAACATATTTGCAATTATTATGCTGAATGTATGATTAAACAATTTTTAAATGGATAATACAAATTTTGAATTCAAAAAAATAATAATAATAGTAGGGCAAATGCAAGATACGTCCCAGAGTTGCCAATTTGCGTTTGATTGATCGCACATTCAACAATTTCATAACTTTTATATTTGTAATCAGTTTTTCCTCAAACTTTCACTTACCTGTTTTTCTAATTTTTTCTGCTTCTATTAAAACAACTTCAAAATCAGGGTGGATTTCCCTTTAAGGGTGCAAAGAGCATATGCTACTCAGGCCGCAACCCTAGATCCGCCAATGAAAGACTACCCATATATCTTTCCGATAAGCTGGTAGGTGGATCCACGCTTTACCATTAAACAGTATAGTACTCCCCCCCCCCCCAATAAAAATATACTTAAACAAAAGTGCAATGAGGTAACATTAAACAAAAATCCGGAGTAGTACCAAAGCCTATAAAGACAGCATGAAAATGTATTTTGGAAATGTATTGTGACTTTTGAAAGTATAGCATTTTTTCTTCTGTATCTGGTTAACCAGATCCATGCTATATCTTCTTAGTCGTTCACAACAGCAGAACAAATAGTATAGGCCTACTTACCAAGCTGTAAATGGTGTAGACAACAATGTATCATTTTTGTGCAGTATGATTGACTTTGCGTATACCCTAATTTTCACATCTCTTGGTCCAAACAAGTGGAGCAGACTACGGAACGCACCCTTACTTTACCGGATCCACCTTAGTTGCAAAGGTTTCGTTGAATAACCCTCAAAATAGCTCAGCCCACCCTCGAGACTACCAGCTTCTTTCTGTACTCAGAACTTCAAGTGACTGACTGTTTGGAAAATACATTAATTATTCCGTTTAAAAGAAAGTGAAAAGGCTATCCGTCAAGCATAGCCGCCTGTAATAGCTTTTTCACTTGCTTTATACCTCTCTAGCTATGGAGAAAATCGCTGAAGTATTTAATTCCAGGTAGCTGATAAATGCATCTGTGAACAGCACAGTTAAACGCGAAAATAAAATGAGAAGCATTGTGTATCTTGTGTATAATAACTTTTGTCCATTTTGTTGTGATCGATATGCTTCAGCCGAGGGCATGGGTGTCGATACTTACGTAATACCTATTCATCAGGGGGGAGGGATGAATGAATAGATCATCCCCCCCCCTGATGAATAGGTATCAGTTACGGATCGACACCCATGGCCGAGGGCATACAAATGGATCCTGTCTGTATAAACATCACACACCAAAGAGGATAATGGTGATATACGAAGCTTACACCTCCAAATTGTCAACTCATTTCAAGTCAATATTGGTTATATTTGACAATGCTTTGCAGCCAAAGGATAAATTGCTTATGTTCATAATAATTTCTCAATATCATTTCACATTACATTGTACTTTTAGTCTTTATCAAATTACATTGAAAACATTAGACAAACTTACGAATAGAATGATTGAGACATATGTAATTATCCTATAACTACATTCATTACAAAATATGAAAATATGAAGTAGACTAATTCACAAAAATGATCTTTCCCGCCCCTCGCCTTTCAGGTACAAACCATTGTCAGTCGCAGGTAATATCAAAGTGTCGGAACCATGAGACTTCAGTCGTAGGTAATATAAAAGTGTCTGAACCGTGAGACTACAGTCGCAGGTAATATCAAAGTGTCTGAACCATGAGACTTCAGTCGTAGGTAATAGCAGAGTGTCTGAACCGTGAGACTACAGTCGTAGGTAATAGCAGAGTGTCTGAACCATGAGACTTCAGTCGTAGGTAATAGCAGAGTGTCTGAACCATGATACTTCAGTCGTAGGTAATAGCATAGTGTCTGAACCATGAGACTTCAGTCGTAGGTAATAGCAGAGTGTCTTAGGTAGTAACATAGTGTCTGAACCTTGAGACTCCACTCGTAGGTAAAAACATATTGTCTGAACCGTGAGACTATGCTAACTGCATGGTCTATTGCAGGCCTTCTCAAGTGGGGCCGCGAGCGCCACTTGTGGCGCTTGGGGTCAGTCGGAGTGGCGCCGGACTGTTGCAAAAAAAAAAAAAAATTGTATTTAAGAATTAAAAAAACAATAGTCGAAGCTGAACCCAAAATGTCTGCTTAACAAACAGACAATTTTAACCTTTTGGTACTATTTTATACGACTCTTAATCGACCTGAGCCCTAAACAACAATAAGCCTACGATGGGCTACCAAATTTAACATTACCAATCCCGGGAAACATCTTGTTTCTGTTTGCTTGATTTTTACTTAATTTGAACAATTCCTGTGTTTATTGCACCAAAATAACTACACATAAATATACCTCCAGTGTGAATGTACCGAGGAATTGTATGAAATTATGATTGATATATTTTGGAATAAAAAGGAGTTAAAAGTGCAACATCTGGGCCTTTAGAAAGCCCTAAAATACATCAGCTTCAGGGGGCTCCACCCCCAGCACCCCACCCGTCGTCTGCTCGGTCGCTACGCTCCCTCGCATCAAAATCAAACATACAGGTTGGCACTTGAACTAAAAATTCTTTTCGCTTAGGCACTTCTAATAAATTAGTTGAGAAGGCTTGGTCTAATGCATTTATTGGCTCTGTACTATAGCTATTCGTTACATAGCGAGATACTGAAGATTACAAGGAGGTGTGTTCCCGCCCCCACCCCTACTCACTGTTATTTAGGGTACGCATATGCGTGTTCCCAGCGACCCCCCTTTTTTCACCAAAGTCCGTGTGTGTAAAGTCAATACGGGTAGACCTTTTTCTTTTGTTACGAGCTGGAGATTTTGGGAACACGCATGGTATCCCTCCGTTCACGGAGTGGGGGGGGGGGCGGGGTGTGTTCAATTGTCAAATAAGAGTCTGTGCCTGCAGAATAAACATACAACTAATATTTGCATCAAGATTTCCTCCAAACAGTTTTGAAATCCAAATATTGTTGACACTGGTACTGAATGCATGTAAACCATATTTGGTTTATTTCAAATCACTATATTCAGTACGTGTCAGAGTTCATTGTTCGTTTCTTTTCATAGTATGATTGACAGTGCTGTCGAGTATTTACATGTAAACCAACTTCTGTTTAATAAGAATAACAAATCTATGACACACATCTTTAGGCTTCCTTTGAAGCGTGAAATGAACAGTATCAAACTGAGTACACATCTAGAAAAGTGCAACTCGTATTTGCATTCACAGGTCTTACAAGTATAATTCATTTATAATCAAGGTCGGAATGAGTGTATTATGAGAAATGCAATCATTTATATTTGAGGGATAAACATGTCTGAATACAGCATTTAGGAATTGATTGACCAATATCAGATTCTGAATCAGTGGAGTCTACAGAAAACAGTAATCAGGGGACAGGAAGTAAATTTGTCTGTGTCGCCACTCTCCAGCACCTACGAGGGCGAATCGAGATTCAAGGCATTCTCCTGCAACTTTAGAATACCAAATTAGGCGTATTCAAGTTGAGAAAATTTGGCCACCCGTTGGAAAATAAATCTGGTTTTATATTGCCACGTGACTCAGTTGTCATGGACTTGCGCACTTTCTAAACATTGCAACCCCCTCCCTTTCAGACATTCCTACTGTAAACCCGCCCTTGCAGTGCTTGCACTTTGATTGATTTTTTACTGGAGGGGGCGTCCCCTATGCTGGATACACGCCATTCAAGATGGCTGTTACCCAGTGAGTGTGAATACTAACAATGAAAGATGCGTCACGTTGAACCCTCAGTCACACCATGGAGTTACTCAATGGCCACACCCCTACAAACCATGAACGATGGAGCACGGTGTTTAGAGTGAAAGAGAGGGTAGAGAGGCTGGTATGAAAAAAGTGCATGACTTTCACGACTCGTCTGAATGCTGTTAGAGTTGTTATTGTGATGGTGCAGAATATGTCACTCCATTCATGAATGGTTGAATAAAAGTATTTAGTTAGCAGATGTGATGAACAAAGTTGCAACGCATGTATATATTGTATATCAGTTTTATATAGTGTACATGTGGGAGAGGGACCCTCCAAAATAAGCTATAACTTCTTCGTTATCACGCATGCATGTTCTGTATATGATTATTGTTCATAGTTAAACATCAAAAGAGATTATTATAAATAGACAATTAAGTGAATAGAAATTGGAAAGGGGAGAGATGAATATTATGCTCTTAGTGGTCAGCATATTATATTCACAGTAGTTTTCTGACTATTCTTGATAAGATTAGGTCTATGATGCGTAGTAATAAAACTGTCAAAAATCAAAGCATACGTTTTTGTTTAATGTTCCGTAATACGAATCAAGCTAATCGCAGGAAGAAACGTATGGCAAGAAATAAAAAATAATTATTTTGATTGATCACTTGTTTCTGCCAAAATGTTTTTAAAAAAATATTTAAAAAAGTAAAAGTATTTTACTTTTGAAATTTGAAATACTTCACAGCATTAGAAATCCAAGTTTGATATTTCATTTAGGTAAGAAATTTTCTGATGCCTAATGGCGAAACATGTACTTTTTGTATAATATATAAACTGCTAATTACCCTCTAATTATATACAAATTAATTAGACAGAATCGCAGGAAAAATAAAAATTAATAGGAGTATTGTCTTCTAAATGACCTATAATCATGTATTTATTTTTGTAAGTGAAGAAATACATATGTTGCAGTTGAAGTAGTTAATATATTGAACCAAAATAGATTGAAATGAATCACGCAATACACTTACATAAAATGAATGCTGTATGTAATGCAGAAACTAATATATACATGGTCGAAATTGAAGATGAAAGTTCCACGATAATAACCAAATGAAATGGAAAAAATGTGATGAAATATAAATGACATACCTGTTTCGGCTTGGAGAATTGACCTGTTTGTTAGAGTTCGTCTCGACTGCGACCGCCAAGTACTTTGCACAGGTCATATAATAATGTACGACTAGAGGGGGTATGTCTGTGATAAGTGTATTGTATATAAGATACGCGTCTATTCATACAGATCAAACTCATACAATCTGTGTACATTGGTTGAATACATATTGACACGAGGAAGTTGATTCAATAAAGGAATATAAAGGGTATTAAAATGAAGTTTCAATCATAATTATGTCGAATAAATTCTCATATTTGCTTTTAATCTGTCAAAGGGAAATCCAACCTTGATAGCAAACTACTCTAGAGGAAAGAAGATAAATCAAAGAGCTAGACTCGTAAAAGTTTGAATGAAATCAGACAAAATGAAATTGTAATCACTAAAGGTATGGGTTCTGCAAATTGGCTGAATCGGTAGTGTATCTGTGATTTATAGTGGCGGACAACTTTCCACTTTGGTTCCAACACACAAACTGACTCTAAAAATTTCTTTTTTTTCTCGAAAATTTATGACTAAGGATGCTTTTCTTTTTAGAGGACCTATAATAATATGCTATCAATGACACATTCGAGTAGTGCACCAAGGGAGAAGGCACTTAGGAGTAAAACATAAATTAATGTCTTATTTGTACATAACAAACAGGCTACACTACAAACAAATGGATGTGTACACATACATGCACTCTATTAACAAACCTTATTATCTGTTTATCTGCTCTGTACATTTCATGGTCATAGTAGTAACTTGGCTTATGAAATCTGATTTCCCTGTTACTCATCCACCCTTGCTCACACACACAAAATAAAAAATAACAAGTTATGATTTTCTACATAATTATTGTCACTCAGCATCATCCGAACTATGGTAGAGCTGATGCACCACACATTTTCCAAAATCAAGAAAAGTGCCCATCCTGCTACAATTATTTATGTGTGAACATAAAAACCGGAATTGTATAGCGCATTATCAAATAACATGTTTGATAACGACCTTATGCACTTCCAATTATTATTACCCCGCCTTTAGC